GACATTGGAGCTGGTCTTGGTGGTTCCATCTTAAGAAGACACTTAATCGACGGTGCTGCTGGTATTGGAGCTGATGCTGATCTCTTAGGAGCTGTCTCTGCTGGTGCCGGAATTGGTGCTGGTGGCTCTATCTTAAAGAGATCTTTAGCTAGTGGTGGTATTGCTGCTGGTGTTGGTGCCGATGTCTTAGGTAGCACTGCCGATATTGGAGCTGGTCTTGGTGGCTCCATCTTAAGAAGACACTTAATCGACGGTGCTGCTGGTATTGGAGCTGATGCTGATCTCTTAGGAGCTGTCTCTGCTGGTGCCGGTATTGGTGCCGGTGGCTCCATCTTAAAGAGAGAGGAAGAAGAAAAGAGATCTTTAGCTAGCGCTGGTATTGCTGGCGGTGTTGGTGCCGATGTTTTAGGTAGTAGTGCTGATATCGGTGCTGGTGCTGGAGCATCTGTTTTAAAGAGAGATGTTGGTTTCTTTGAAAAACTTAGAAGCGGTGTTTCTGGTGCTGGTCAAAGCATTTTAAGTAAATTTACTGGATCTGTTCCAAGAGCTTCATTCACTGTTTCTGATGTTGCTTGGGTTGAAGGTGATTTATTTAAAGTGACTATTAACTTCGAAACTGTTGAAGCTGCTAAACTTTTTGCTAAATTCCAAGATGAATTGAAATCTCTTTCTGTTGGTGGTGTCGGTGATGATGGTTCTGACCAACTCTTATGGGATGGTAGTTCCAACAGTAAAATTGACAACTTTGCTAAATGGTCTTCTACTGTTTTAGTTAAAGCATCTAAACACAACAATCTTTACTGTTTACCAGATGACTTTGCCATCAAGTTTGATTGGACTGCTCAAGATGCAAGTGAATTACATTCTCTCTGGAGTAAATACTTTGATACCACTTATGAATACACCTTCTCAAAAGACTTTGGTACTACTTCAAAGAAACAAAACAATATAAAAGTTGAAAAAAGATGCTTAGAACACGCTTCAGGTAATTCTACTGAAGCTGATGCTCAATTTGATACCTCCGTTTTGAATGAATGGAAAACTAGTACTAATGTCTTACCAAACTTCTGCTGGCCAAGTCACTGTTCTGCTTAAGAAGCTCATTATCATTGATGATTTCATTAAAAATATGGTTTATTAATGTTCTGTTTCTCTGTTCTCTGTTCTCTGTTGTTCATTAATTGATCTTGTTTTTACTCCCCTCTCATTTAATTAGAAATATTTACTGTAAAATTAATAAAGATTTGTTTATACATATAAAAATTCAGCTGTAGTTTTATCTTACAATTCAATATTTGTAAAAGTCTATTTTCCGCTACTAGAGAATATGATGAGAAGCGAAAAAAAAAAAAAAAATATCAGTACCAGAGACAAATACAACTTGTTTATATATGACTTAAACTAATTTCTTTATTTTTTTAACATTCATTCAGCAACAGGTATTACAGACTCTCGTTTGACAAACGAATATTAAAGGGGAACATTTATGAATTCCTAACTGTACTAAGTTTTATCCTGGAGGAGATATTAGAGCAGCACTACATACTGACGCGTAATTTGAGTTAATACTACTATGTTAATTGAAAAATGCCACCAAGAATCCCCATTAATATGCAATATAGAACCAATAGGTTTGAGACATTTACAAGAAGTGTGAAAGTTTCGGGATCGACTCAAGTCAAAGACTGGACTAACGACAAGCCTGATATTTTGAATCTAGTGGATAACGGCTTCTTCTTTTCTCCATCACTTAAAAACTTGGATCAAGTAACATGTGTATGCTGTGGTAAAAAAGAACACAACATAAATGAGGTTGATAACATATCAAGATATCACCTTCTGAATAATCCAGATTGTGCATTGTCTGTGATTGTTTCTTCATTTGCCAATTTTCTTGCAGACGACAATCAAGACGAGTTTTGGTCTTCTCAAACAAGAAAATCATTAAGAGAGCCTTTGACAAAAGAATCCATTGATATGAGACGAAAGACTTATAAAAATTACTGGAAATTCGATAATTTAGTTTCGAGGCCAAAAGTAACTAGTAAATCCCTTTCTGAATCTGGATTTTACTATTCTCCAATAGAGGCAGGAAATGATAGAGTTTTTTGTATGTATTGTGATTGTTGTCTAGACCATTGGGATGAACAAGATGATCCAATACAAGAACATATTTCTAATCTGAATGGCAACTGCTATTTCTTAAAAAAATACCATGATAAAGAGAATGATAATGCAGGCATTAATTCAAATAAGTCAAAGAAAAAGACAGAAAAGAAAAGCCAAATACTGCTTAAGAAAGATACATCAGTCAATGAAAAAGTCACGGAAAAGATAAAGTCATCACCAGATACCCTTAATTCTAAGGAAGCATCCCCAAGCAGTACATCAAGAAAAACGAATAAAAAAACGGATAGATATCAAAAGACCAAAAAGAATAAAAGTTTGGGAAGGATTGAGCCAGATGATGAAAATGTTCAGGGTATTGATAGTGACCAAGGCATGGCGGAGAATAATACCTCTCAAGAACCTTTGATCGAGCCGACAATAACCAATGAAATAATGAACAAATCCACGTCTGATAGTCTACCCGATGATGATCAGCTTTCCCAGAATTCGAGAAACCTAAGAAGAACTAGGAATACTTTTAAACTAAATGAGACCAATAGCCCGAATGAAAGTACAAAAGAGGAACCAGAGGTCCAATTTGAACAACATGAAATAGACACTAGAAATCTTGACCTAGACCTGATAAGCTCAGACTCTTACTCAATACCCCAAGAAGCGTTCTCTAATGAAGAGCATATTCATATAACTCAAAGTGACGACGATTCTTATAAGGCTGATTTTACAGAGGAGCTGGATTTTGAGTCTACAACCCATATAAAAATTACAGGGACTAGCGAAGAGCTTTCGAAAGAATCTAAAGACAGTAGCGTATCTATTTCCCGAAGGACTAGGAGCCGATACACACTACTTGAAGTAAACCCAGATACATCAAATTCCAAGTCATCTCTGTCAAGTAAGTTAAAAGCATCGACTGAAAGTGATACCCAAACCAAAAAAGGCGTTAAAGAATCAGAGATGCCCAATAATTCGGAAATACCCAACCTTAAGGAACCCCCAAATAATGCAGAGAATAATTCCTCAAAATTTCCTCAAGCGAAGAAGAAAAATGGTACATCAAAGGCCAAAACTATCGAAAATGAACCCAAAAAGACAAAAGGCAAGAAGAAAAGAACCGAGTCAATTTCTAATGAAGGTAATGGTAATAATGAAGCATTAGAGAAGCCATCGAAAAAGAAGAAAAAATTAAAGCTATCTAAATTTGCACAATCACCGTCTCCTCAATTTTTTGATACATCAAATCAAAACATTGGTGACTATGATGAAGGTCACGTTGACTTTCACGAAATGGATGATAGACCAAAAGTTGTTCTAATGCCACTGACGAATACCAATTTGAAAAAGGACAATACTAACATTCCTTCGAAACCAAGGGCCGAATATAATGTTCGAAAGACCAAAGAGAAGGTAAATAGTAAAGAGAAGATCCGAAAAGGCGAATCACAAACCAATCAGAATATATTGGATGCTTCTTTTTCAAATGGGTTATTTGGGGATACGTCTGATGCCAGAGATGATGTCTTTAACAATGAAGTTGAACAAGTCAAACCTCAACCAAAAAGAAAAAGAAGGTTGAGTTCTGAAGATGTCAGAAACAAAGCCCCAAGAGCGTCTAATAAAGATACTAAAAAGAAAGAAAGTCTTGCTTACCACAAGAATGTCTCAGAAAAGAGTGCAAGCCCTCTCAACCATCCAAAAAGAGATGAAAATGATTTAAACAAAAAAGACATTACCAAAGCACAAGAAAAAGAATTCGGCTCAAATGACATCTTATTTAATGACAGTGATTTGAATATTGAAGAAGAAGAAGACAAGCCATTGAATAAAAATATCAAAGATTTTAACCAAAATAGACATTCTAGTGGTAACGATCATATGGAATTGAGAGACCGTCATATCATTGAGTCCGATTATATTAGGAAAGAAGTTACAGACTGGGAAGAATCTCAGTCAGAACAAAAGGAAGAGGAGTCAATCTACCATGAAGCTGTCAATGGAGATTCATCCCCCATTCTCGATCATTTACCGTCTAATATTTCTGGGTCTACTGATATTGAGAATATTGAAAAATATAAGCCACCTGAAACTCTAGAAGGGGATCACAAAGAAGCAAGCACTGATACAAAAGAGACCTTTAAGGAAAACTTTCTCGAACCGCTTACTCTTGTGGAGGATCTGGATATCGAAATAGAAGAACAAGGGTTAACACATAGCATAAAGGGCGATGAAGAAGTATCTGAAAATAATCAACCAGTATATAACAGACGAGAGGATAATCGGAAGAAACAAGAAGATGATTATAATACTTCAAGCTCTCCAGTAAGTTCCAGGAGTTCAATTTCACTTTCTAGATCAATCTCGCCATCAGTGTATAAGGAATACGTTAATGACATGAATGAGTTCAAAACAGAGTTTTCCAACCCACAGATATCAACAAGCAAAGAAACTGATCAATTAGACCAACCAGAATTGGTCACTGTTGTGAAAAAAAATCAACTCCAGCCTTCTAAGAATGACGATGATGATGAAAATATGCATAGAGACGAGATTGTTGAAGAGAGCGATGCAGAGGAGATTACTAGGGAGAGTTTCGATAATAAGACACCAAATGATTTAACAACAAAAGAAAATACTTTGAAATCAAAGAGTACAAAAGAAACAATACCAGAAGGAAATACCAAAGAAAAAGATACTACAGAGAAAAATACGCCAAAAGATGTTACTTCGAGAGATAATTCACAAGCGATTTCAAAAGCTATAGCAAGAGAAGATGATACAAAAGAAAATACTGCAAAAGAAGATACAAGTGAAGCTAAATACATAAAGAGCAAAGAACAGGGAATACATAAATCACGAGAAATGACTCAAGGTAAAAAAGATGAAGATAAGGTGGACATCGAACCATCGGATAAATTGCAAAATGGTTTCAATAGACATATTGACGGATCGAACGATGGATATTTGAAACCAAATGAGAAAGGAGAAAGACAAAAAATACATGCATTGGCAAGTGATTCTACTGTTAAAAGCAGAAGTTTGTCATTTGACCACCAGACTCTCTTCGGAGTCGAATCGAGTACTCCCGAAAAGAGGAAAGAATCCTTACAACCACCTAAGAACATAAAGCCAAAGCGATTCACACTTGAGCTGTTTGAAGATGAATTACTGACCATGTCTGATACCGTCAAATATCTCGAAAGTTTGCCAACATCAAAGTATGGACTCTACAATGATATTGAAGGAGAAATCACTGATTTTATTGCTGCCATGCCCGAAGAAGAAGAAAACATGACAATCGAAGAATGGCTTCGTCATAATGCCTCTAGCTGTGCCAATACAGTTCGAGACGTCGGTAATAAAATGATCAACTCCTATGCTAGTATGTGTGATGAGATGATTAAGGAAGTCGAGTCCTTACCTGAAGAGTAAATGCATTAAAGCAAGTATAACTCCTCTAAGGTCTTGGTAAAATATATAGTTATTCTACACCCACTCGAATTCTAAACCTACAACCTCAATAGAACACAACTGTAATCATCTTTCCACTAACCAGCTTTATATGCCATATCACTCAAACGATATTAAAAGAAGTATCGCCAAATGCCAGTGATAAAATTAAGTCACCGAAACAAAGGAAAAAAAAAAATAGAAGGCTCGTGAACGTTTGTAGGTGTCACTACCTTTTTTTCCAGTGAGTGAGTAAATCCATTAATTATCTTGAATTGGTTCATACTTCAATAGACCCTGATTGAATCAAATCAAACGTGATCAGCCTCTCTAACTCCAAGTACAGACACATTGAGTTTTCAGTGTTGTTACTCAAATAATTTGTTACTTACCGATTCAGTGTTTGCGAGATATCCTGAAGACAAGCGGAGCACCCATAAAAATAATCAAAACTGGACGGTAAGTGTCGAGTAATTAGATCAACCTCTTTAAGTGATTCAATAGATAAATAGTGGTTTCAGTCTTTGGTAATCAATATTTGCTGAATTGTTTTGAAAAAAGAAAAAACAAAGATTTCGGATTTGACCTTAATCTATAATAGAGACTTATTTGACCAATTAATAGACTGCTTACGGTGAAAATAAACAGGAAGAAATCATGTCGTTTTGGCCGTTTTCCAATTCTCTCAATAGTAATAGTCAGCTCCAAAAGTATTTAGATTCTGTTCAAGATCTATCTTCTATTTCGGTGGATGATCTTTTAATAGATGCTGTTCTTCTGCAGGAATTGATAAGTGAACTTCATAATATCAAAGGAAATTATAGTAATAATTATCCAAATTTCCAATTTCTGCAACAAACTGACTCAAATAATTCTTTTAACTCGGATACTGCTTCTTTAACTTCCTCAAATACCGATTTTAGTAATACTAATAATAGCAAAGATGCCCGTGGAGCAAAACTCATAGAAATTCTTCTTCAGCCTCATATATTAAGTGGATTTTTGGATAATTTAGTTGACAGTGTTGATTTCTTTCATAAATTGACTTTAAAAGAAGAGCAAGAATTGAATAAGCTTTTAGGAAATGATGAAAATAATGTTCAAAATAACTTAGACGATGACGTTGAAATTGGTCAAGCTGAAGATAAAGATGATGCTGATACTGATTCTAAATCTCAAAAAGATGGTGAGGATGAATCGAGTGAAGATAAACAAAGACGTATTATCCAAGCCTCATCAGATATTTTATCAATTGATTTATGGGTTATTCTGAATCGAATTCTAGAAACTCCAATCATTATTGAAAAATTATGGCTGATTTTACTGTTGGAAAATTTAAAAGAAAGCTCACCGTCAGTGTCTTATTTAGTCCACATATTAGATCAATTGATGGATACAAATAGTATAGAATTTTTAAATTACATTCGGCGCCAGAAAGGTTTGGTTGATACCTTTTTGAATAAAATTGAAATTCCGATGTTAATGGACTTTTTCTTAAGAATAATACAAACTGATAAACAAGAATCACCAACTGGAATCCTTGAAACATTACATCTGCAAAAATTAATACCAAAACTTATAGATATTCTAAAACCCCACCCTTCACAATTTGTCGAATCCTCTGCTAATATCCCAAACCATGAACTTTTTTTCAAACAAACTGCTGCTACCGATTTTATAAAAGCTTTGGTCACTATTTCCTCTAATACAGCCTTGGCGGTTGTTTTAGAAACAAATATTGGTCCAAACCAATTAACAAGAGAACTAGTATCTCCAGAAATCATTAATACTATGATTAATGATATTATGCTATACAAAGTATCATCTTATGGTTCAACCTTTCAAACAAATAAACACGGTATCAATAATTGTGTTGGAATAATAATTGAATTAATAAGAAAAAACAACTCTGATTATGATCTAAATTGCGGTTCCTACAGTTCAATGCTCAATAATGATGGTAATGGTGGTGGAGAAATCAATTCTTATGTTATGTATCAATGGCTTAAAGATTTTGACCAGAACCCACCTGGTCCTAGAGACCCAATATATTTAGGAGATATGTTGAAATTGTTCTCAGAGAATTTGGATAAATTTTCAGAATTAATGGAGCTCAAGCCTTCAGTGCCCTCTAGAGTTGACAGAAACTCAAATATTTTAGGATTCACAAAGTTCAAATTTTCGGAGCTAATTGCAGAACTTTTACATTGTTCTAATATGATTTTGTTGAATTCAAGAAGAATAAAGAGCGTGATATCAATCAGAGATCGTGTGAGATTACAACAGAATGAAAGATTGAAAGCAGCCTTGGAAGAACCTTTAATATCTGCGGATCAAGATGCCACAGATAGCCCCATTCAGGATGTTACTAGTGGACTTGATGACATTTCATTAGATAATATACAAAATGAAACCAGTAATGAAAAAGCTGATGACATAAAATTGGGAATTGACGAAAATGACCATAAGTATATGCTCGAAGCTTTAGAAGACGAAGAGGCTTCAGATGACGATGAACCTAGTATTTCACCTGAGAACCCATTTGTATGCGATGAAAGGGATAAAAGCATTAGGTCAAATCCTTGCGTAGGTGATTATTTTAAGACCAAGCTTGTCGATCTGAAAATTTTATCGAGTATCATTTCAAAGTTCACCCAATACCCTTGGCATAACTTTTTCCACAATGTTGTCTTTGATTTAATACAGCAAATATTCAATGGTAAACTAAATTCTTACAATTCTTTCCTTATTGTTGATTTATTCAACAATTCTCAATGCAATTTAACTGATTTGATAGCTGACTCGTATCAAGATTCATGTGATCCAAGACCCGGTTATATGGGTCATCTTATATTAATAAGTGAAGAAGTTGTCAAATTCACATCTCTTTATAAGCCAGACTTAATCTCTCCTATAATTGTCAATGCTATTTCTTCAGAAAAGTGGGACTGGTTCGTGAATGATATTCTTTTGAAAACGAGAGAAGTTTACAACGTAGTCTTGGGAGCTGAACAAGATGACGAGGATGAAGAGGATCCTCACCATGATAAGCCCGAACGTGACCATGATTCTTTTGGATTTGATTCTTCTACAGTTGGATATCTTGATTTGGAATCTTATGATCATAATAATGGCAATAATAAACACTCAATCATCTTAGGAGATAGAGATAATCATGATGCATTTATAAATGACGGGCAACATGATTTCCATGATGGGGAAGATGACGACCAAATGGAAGAAGCTAGAGTTCCAGATGTTAGAATTGAAAATATGTCACCAAACAGAGAGTTAGAAAATAACGATAACCTGGATGATGAATTTGATAGTACAGAAAGATATCATGAGAATGATTTTCTTGAAAACTTATCAGGGTCAAGCTCCTCGGATGAAGAAAATGAAGACGAAGATAATGACGACGTTAACGACCACGATCAGAAAAACGATAGTAACGAATTACGAAGAGTTCCTAAACATAACAATTAGCCTTTCTTCATAACCTTCTTTCAACAAGAGATTTCACTATGGAACAGTAAGAAAAAGATAAAAAAACAGGAAAAGCAAATCACATAGATTTCCTTTAAGCTTGTTAATGCTTAATGTTAAGTATAAACCAATCTCCAATAGCATATAAAAGTTAAATACTTCAAGTCACCACAGTAACTTTGTGAGAGGCTACATTAATTTTTAAATTTAAAACTACACCGTATAAATTCTCTAGCTTATATATTTAATTACATATTTAAAGATAGCAGTTTTAGATTTTATTTTTGTTTCCTATTTCTTGCTTTATTTGAAGGTCTTCCGTAAAGAACTTTACCATTTGGAAGCTCCTTTTTATCGCCTTTATGTGCTTTCTTCTTGGATTTCTTCAAGGTTTCTGTTTGTTCTGCTGAAATTGTAGTCTCAGGCTTGTCGAAAACAACAGTTGTATCAATTACTTTACCAGTAAGTTTACCTAAAGTAAGATTCCATAAATTACAAGGAAGCTTGAAAAACAAAGATTCTTTGAAGCCAGGGTTCACGTTAATTTCAGACTCATCAATTGGAATCAAGAACTGTTGATTATTTTCATCCGTTTCGATCAAGTTAACAACTCCTTGAGCAGAGATGAGAAATTGCTTGCCTGTTGCTTCATTCATTACTTTCCTGTCTGATCCGTCCGATGGAGGGAACTGTGAACCCCAAGCCTGAGTCTTTATTTGATCTTTCAAAGTAGCAATACGTTTATAGTCTTGTTTTCTATTGATCTTCAATGAGATATAATGAAGAGTTCCGACTAAAATAAAAACAACACCAATAGTTAAAATCAAACCAGGACGGAACTTAGAGTAGAAGTAACCAGTGCCTTTCCATTTAGGAAATCCTTTATCAAGGAAGTAATCGTAACGTCTGCGTAATGATTGGTCTCTCAAGATGTTACCAACCAAAGACAATCTTTGGAATCTTTCTTCAACAGTCTTCTTCAATTTCTTATTCCCCGCGAACTTATCCGGATGCAACTGACGTGATTTCTTTCTATAGGCTTTGGTAATTTCTTGCAATGTGGACTTAGGGCCTTGTAATAATCCCAACCAGGAGTAGAATGTAACATCCTGACCAATATCTTGTTTAATCTTGTCATTTAAACTGAAAATTTCATAATCTTGAGGACTCCAATTAGCAGCAACGGACACTTTCAAGAAAACACTCAACAATATGGTGATCCAAAAGAAGCCCAACTTCATCTTTAGTGTAGTTTGTAGAGTTATCCAGACTTTTGCAATGACAAATATTTCAGCACGAGATTGAAATTTTTTTTTTGTTAATGATTTTTCGCTACTCAGTGAACACGCTAATGAGAAAAATAACAACTAATGTTAATTGAAAACTCATCTACATCTTCTTCTTCTAACTTAGCTCAAAAGAACAGAATTATGCCTAGAGGTGGCCACTTATACCCGTTACCTACGAACTTAAGGTTCATATTTTTTTATAATGTGTGTGCAACTACGCTATGGTTTTGTTGTTTAGGAAGGTTTCTTATACTATTACCATTAGTTGGTAGAAGGTTTCTTCCAGGAGGCATAGCGGATTTCTTTCATGTGGTGGCGATACTACCATTTGTTGGTTTTGCTATTTACAAGTCGATGATTGATACCAGCATCTCAAAGAAGGACTTTTGGCCATTTTTCAATTCAGTGAAAATGATCTGGATCTGTTATGGGGTCATATTTCCACATCCAAAGATAGCCAAACATACATCTTACTCTTTGATAATATTCTCGTGGTGTATTACATATTTGATCAGTTTCAGTTACTACGGATTCAAGGTCAAAACTCGAAGATCTCCCCATTGGCTTTTTTGGGCCCAGTATCATAACTTTTTCTTAACATTCCCTCTTGCATTTACTGGTGAGTTAGTAATTATATTTCTTAGTCTTGGATTTGTTGAGCCTCAATGGCATGAAATTTTTATAAAGGCCACCTTGTTAGGTTATATCCCAATTGGTTATTTTATGTGGGGGCATTTATATGATAGAAAAGAATTGAAATTTGATCTAGCAATGGAAAAAAGAAGACAAGGAAGAGCTGCTCAGAATCAACGTAATTCAAATGATGCTAATCAAGCACCTGTGGTTGTCAATGATGCCCAACAACATCCATTGAGAGAATCCACTAGTCGTGCTGATGCTTGAAGTTATTTATATGGATACAAATGAAAAGTATCTAAGTACGAGGTTAATGTATACATGTATTATAAATATCTTATATAAGAAACATAAATTAGTGTACCGAAGCACATTTAGAAATAAATAAGTAGTAAATACCAGATTTCAAGGTAATTTTGCAACCAGACAACCAACTATTCAAACTTTTATGTTAAATTTGGTACCCACAATCATAAATCTACTTAAGGTCCAAAAGATGAAAGCACCGAGAGCAAGACAAGCCACTAAAACCACAAACATATTATAATCATGGATTGAACCTTTGCTAATAATACTGGCACCTATTGGAATAACTACCAAATTACCAACACTCATAAAGGCATTAACGATTGAATATTTCTTACCTAATTCGCTGGCTAATGTTATTTGTGCTAGACAAGTTGGAACCATTGAAAGAACACTAGCAGAATAAAACCCACCCAATGCAGCAAAAGCGTATAAAACATTCAAGCCTTTGCCACCAAATGGGAGCCAAATAACAAAAAGGCAGATATTGAGACCAAGAATCATAATGATATTAACATTGAATCTTCCCAATTTATCAGAAACATAACCAGGTAACCATCTTCCAAGTATACCAGTTGCATTCCATACGGTAAGAAGTAAATAGGAATCGGATTCACTAAATCCACGAGCAATGGCATACGAAGGGAAATAGGTAAGAGTCAAAATCAAACTCAACTCTCCCATGAATGCACCAGTTACTAAGAAACAAAATTTAAGATCTAAATTATTCAATCTATGAGGATCTAAGGCTTGAAGAACTCTATTCCAAAAACTTTTTTCAAAAGCAATCTCATCATCGATTTGTTGCTGGTGTCTTTTTGGTTTAGATTTAGGATCACGAGTAATTCTTTCCTTAGCGAGACCAGTTGCAATACTCATGAGAGTAAGACACATGAAAGCAACTGTTCTCATGGCCCAAACGAAACCGAATTCAAAATACAAGTGTCTTAATGTAAGAGTAAATAAAATAGCCCCAGCTGATCCTCCACAGGTTGCAATCCCAATTGCTTGACCTCTTTTCTTAAAAAACCATTGATTAATTACTGCTACTAAAGGGGGTAAACCAATACCATTACCAACCCCCAAGGAAATGAAACTTAAGATGAATTGCCAAACTTCAACACAATTTGCAGTTGCCATTAGCCCCAAGAATATCAAAGCTGTAGAGCATGCCAAAATTTTGAAAGCACCTTTTTTATCGAAGAGAGATCCAATAAATATACCTGTTCCATATGCCAAACATAAATAAATTGAAAAAATCCACGATATAGTGGAAGCTGGCAAGTTTGACAACTGGTGGATTGACAAATAACCCGAAACAGCACCAATACTGTTTATAAAGCCTAAGCATACAGTAAGGCCGCAAAAACACCCAAATAAGACGAGGTAAGCTTTGAAACCACCATCAGGATAATCCAATCCCTCAGTATCTTCCACCCCTCTATTCAAATTACGAGTCCTGGTTTCGCTTTCGTCATTCTTATTCCGTGTACGTTGTTGCTGATACAATTGGCCTTCTTCAATTCTTGCATCCATATCTATACGATCAAATGACTCCCGGCCAGATCTCGTGCTAGATTGTTGCACCGGAGCCATTTCAATCACTGATCCCATCATTTTTTTTTATCTCGAAGCACCAGGAGAATGCAATTATACGTTATGAAAGACTAAAGTTTGATAAAGAAGAAGGAGAAGGAAACGGCTGCTTTAAAACCTTTTCTTTTCTTTTTTTTTTTTTTGTTTAATTTGTTAGTAAATTAAGAAGGGAAACGACTTCCATGCAAAGTTGCAGCTAATGTAACGTCGGAGTAAGGATCTTCTAACTACAATAGTGAGGGAGCTCATATCATGTATCACAATAACCTTTATCTAGAGATGACTCAACTTCCGGGGTTTATTATGGGCATTAACCAATTCCTCAAAGAAAAAGCCATATATCTCGGAAGATAATAAGCGAGAGTGCAGATGTACGGAGGTTCATACAAGGCTATAGATGTCTGTACTTTTGACTAAATTGTAGAACTAAATTATAATGAAAGGATTTAAAAAAGATATCTAAGAGGGCGGGATCAAGTTTAATTGAATCTGGAGATAATAGAAGAAAAAAAAACAAAGTCAAAGAAACGGAGAGATGTGTCAATCTAATGATCGATAATTATGATCTAATAATTATGACCAACTAATAATTGGATAGTTTTCAAAGCTTCATATTTTAATTCATTATCACCGTTATTATTATCCAAAAGACCCATGATGTATAATTTATAATCACTTGATTTTTCGGTATTGATGAAGGTAACTAAATCTTGACCCAAATTTTTAATTAAAAATTGTAAGTCATTTAAAAGGATCACTTTTGCAACTGAGGTTGAATTTGAAGCAGATAAGATTTCGAGCATTTTTTTAACGATTTTATAGTTATTTTCTTTAAATTTATCAGAATTTTGTAACCAAAATTCATTTGATTTATGGGTTGGAGATGACCAACTTATTAAATCTGGATTTTCTAATTCAGTTAAGTATTCATCTAAAGAAGTTAATTTATTATGAACAATTTCATTCAAGATATCATCCAAATAATTTAAATCATTTGATAATTCTTCATCACTACCATTGGATGCAAATTTTCTTTCTTTTAAAGTTTTTATAATTGACAAACCATCATGGAATAATAATAATTTTATAGTTTTAAATTGTTCAGAATTTGAAACGCTAATTGCGGTAAAATTTTTCAAAGTTGAAACTGCAATTCTAACAATTTTTAATTTAATTGAATCTTTTGAAATAATGAGTAAATTTCCTATTAAATCTGGGAAATTATGAACCAAAATTTTATTAATATTTGGATTAAAGGATAAAATCCAATTAGTTAATAAAGTATTATAACTTAATTGCAAGTTGAATGAATTTGGTTGTTTAGCCAGAATCGAAATTAAATTATTAATTGATTTAAAATTTGATACTAAATTGTATTGTTGATAAATTGATTTATAATATTTTTGAGTAACCAATTCTTGTAATAATTGAATCCCGATGGATTGTGAATTAATGTCTTGAGTATTACCAATAAATTTTGATGATGATAAAACATCAAAAATTTTAATTAAAATTTCTTTATCAATTTTAACATTTGAATTATTTTTAGATACTTTAGTTAATAAGATTGTTAAATTGTATAAACATAAAGTTTGAACTAAAGTATCAGTATGATCTAAATGTTTTAAAAATGGATCATAAGGTAATGAAGAATCAATTTTTGATAAATTTAATAATGAATTAATAAACTCTTGCTTTGGTAATCCAATTAATAAATCATTAAGTAAAACTAAAATTTTTTTCAAAACATCATCTCTTGAATTAACATCTAATTTACTTAATGAATTTAATAATGTTTTAGAATGTAAATCTAATTGGGATAAAATCGTTTGATTTCTATTTTCAAGTGATTGTGATTCTAAAACTTGAATCAATTCAGCTTGTTCGGTTGTTATGATACCAGATCTTCCTAAACCATCCCATGGTACTACTTTATCTCGAAGTAGACCAGTAACATTTGATAAGTAGCCATTATCAATTACCAAAGGAGTCTAAATTTGTTAGTAAAAAAGATTCTGAATTATCCATTTTAAAGAAAATTTTCAAAGTTTACATACATAATCCATAATCATTAAGCAGATTTCTATCAGCAGCTATCTCAATCGATTGAAGATTGGTTATATTGACCAGGTAACTGCAAAGTATATCTTGATAACTTGATTGAAATTATCTTTTTCCCTCAATGCAATTTTCTTCCACAAATTGTGCTCCAATACACGACCACATATAAGTTCGGTGAATTCCACCATTTCATTTCACGACATTGGCTAGCTTTGAAAGTGCAATTGAGGACTGTCAGTCCATTTCCAATGCTGTTGTTTCGAATTGTAAAAAAAAAAACTGAAAGAAAATTCATAAGTTTAGTAAAAGCTTATGGAAAAAAACATGCCGTTCCCAGGAATCGAACCTGGGTTTCTTCGGCCACAACGAAGTGTACTAACCACTATACTAGAACGGCGATTTTATAATATTGTGAAACATTCACAGCAGATATACCAGTAAGTGTATATGCCACAATTGAACTGCGAAAAAAAATCGGCACTCCTCTGACCATTAAAACGGTCCCATGGTATGCTCTTCTCTTGGGTTTCCACGTCACCTACCGCATTTATTTTCAAAACCCCATTATCACCTCCCCAGACTTTACTAAGGCAGAACAACAATATGTCAAGGCCTGGGAAACACTCATCAAGCCACACCTCAAAGATAACTTTAACCTTCTACCTCCAACTGAATACAGTTGGGAAGAATACAACGCACTCATGACGCAACCATTGCCAGATACGGCTTTTGCAAATCTTCCTACGATTAAACCGGATTTTTTCCAAAAGACCAGCTATAAGCACCAAATCACCAAATATAAAGACAAAGACGCGGAACTTGGGTCTAAACAGCTCACAGCTCTTGCTTCTTGCTCGGCAGACAAATGGAAAACGTTTTGGAAACATATCAAGACCTTCTATTTCTCTCTCGACGTCAACACTGATCACATCCATATCTTCAACCTAGGTCTTAAACTATGGACATTTGTGAACAAGCCCCAATGTCTGTTTTGCGGTCGCCAGGTAGATCCCAGATTTTCCCGGGATCTTATTCCAGACGAGTTTCTCACCCATGTCTATTTAGAGTGCCGTGCAACTTATCTCATTTGGGCTTACTGCCAGTATCCTTCGACACAAAATGTCCCTGACAGAACTTGGTCTCTTTTTATAGCCAATGCTTCTCTGGACACCAACCAAATCCGAACTATTAATAGATACCACCTGATCCTTTTAAAAATTCAGGACTTTCGACTATCGCAGAAGCAGGAGTCAGAAAGACTTCCTGCGTTACGCAGAAAGGCTGCGAAAAAATTGGTATCTTATTATATTTCGGCACTCAATCTATAAATTAAACTAAGTAGTTCCTCTGGGAGCTCAACTCAACCAGCCCCAACCACTTCTATCACATCACTTAATTCAACATGGGTTTTCTTGACTAAACATAGTCTTTCCCACTCTAGGTATATATTAGTAAATAGTTATTAAATATATATTCTTATATGTCAAAAAAAAAAAAACGTTATCGAGGTATAGTACTAGGCATAAACTGTCTAATAAGCCCTTCTCGCTTATCGTCGTTTTAACTACTACAGTTTATGTCTTCCCAACTTGTACACTGCGCTATTCGATGATGAATGATCTTGATATCAGCCCACCAATTACCACCATTAGATAACATAGTACATCCTGCTGCCATTTTCTTCAGTACCCAAGTATCCCATACTTCCTTAACTGATTTACCTGTTATCTCATGAGCTTTAGTATCACATTGCCCTTTATGACTATGTGGTTGTATACTAACATACCATTCCACGGAATCGCCTTGACTCGTCGTTCCCGGAGTGGGGTCTAGAATCTCTCCGTGCTTTGACACATAGTAAAAACCCCATTGACACTCTTTAGCTGCTGGCGACTTAATAAAACCTTGAATTGTAGAAGCAACTTGCCCTAAGTTAGCTGCATAAGTCAATTCTTCAGAGAACCTATTATGTTTATTGTAGATCCACTCAAGCATAGAATAAAGATCATTTACATTTATCTTTAACAATCTCTCACCGATAGATATTAGATATGAATGGTAATTCCCATACACTGATTCTGCATAGCTGATCGAATCATTTCTATTGGCATTTTTGGCTAACCTAGGGACCATGACCCCTTCGATCACACAGTTACTACCTAAAACTTTTTGCCAGCTATTAGGATATAGATAACTCAATAATGGCTTGTAAAAAGCCTCATCGTTTAACAATGCAGAATGATTGTCATACCGTGTATGTAATAGTTCATTTATACTAATCGACCCGTTAATAAATAACCCTAAGCTATTTGATGCTGGCGTTTTTACTACCACAGCATTGTTAGCATATTCTGTGTTATATTTCAGACAATTATACAATTGATTTGATCCAAGAGCGTATACGTAGTTAACTAACACTAATGCGATTATCACTACTGACTTGGGGTTGAGCATAGTTATTAAAAATTTTCAAACTTCTCGTTACCTTTTTTTTTATTCTAGGAGAATCTTCTGGGAGGATCTCAGGTATATTTATATTATTCTTTATGAGAGTGTGTTTTGAAAGGAATCGGTGTCCGGGCCTGCACAGAGGGTAGATGGCTGCGAAGAGGTATAATAAGAATAAAGTACTAAAGGGAATATTACTTTGTTTATTAGTTAGTTGATTAATTAGTTAATTATATAGAAGGAGAGAGACTAAGGAGGAATTCATGATTATTTATATTATTCTCTTTGTTGTTATGCGGGCTTATTGTACGACCGTATAGCATCGTACGATGTTAGAGCCATGGAGAAACACCTTTCAGTTATAGGGAATTTCACTCTTCTATTACTCCACCTATTATACCTCGTATCAGCCAAACTAATTAGGAAATTCTTTCTCAGAATTCCCAGGAAACTCCTTTCAAATTTTTAAAAAACCAGCTTTTGGATTGGCTTTAAAGCAGCATAACATGAAAAGTAATATCTAGTGGAGGCCCCTAAAAGTACTTTGATTTAACTACTTAAAAGAAACCCTAGTTGCTTCTTCACTCCAGTAGTGCTCATGGAAGTAATTTCAAAGTTTTGTGCTAATATTGTGTGCATGAGTTGAGTGAAACTATCAATCCCGCTTGATTTTCTTTAAAAAAAGGTTTAAGCCTGTCAACTTTCCAATAATTCGTGAATGTAATACTAGAATTAAAAATGGGTTACCTTCATCCACTCGCCGGGTGTCTTGTTTTCAATCTACAAGATAAATCAGGTGATATAATTTACTTGTTTTATTTTTCATTTTGTTATGAAATGTTGACTCAGTCTTAATTACATAACGTTGAGCAATGCTACATGCTGAGATATTGGTCTGTGGAATCCAATGCTTTGTAAACACGTTGAGTAAATTTCAACATTTTGCAGCTAGTGAAGAGACATAGCCATACCGATATATAAGCCAGATACGGGCTAATATCTACTAATGGTGAATCGATATTTACAAAGCATCTACCCCAATAGAAGTAAAATATATTAAGCGAATAATATATAGGTTTACCATTGATACAAACTAGTATTTGTCAGCGTTCCAAAACAATATTAGGTTTGTTGCAGTTGGAGTCAGCAGGAGTGAACTAGTACCGAAGCCTAAATTTTCTCTTAATCGAGAAATAACTTCAGGATTCACCTCTTCCCCATTGTCATAGGCCACAGTTGAGTTATAATAGGGCAAATTACTGTCGAATACAGCAGAATGATCATTAAACCAATTAGAGATGCTTGCTATATGCGAATCGTTTGCAGGTTGAGTAAGGGGAAGAACAACTCCGTTATCAAGTAATAACGATGTAGTATCGTCGCTTTCATTGTCTAAGACTTGATTTTGAAGGAAGATATAAGTTAATTGGTCTTGGTTGAGACCGCTATCTCTATAGTTTGAAATCAAAGTGGGTAAAAGTTGTTCATTGCTGATGAAGGCAGTTACTGTCATTAAGACAGATAATGAAGTTAAAATTGATAAAATCATAAGTTGATAACAAGTTACTTCGTTATATAAATAACAAGGGAAATTAGGGATATTTATCCTTTTCACTCCCCTTATCGGCAGGAAACCGGTTAATTATAAAGTTTATGTCAAAACAGCTTCTATTGGCTAAAGATTCATGGGGGATAAATATGGCATGGTTTCGTTAATTACATTTCCGACCCTTCAAATGAAGGGTGTATTAGTGCGTGACTATAAAAATAGATTTGAGGATTTGGAGCATGAACAGGCATGTTCTGTTAGCAGATAAGGGTTCTAATAAGTAGACGGACTTGGATATAATCAGATACAGGCTTTATTCTGCGAGAGTTTTAGCAATTCAACTTTTCATGAGTTATAGATGAAGCTTGCAACCAACTGATTAATAAGATTAGTCGGGTCGTTTTACATCACTTTGGTAGCTTAGAAAGGGGCTTATACCAAATGAGAAGGTTTCTCAAACTTAATGGAGCCAGCTATTGGTGCCTCTTGCGGATCGACAGGGATATTTGAATTTTCGGTAATATAATCAATTTCAGTTTTAAATAACAACTGTAGTACCCTCAGGATATACTCTGATTAACCCTTAGCAAGAACCTAAAATGAAGAAAAAACTTTAAAGTTTTTTAGCAAAGACTATTTAACAACTTCGAAGGCACCTTTAATTAATAGGTTGTATGAATCGGGTGTTACCTTGATCAATTTTGATAAACGCATAACTAGTATATTTATTAGCGTATCAAGACTATAGAATAAGAGAACTTCTACCATTAAGTAGTGAAGACAACGTAGTGACTAGGATGCTCTATCAACGCCACTCTCCATTCTATGTTGCGGTGAATCATCTCTCGTGATGGTTTAAAAATGTTACCTCTACGGTTATATTCAAGAGGTAAACTAACTACTCCTACTATGAAGGTATTATTTGTGATACTATTTTGCAACAAGAGCCGGTGTACGGATGTTACACCAATGAAAATGTCCCTCAGCACAAGACTCAGGTCTAATGTTTAAGATTAGATGTATTATCTTTATAAGAAGTATGTTTATAATGTTTATATGATATGTTATGTTTTTAAGATATGGTTATAAGATCACATGTATAAGCATCACATGTTCATTACTAAAATAAGCGTGCGGATTGGCTGCAAAAGGAACCTCCGTACACTAAATTAAATTAATAAATCGAGGGTTTTTTTTTTTTTTTGACTCCGACTACAAAAATGAAATAACCAAACAACGTAAATTAAATTAAAGAATTGAAAGTTTTTATACAATAAATAAATTAATCAGAAGATTCTCTAGCGTATTCTTTTGACATGTCAGCATCTGGAATAGAACCACAAATGGTTTCAACCATGATACCAGTAACCAAGTAAGGATCGATATTAGAAGCAGGTCTACGATCTTCAAAATAACCATAACCTTCTTTAGCAACTGATCTTGGAATACGAACACTAGCCCCACGGTTAGCAACCCCACTACTGAAAGCTTCCATAGCCGCGGTTTCATGTTTACCAGTTAATCTTTGATCATTATCAGAACCATATAATAACATATGTTCTTTATGTCTTTTAGCCAATTTACTTAAAGCATCTTCAATTGATTTCATACCACCTGGGACTCTCATTGATTTAGTAGAAACATTGGTATGACAACCAGCACCATTCCAATCACCTTTTAATGGTTTTGGATGGAAAGAAATCTTAACCCCAAATTCTTCAGCAACTCTTTGTAATAAATAACGAGCCATCCATAATTCATCACCCATATTAATACCATTACAAGGACCAACTTGAAATTCCCATTGAGAAGGCATAACTTCGGCGTTAATACCACTGATACAAACACCAGAATAAAGACAAGCACGATAATGAGCTTCTATAACGTCTCTAGCATAAACTTTACCGGTACCAACCCCACAGTAGTAAGGACCTTGAGGAGCAGGGAACCCACCTTTTGGCCAAGCATAAGGATAGTCGAATTCATCAAACAAAGTATATTCTTGTTCCAAACCAAACCAAACTTCTTCATCTTGATGGGCCTTCATTAATTTGGCACACTCATGTCTGTGGTTGTATTTATTTGGAGTACCATCATTATTCCAACATTCGGTTAAGACAATGATATTATCACCTTTTCTAAAAGGATCAGGATAAAAAGCAACCGGTCTTAAGTAGACATCAGAATCATGACCGGGAGCTTGACCAGTGGAAGAACCATCAAAGTTCCATTCTGGTAATTCATCAATACTACTTGGAACTTTACTCAAGGTTTTACATTTAGATCTAGTAGACCCTTCCGAGTCAATCCAAACGTATTCAGCAAGAACCTTACCTCTTTGAGGTAAATCAAGATACTTAGATAAAATAGCAGTATTTTCAGTAATTGAAACCATTATGCAAGTGTGTTACTTTTAGCAACGATATATAAAAGGAAATAATAAAAAAAAAAACAAACTTTTGTATATGAAAAAGATATATATAAAGAAAACTAAATGAAAAAGTGAAAAATGATAAGGAATAAATTCAAGTTATATATGAAGGAGAGAAGAAAAAAAGATTAATTTTAATTTTAGTAAAGGTTTGTTTAATAGAGGTTTCTGCGATAAAAAGAAAAGAGCGAGCGTGATGTCCCGACAGCAGGGGTGGGGGTTCCCACCCGTCCAGCCAGCTGTTTGGGGACGTGGTCTCCCGGTAGCAGAGGGTGTCCCGATAGAACAGACCACGGTGCCAACGGTGATTGGACGCGATAAAAAGAGCGCACCCGGGGCGACACCCCCCGTAGCCGTATCCCGCACTATCGGGAACAGAATTCCATCTTTGGATAAGAAAGGGACGGGTTCCTTGTACGAGGAACTCACAAGTGTTTACCCAAACTACGGTGGTAGATATATATAGATGGATAGCGATGTTTATTTGATGGATGTATAAATACAAGTATATATAGAATAGGGTGATGGTGACGGATGTTGATGGTGATGGATGTTGATGTGATGAGGTTGGTGCTGGACCGTTGCGAGGGATGGACGAACGGAGCGGTCTTCAGCGATATCTTGTGCATTTTTTGCCCGTATGTGGAGATATCAATAAATTGATACCCCTGATCTATTGTGTGTCATCTGATCAACCATTAATTAATTACTGATAAATGGATTACTGTACTGAGTATGTACTGATTGTACTAATTGAGTATGTACTGATTGTATTGAATGAGTATGTACTATGTACTGATTGTAATTGAGTTACTGGTTGAATTAATTGTGTTGTACTAGTTGAGTTGTACTAATTGAGTGTTGAGTAACTAGTATGAGCAGTAAGCACTGAGTGAGAGTAAGCGAGTGAGAGTAAGCGAGTAATGAGTAATGAAATACTAGTTGAGTAACAGTAACGCGGTTAAGTAAAACGGGAAATCCTGAGTCAGCGAGTGAGTGAGGAAGTAAGTGAGTAATCGAGTGAGAGTAAGTGAGTGAGTAAGTTAACTAAGTAAGTGAGAAGTTACTGAGGAAGTAAGTAAGTAAGTGAGGAGTAAGTAAGTAAGTAATTAAGTAAGTAAGTAAGTAAGTAAATTCAACGAGTGAGTGAATTCATTGAGTGAGTGAATTCATTGAGTGAGTGAATTCATTGAGTGAGTGAATTCATTGAGTGAGTGAATTCATTGAGTGAGTGAATTCATTGAGTGAGTGAATTCATTGAGTGAGTGAATTCATTGAGTGAGTGAATTCATTGAGTGAGTGAATTCATTGAGTGAGTGAATTCATTGAGTGAGTGAATTGATTCTTGAGTGAATTGATTCTTGAGTGAATTATTTACTGAGTGAATTGGGTGAATTGGGTGAATTGATTATTGAGCGAATGAATTATTTACTGAGTGAATTGATTAGTGAATTGATTAGTGAATGAATGAGGAGGAGTTGTCCACTGACTGAATAGTGATGGATGAGTATACTCCCTTGAATCCGTGTTCTACTAAAAGATTACTTTCACCTAATGTCATTTCACTAATTTCAATTGGTTCTACCATTGGCACTGGTTTATTCTTTCTGATTTCTTCAATTCTCATAAAAGGTCCCTTGGTTAGTATTTTATCTTTTACTTATATTTCTTTTATTTCTTTAATTATCTTATTAATAACAAAAGAATTATCTTGTTTAAAACCAGATAATGGTTCTCTCTGTCAATTTCAATCTTATTTACTAAGTAGATCAATTGGGTTAGCCAATAATTTAATTTATTGGCTAAGTTGGTGTTTTACTCTTTCTTTAGAATTATCCATTTTATATTCTTTACTAAATTCGTACTTGTCAGTTCCTTACTATACTTCAATTATTACCATTTGGTTCTTATTAACCTTAATAAATTTATTACCAGTAAATTATTTTGGTTTATTTGAAGTGTTTTTCTCCCTTTTCAAATTACTTTTCCTATTCTCCTGGTTATTCATTACTACTTTGGCTTTATTTGGTCTAAATCCACACTGGGAACCAATTGGCTTCTCCAATTGGTTCGCTAATTGGCCAACCTCCTTCTTGGGCCCACTATCCTTATCTAACCTACTTTCAGGCTTAATTGCAACTAGTTTCACTTTCCAATCAATTGAATCAATTGCTTTAACTTCGGGTGAGTTGCAAAATCCTTCCCCACAAAATTTTAATAAAATTATTAAACTCATCTTATTCAGAATTATCGTGTTTTACCTTATTTCTTTATTCATCCTAACTCTACTTGTACCGTATAATGATCCGGATTTATCTTCTCTTTCTTCTCCATTTTTAATTGCTTTGAAAAATTCTTATTATCAAACTTCTTCCTTACTATCTCTCTTCAATTTTATTATCTTCACCACAATTCTTTCCGCTGCTAATTCAAATATTTACTTTGGCTCAAGATCTTTAATTGCCCTAGTGGAATCTTCAAATATCCCCCATTCTTCCCATATCCTCAAGACCGTCAATGGTGTTCCCTACATCTCAATCCTTTTAACCTCCTTTATTGGTCTTTCAACCATTTTACTACAATCAGATTCCTTGATCTCAATATTCAATTTCCTTCTAAGTACTTGTGCCTCGGCTGGTTTACTCATGTGGTGTCTTTTACTGTTTTCTTACATTAGATTTTGTCATAAAATAAATCATTCTAATTGGCTTTATTTCGCTTCTTGGTTCTCAGCTATTAATATCATTTTCATCCTACTCACCAATGGTATCGACAGCTTCTCCTTCTCTTCATATTTAACCCCCTTTTTATTCTTCACTTTCTGGGGGGTTCTTCATTTCTTCTTAAATGAGTCTTCTTGGTTGATTCCAATCGATTCTATACATTTTATTTAATCTCGTGTTTTTTTTAGACCCGTACATTCACAACAATAAATAAAAAAAAATCATCGTTCTCTTCGATTAATAAATCTAAATACATCTTAGAAAGCATTGACCATGATTGGGAAACTAAAGTATCTTATTCCTTTGGTGATAGCTCTTTATTCTTTTCATCTTCTTTTCAATGTTTGTCCTGAAATCAATAATACTGGATTTCAAAAAATCTTAATTGATAAATTAACAAATTCAGAATTGAAATCACTTGATCAATTTAATCATTTTGTTTGTTCTAAACCTCATGTTGCTTTAGTATCTCTGAAATTAATTGATTTTGATAATGATTATCAAATTTCAAATACCTTGAATGAGCATACTTCCAAATTGAAAATCCATTGGCATTCTTTTGATGATAAATATGATTTATCAAATCAAGTTAACCAAGCATACACAAAAAGTGTGGATAACATTCACTCCAATTTGATTCCTTGGCTCAATTATCATTATAACGAATTAAAGCTTAAATCAAGTCATTACTACACTATTGGTTTGGACTTCTCTCAAATATATTTTGATCAATTTTGTATCTACTCCAAAAGTTATTATCAAGATTATATAGTAAACAATTGGAATAAATTAAATAACTCTCCTGAATTCCAAAACTTTATTAAAGTTGCTAAAATTGATTATTTAATTGCCTTTTTCAAACAATTTTTCAATGAATCAAATGAGTCTTTTAAAGAAAAATTGCAATTCATAAAAAATGAAGGTAAAAATTTATGGAAATCAACTAGTGATAAACATTTTAAAAAAATCGAAAATAATAATATCGTTGATGTCGTTAAAGATATTCTCGATGATGTTTTAGAAACTCAAGAAGCTAAAGAACCAAAGGAAGTCGCCGATGATGAACCAAATACCGTTGATGAACCAGATGCAGTAGAAGAAAATGAACCAGAAACTGACGAATCTGAAGCTGGTGAGTCAGGCGCGGAGGCAGAAACTGAGTCAGGTGCAGAAGCAGAATCAGGTGCAGAAGCAGAATCTGAAGAAGCCGAATCTGAAGAAGCCGAATCTGAAGTCGAGGTTGAAGTCGAAGTTGAAGTCGAAAGCGATTACGATAGTTCTGACTCAACTGACGAGCCTCTTACCATTCATCTTACCTCAACCATTACTGAAACATCCGACTCAAAGGAAACCGCCCTTGAAAATTATGATAATAAAGAAACCGATCTCGAATCAAATACTGCAGAATTTAGAATCGATCAAGAATTAAAATTTTGGGATAATAAAGTTACAAAAACTTTAAATTTATCTTATGATAATTTGAAGTCTGAAATGAAACCATTTTTAAATTCTACAATGGGTGAAATCATTGATATTGTTTCCGCTAATTTAACTAAAATTCAACAAAGAAATTATCAATATTATAAAGAATTAGGTTCAATGAATTCTAAAATTTATAAAGATGTTGAATATATTAAAACATATAAAGAAAAAGTTGAAAACCCTGAAGTTCCAAGAGAGTTAGTTCGTGAAGTTATCAAAAATGCCCGTGAATACCCACCAAATGAATTGAAAAAAATTGAAGATTTATTAAATGAATATAACTCAATAATTTTAACAAAATATTTCGAAGTTATCCAAGAAACCATTGATATACTAGAATCATTTTCTGAAATAACCGTCCAAGATTTTGCAAATCGTTTAAATACTTTATTACAAATATTGGAAAACTCAAATGATCCAACTTTTTCGGATGATTTATCTTGGAAAGCTTGGAAACGTTTCCATAAAGTTAAAGATGAAATTTTCAAAATTAGAGATAAAATTTACGATGATGCAATTCATTTTAAAGAACATCCTTCTTCTTATACAGTGATACCAAATGGATTAGAAGATTGGATTAGTTATTTAAAGAATATAAATTTCCACATTGAATTCATTTTACATGATAACGACGAATACTTAAATTTGGCAAGAGCCAAAGCTAATGTTGCATTTCAAACTAGAGAAGGATATGAAAGAGAGTTGGAAAGATTACAAGCAGAAGAAGAAAAAGCCAAAACTGAAAATATTGAGTTTTCATCTAGTGGTTATAATGATAAAATGAATGGTACTCATGAGGAATATGATATTGACATAGTTAAAGACGATGGAACTGAGGGACAGGTGGAGGTTGAAGACCCATTGGTTGAAGAGAAAGAAGAAGATGAAAGAGAAGAAGAGCAAGATGAAGAAGAAGAAGAAGAACAAGAAGAAATTATAGAAGAAGTCGAAGAAGTCGAAGAAGCTGAAAATGAAGATGAAGAAGCTGAAGAAGCTGAAGAGGCTGAAGAAGATGAAGAGGCTGAAGAAGCTGAAGAAGCTGAAGAAGTTAATTCAGATTCGGATTTTGAGGGAGTTGAAGTGGAAGTGATTGAAGGAGATGAAGATTCAACCGAAGAGACTCCAGAATCCGACACTGCCGAGTCAGCTCAAACCACTGAGACGGATTCAACTGCCGAGTTCGATGAAAGTGATTATGCCAGAGAAGCAGAATACCGAGCAAGAAGAAACGTTATAGATCTTGGTAAAAATAACAAGGGAGTTCCTCCTACAGTTGAAGAAATGGTGAGAAGACAACAACAAGAGAAAGAGGCCGAAAAGCAAAAAGGTGAAGATATTGATGGTAATGATATTGATTCATTGAATGATATCGACAAAATATAATTGCAAAAAGCCACCACTAACAAAACGAAAAAAAAAAAAAAAAAGCGTAGTTTAGTTCTTATAGTTCATTTAATATACAATTATAACAAAGGAATAAATATATATTCAAAGACATAGATTATATAGAAAGAGGAAGAAATGAAAGGTTGGAAGACACTCCTAAAATAAAGATACTAACAAAGTCGTTAAAGAAATACAAACCCGGACTCATCAATGAATAAAATTATACAAGAAATACTTGGTTATAGGGTTTACAAATATTTTTCTTTAATTTCAGTAATTTTTGGAGCAACTACTGATTCATATTGACCTTTTAAATGAGCGTATAATTCAACAAGGTGATCATAAATATGAACCTCAGCAACTTCAATCAATTGCCATAATTGAATAACATAAGGATGAACAATTTCTAAATATTTACCCTTAACAAGTTGTAATTTAGAATCAACTTCATACTCTTTATAGTATGGATGAGAATGAACATGTTCATCCAAAAATTCATGAACTTTACTCAAATAAGGTTCGGCAAAATTAACACCAGCATTATATCCATCACAAATTTGATTATGATGATGACTTAACGGATGTAAAACAACTTCAGAACTATGTTCTAAAGGAGTTTCATTTAATTGGGAACATTTAAAGTTCACCAAATAAGCAGAGTAAACCACAAGTAATGTAAGGAAAAGCTTACCAAAAACTGATACCATCTTTAATTTAGTTATTAATCAATTGCAATTGACTAGCAGTAAAAGAAAAATAAAAGCAATCGTGGCGAAAGGAAAGGATTTTTTTCGTTTTTCAAAGATCGAGTAGGAATTTGGCGAACAAATTCGAATTTCATAAGATTTTTAATTAGAGTAACTAATTGAGTAATTTTGTTATTTTGGGGGTTTTAACATGAGTCACGTGAAACCGAGGACGCTATTTTGTATGTCCAAGGACAACACCCGAGGGGTGCTGCTGAGTTCCGGGGGCATTTTTTCACTATGTTTATTTACGTTTCTGCTTAAATAAGGAAGCGACCGGATGTTTTGTTTTTTGCAATTTTGAAGTCCATTGGATTGAAGACCAACCAAAGTCAACTAAAGATGGGAAACGCAAGGAGTAGATCAAGATTGAGAGGAAAGGGGTCTGTTCGAGACAATAAGATTGGTTTTTTTTTTTTTTTTGTCTAAATTTTCAAAAGCTGATTTTGTTCTTTTACAAGGTTTAACTTATAGATGACTGCAACTACTTCTACGCCTGACGTATCGGTTGTCAACGATACTTATGACAAAGAGAATGTGATTCCCAGAACGCCAACAAAAAGAAAGTCGTATTCGATTTTGAGTCCAATCAACAATGGCGTGAACAAGATTGAAACCTTGCCAAATAAAGAGAGGTTGATCAGTGAATCTACCGGATTAATCAAGTTGAATTTGTCTCCCAATAGGTCTAGTCCCAGGAAACCAATTAGCAAGAATGAAGGATTGCCGGTGTTCATTCCATCCAAGGTGGAAGAGGAAGTGAAAAATGAAACCAAACAAGATTTATTGGTGAAGTATGCTAATAAACAACAAGAATTAATCGAGTTGGAGAAGAAAGTCGAAGAAGTTAAGTTTAGCTTATTGGAGATTACCCAAAATTTGAAAAATCATGAATTTAATGAAAATAAACCTACTAACGTAATTGAAAATCAATTCAGATCAATTACGAAGAAAGCATCAAAAATGTTTAATAATCAACCTCAAGTAGAAGATTTTGAAAATAAATTTAAAAATTTAACTAAAAAGGCATCAAATATTTTTGAAAGCCCAATAAAGAATCAAAATTTCTTTAAAACACCTTCGAAAACCAATTTAAATAGCTTTTTCGATGACATCAAGTATAAATTTGATCAGCAACAACAAGAATTGAACCAATTTAATAAAAAAACTTCAAAATTGGTTAATGGGTTTATATCAAACATGTCATCTCCACGAAAATCTTTACAAGAAGAAGACGTAATTGATAGCTCTTTTAACTTTGAAAACATTGGACCCGATCAAAACGGCGCATATCCTACCATTGGAAGAAAAGTTTATCATGGTGAACAGGCCAGTGTTTTAAATTCGAGTATATTATTAAGTGAATCTGATGACCAGTCTAGTCTTCTTGAAGAGGAAGATAATGCCATCGTTGATATTGATGATTACAATAGTAGTTTTGAAGAATGAATATATTTATTAATATCGTAATACATAAATTTTATTTTAATAGTGAAAAACATCTATATAAAATAAATAGTAATGAATAAATTTTTTGTTCTATGAATAATTTTTGCCTACTCTTCATCTAACCAACCTTTTGCTCTTGATACTGCAGACTCCCATCTTTTCCAAATTCTTCTTCTTTCGTTATCAGGTAATTGTGCTACAAATTTATTATCTGAATCATCTTCACCGTGGAGTTTAGCAAGAACATCATCAAAATCTTTCCAAACTCTTTCATTAGGATCTTTGAAAGAAACACCAGCGGCGATTGCAGCTCCTAAAGCAGTACACTCAGAAATGGCTGCTCTTTTAACAGTAACACAGGGGCCCAAGATATCAGCTTGGATTTGTAAAACTTCATCAGCTTTTGACATCCCACCGTCAACAGCTAAACTACTTAAAGGTTTCTTTTCATTTTGTTTAGTAAGCGCTTCTTCCAAGAAATCTTCTGAAGCTCCAGCATCACTGGCCATGGCTCTTAAGATAGCACGAACTTGGAAACAAACCCCTTCTAAAGCAGCTCTTGCAATATGAGAAGAAGAAGTATATTGAGTCATACCAAATATACTACCTCTTGCACCACCATCCCAATAAGGAGCGTACAACCCTGAAAAAGCTGGTATGAAAACCACTCCACCAGAATTATCAACTTGAGAAGCCAATGGACCAATATCCTTAGCATTTTCAATTAATTTCAAATTATCTCTTAACCATTGAATAATCGAACCGGCAACAGCAATAGACCCTTCCAAAGCATAATGGGGTTTTGAATCATCGCCTTCCAAACTAGGAAACCAGTAACCAATGGTTGTTAAAGTACCATGTTCACTGATCAATTTACGACCACCGGTATTATATAATAAGAAACAACCAGTACCATAGGTACATTTAGCACTACCGGGTTGAACCGCCATTTGACCAACTAGGGAAGCCGATTGATCACCCAAGCAACCACAAATAGGAACATTCCAAATGGTTTTCAAAATATCATAAGCTTCTTGGGTAATACGATTATGGAATCCCAAATTCGATAAATTAGGGGCAACAAAAGACCCATAAAATTCTGAAGAAGAAACAATTTTAGGTAACATAATTTTAGTTGGATCGATATCCCAAAATTCTAATAATTCATCATCATAATCTTTTGTTTCTAAATCCATAAAATAAGTTCTTGAAGCATTAGTAACATCAGAAACAAAAGATTTTTCTTTGGTTAAATGATAAATTAACCAAGTATCAATGGTACCAAACATTAAATTACCGTCACCCTTTTCATATTCTTCTCTAATTACATCATCATTATCTAATAACCAACGTAATTTAGCAGCAGAAAAATAAGTTGACAAAGGTAAACCAGTTTTTTGTTTTAGTTCTTCTTTACGGTCATCGTCAGTCATTTTTTCTAAATGTTGAACAATTTCACTGGTTCTAGTATCAGTCCAAGTAATACCTGCTGATAACGGTTTACCAGTTTTTCTACTCCACACAACCGTAGTTTCTCTCATATTAGCAATACCAATACATTTAACCCTATATTTGATTTTAAGAGCAGGGTTTTGGTTGATTTTTCTTAAAGTAATTAAACAAGCAACAAGACATTGGACCGCATTTGCCAAAATATGAACTGGCATACATTCAACCCAACCCGGTTGAGGGAAACGTAAAGTTGGACCTGCAGATGCTGCATTATTTTCAATTTCAACATCATCAGTGATTGAAATAGCAATACCTTCTGCAGTGAAAATTGGTTCATTATGTCTTAAAAGCGAAGACCTTCTTCTAAATTGATCAGTATTGGAAGATTCAGCCGGGGCTTCGGATGCAGTGGTTGAATATTCAATTTGATGTTTGGCCACTTCAATCCCTTCTTGACTGAAAAGAATACATCTAGCTGATGTAGTACCAATATCAATGGTGGCAACCACTGGTATGGAGGGAGCATTACTGGAACGACGAACCATGACTGAATGACATAAAAATAAATAAAGTGAAAAGAATGAAAATAAGAAATCTAAAACGAATACTAGAAATCAAAAAAAAAAAACGAATTAGAATTGAAAATGAATAAAGATCTATACCTATGACAATAAATAAATCGTTAATATGAAAAAAAAACTTATATATAAGTAATAAAGCAAATGACTATTTCTGCAAAAGTCAGACAAAATGTTAACACAACAGCAATAAATATTTAGCAACAAAACAACGTCACCGCAAAAAACTGATACGTTTGTTACTCCTAGTCTCAGCCTACAAATCTACAGTCAATTACTGCTACTTAAATACTCTCCAGCGAACGCCGGAATTACTAAAGTCCTTTAAATGATTTAAAATGGTCGAATTCGAGGGTTTCTGTTTATTGGAGGAAGGACCGGGGGGAGGAGGACGTGCTCCACACAATTGGCCATAGTTAACGGTGGGGAAGGAGTAATTATCGGTTTAACTGGACCCATAAGCGATTACATCTAAGCGAGAGGCCAAAAGAACAGATGAAGGCCTGGTGAAGACTGGATGAAGACCTGAAGACCAGGAAGACTGATGGAGGCTGAATTGACCAGATGGAGGCTAGCTAGATAGACGAGTAAGCAATAGCAATTGTAAAAGGAACTCCGTACATTCAGCCATGTCCCAGTTGAGTTTATTTGATTGCAAATTGCAAAATTGCAAATTGCAAATTGCAATGTAGATATATTTGCATTATCATGATAGTATTATAAGGTAATATAAGGTACTATATGGTATTATGATGATTATGTATCAATATACGTGTATCTTGACAAGTTTGTATACAGAAACAATAGTCCCTTGAAATTTCAACAATGCATCAATTTAGGTATAAAAGGGCATGGAAAGTATAGAAATATGTTAAGAACCAAAGTCTCATCAAGATGAAGGAAGCCACTAGTAATAGATTGATCAAAGGATTGATTGCATTGGTGATTCTCGCAGTTATCTACTTGACTGGCTCTTATGGTTACGCAATCGGTGGTTCTTACGATACAAAAGAATCATCGGGCCAGTTCTTTAAACTGGGTCATAACTAATTCTAAAGAGTAAATAGGAATATATATTATAATATACTTAAATTTGTTGACCATTTTTGTATTCTTTACCCTTGACAAATTGTAAGCCTTCTCCCTTATACGAAGTTAATCCACTGACTTCAACCAAACCATCGACTGATGCGCCGTTTTGTTTAACCCAATTAGTCCCCATTTCTAAATAGTGATTTCTACAAGTGGTTGGAGTATCATTAGGAGCGCCATCGGCATTTTTCAATGGACTAAATTCTTCACTTCTGTTAACCTCAAGACAACCAAACTTACTTAACTCAATTGATGGGAATACATCAAAGATGAATTGTTCTAATTTTATTCCATTTGGTTCTTTTGGCTTTATGACTTTACCTTCTTTTGAATCCCAATAAGGAATTTTTTTAGTAGCGATATGAAATGGTAAGTATTCTTGTGATGAGATCCATTTTGGAATTTCTCTTTGCAATAATTCAACCGAATAATAATGATTAACTATATTTGCTGCTCTTAAAAATAATTTGGATTCATCATCACTTTCAGTTTTATTTGCTAATTCTGGGGATATTTCACTATATTCTATAACACATGGTTTATTATTTTCTTCATCTAAAACAATCAATCCAACACTTTCATTGGCGTCTCTTTTTCTAACTACTTTAGTTGCTAATTCAAATTTGGAGTCAATAACAAATCCGAAAAAAGTTGGATCGGCAACTTTAACTAATGAATTATCAACACAGTACATATGAAGATGCTTAATACCCTTGTTGGTCAAATCGTCCAAGATTCCATTGGTGGCTAATCCTTTATATAACCCTCCATTACCATCGGGGGCATCACTGTATTTACTTGGAGATTCTAACAAGATCTTGGATCCATCCAAGTTGAAACATGGCAAAGTACCTTGGTTGAAAAAAGTAACTTGGTCTGATTTCAATCCAAAATAATCATTTTTAATGAAAAATGATTCGGTGGATTGTCTAGTTGGACCACTGGTCATAATATACCATGGAATTACAACGTTATCTTTACCATAAGTTTCAGCGGCTAATTTTTCAATTTTCAAGATTTTTTCAGCTTGAATTTGGAAAAGTGATTTATTTGATGGTAATCCAATATTATAACATCCTTTTGGATCAGATGATCCTAATCTAGTACCTTGACCACCGGCCATTAATAAAACTGCAACTTCATTATTGGCAATCGCTTGTAATCCAATTTCATACCATTTATCCAAGGTTTCTTGTTTGGTATCAAGAGTAGAAGCCGTTGACTCAACCGGTAATTGAGTTAATTTCCTCGATTTAGTATTTTGTTTAGAAAAAGTAATTGCATTTTGAACGGTTTCAATTAAAGTTGATGCATCTTCAATTTTTGATAATTGATTTAAATACTGTTGTTGTTCTTCCTTTGATAAATCATTGAAGTATTCGAATAAGTGATCTTGGTTGGCGCTTTTAAATTGCTCGATGATATCGGTACTAGTCATGGTTGATGAAAAAGAGTATAAGTTTAAAGGCTGGCTGGAGATTTCATCTTTATATAAATAAGTCTGAGCATGACACGTAAGCTGAATCAGGTATAAACATAAATATGCGACTATAAATAAAACTATTTCATCGCAGCCGTCAAATCACTACAATCATCTACTCAACAAGTAGGTTGACAACGTGTAGATTGACAACGTGAATGAAGTACAGGTAGTAGTATCAAAAGTGTTTTATTAAGAAGGGTATTAGAAGTAAATAGGAAACAATATATACTTTATTAAAACAAGAGAGAAATTTGTTGGCTCAAATAAAGATAGCCAAAGCACCTCCAAGAATTGTAAGACCCAAGAAGGAAGTGCTGAATAAGGAGGTAGCATCGGAGGATTTCGAAGAGGAGGAATCACCACCAGAAGAACCACCAGAAGAAGAAGAATCATCAGAATCAGAAGAACCAGAAGATGACGAACCACCTTTGGAAGATTTTGATTTTTTACTTGGAGCAGAACATTTAAAGTTATGACCTTCAATCTTCTTCTTTTTATGTAATTTTTTGAAATCATCGCAAGAGAAGTCTTCGGAAGTAGAAACAACGGTGAAATCACCATCGACTTCTTTCAAACCTTTCAAAGTAAAGTTATCGAATTTACCTTTAATATTGACAGCCCCTTTAATTTCTTCTAATTTAGGGAAACCAATATCGGTTAATTCAGAGTTATTGTAAATTCTAAATTCACCACCGATATCTTTTAATTGATTAAAAGAAACTTCGGTTAATTCATCATTAGCAAAAATTTGTAAAGAACCACCAACTTCTTTCAATTTACTAATTTCCAAATTTTCGAAAGAGTTATAAGCAATAACACAAGTACCATTAACTTCGGTCAAGTTACCAACCGAGACATCAGCAACGTCTTGAATGGTTAAATTAGAAGCCCATTTCAAGTTATCTAATTTAACTTCACAATCATCACCATTGAAACTAAGAGTCAAACCGGTTTTAACATGATCTAATTGATCTAATTCAATTGAAGAGATATTTTTGTTGTTATTAATATTCAAAGTTTCAATTGAATCAAAATTGGTTAAACCTTGTAAAGAACTCAAAGCAGTATCCGAAACTTGGATTGAACCAGCAGAAGAAATACCTTTATTTAAATTAATAATGGCAAATGAAGGTAATGAAATTAATGATAATTTTTCAGCTTCTGAAAGAGATGAAAAATCAATTGAATGTAATTGAGTTAATGCTTGAACATTTAATGAACCAGAAATTGATTCTAAGTTATTAAAGTTAATATCAGTAATAGAACTACTATTGTAAAAATTAACGTCAGCATCAATTTTTTTAACTTTGTTTAATTGAACTGAACTAATTTCATCTCCGGTAATTTTAATTTTACCTTTTAAAGTTTCACAACTATTTAATTGATCTAATGATGCACTGGCTTTAATGGTTGTTGAAAATGAACAATCATCAGCTAAAACTGATGTTGACAATGATAATGCAGCTCCTAATGCTACTAAAGCTTTTTTGAAAATCATTTAAAAACGAATGAATAAAGTTAGAATATTAAAGAGGTGTAATTTGATTTTTCTTTTCTTTGGGATATCTTGTTAATTTATAAATTTGCCGAAACACCAAAAGCGAACAAGAAACTGAAAAAAAAAAAAAAAAAAAACAACATTAAAGAATAACAAAACAAGTATCAGTGTTCCTAAATCATTTGACATAATGTTAGTCTAACAGTGTTTACAAAATTAAATGAAACTAGAATTTTGCAATTGTCGCCAAATCTCACTCTGTAGTGTACAGTCCAGTATACTAACACCCTACAATAAACTGTTTATTTGTTTACTATGTTAAGTTATTAACAGCTTGATTAATTCTCCAAGATAGACGAAATCATGAACCATGACGAGTTTACCTTTTCGATAAACCAGTCAGGAAGCATGGAGAAAGTATCAAGTTTTTGTAAATGGTCTCTACCAAAATAAGGTACATTTCAGGGAACAAAGATTAGATCTAAGAAATACTGAAAAGAAATACAGAAAATACAGAAAATACAGAAAAGAAATACAGATATTATAGAAAGAAGTACAGAATCAGGAACAGAAGGAGTACTTTAGTTTGCTCGAGTGAAGGAGTTCCTTGATTGACGATGGTTGCACTCTCACTAAATTTTCGAAAATTCTTTAATGCTGCAATCGATTTTTGGCGTTTTTTGTATCTTTTTGCAACGTCAGCGCGGCATCGCGTTCGTCTACTAAACGGTCAAGCTTCGTCTTTCCCATATGATCAGGGATATGATCAGGGATATGATCAGGTGTGTGATCAGGGATGGGATCAGGTATGTGATGTAAAGATAGAGGTAATGAAGTATGATGTAGAGGTATGATACGATGTAGGTAATGTATGTATGGTCAGTATACCCAATTAAGCGGAACAAAGATCAATTGGGTAATCTTTTTACTAAGACAGTATAGGCGCAGTTTCATCAGTAGCCTTTGGATCCACTTGAATTTTGAGTTGGGTGCACTTACGTCCCAATAAAGAGGCAGTGGTATATTTACTAATGCTTTGCTATGTCACTGCTTGATTAGTATAATTATACGCTTAAATATTAAAGTAGAGTTCTTGATCTAAACCCTGGCTGGAGTCGTACTGGGGATCGAAAATCGAATAAACCCGCTTAAAAGAAAAGACCCGTACATTTCCATCTAAAACCCGTACATGTTTTTTTTTTGTTTTTCCTTTGTCCGATTTTGGTAGAACACGCCCTATCGACCTCTTTGTAATAACTATCTTGATTTATCTATAACTATCTTGATTTATCTATAACTATCTTGATTTATCTATAACTATCTTGATTTATCTATAACTATCTTGATTTATCTATAACTNGATTTATCTATAACTATCTTGATTTATCTATAACTATCTTGATTTATCTATAACTATCTTGATTTATCTATAACTATCTTGATTTATCTATAACTTATCTATAACTTGATCCTTAACTTTATCTATTTGATCCTTAACTTTATCTATAACTTATCTATAGCTTGATCCTTAACGTTTTCTATAACTTATCTATAACTTGATTCTAACTTTATCTACAACTTTTAAACTTCAATTATTGATATATTGGAATATTGTTGAATATTTGCAATATTTAAGTATTGTAAGAACGAATAAGCAAAGCACAGTCTGTTAACAGTACATAAAAGACCAACGTACAATAATAGTCAGCTAAAAGCTGTCATTATAAAATACCACTGTAGATATTCTAAGAACTAGATTATCCTTTTATTGACAGCTTGGTTGCAAACGGATTTCTGCAGTTTTGATCCAAATAACCTGCAAATCAGCAGGTGAACTGTACGGAGGTTTGTTTTCTTTTTGTATACGTGCCCCCACCAGATCCTCTTCCCTAAAACGCGTTGTTTATCAATTGCTCCATAGGGTTAATTTGTAAACCCATCAACAACTCAACTCAACAATAGTCCAACCACCGTTTAAATACTCTAATAAGCAAACTCATAAACACTTTAACCTAAACAAATCCTTCATCTTTCCATACATTCAAAGGTTCTCTGCTGTATTCTCTGCTTTTTGCTACACTTTATTCCTTGCCGCCTCGCAACCAAATCAAACCCTGGTTACTCTTGAAAACAAAAACAATCGTCAACTGCTTAATCTCACGTTAACCTACAGCGCTATTCCTACTCCATCATGGCTAATCCAATGGAGGAATTTCCCACTGGGGATTCTAATAATTTTATCAAATTTGAAAATTCTAATGATCTTTTTGAAAATGAAAATGGTATGTACTATTCATCATCCATTGTTAATTGATATTTATCTTTTGGCTCAATTTATCGTCAATTAGACGATATCCTCTTGTCTTAATGCTTTTTTGATTGTATTAATGCTTTTTTGATTGTATTAATGCTTTCTGGTTGTCTTGTTCCCAATGATTTTGTCAATGGATTCTTTTGTTCTCTACCCATGCTTTATTCTTCGTCTATTGAGACCCTTTCATCACCTTTGTCTATTCAAGAATCTCTGTTTTATACCCTTTTCAGTCTTGTTTTTGTTTTGATCATCCTCTAGTATCCCTTTTTTGCACAAACCTTAAAACCATATTCAATCCCTTCTTTTCCCAATTATTATCAACTTATACTAACCATCGTATAGCTTCAGTCGATCTACTCTTAAAAGAAATGAATCAAGATCCTTCTAATATATCTAATACAGATATTAATCCAACTAATTCCACTTCAACTTTAACAAAACCTTTAAATTTCTCGAAACAATCACAAATTGAAAAACAATCACAAAAAATTCACGAAAAGGAATTTAATTCAAGTTCTGATACTTATATTAGTGATTCTGAATCCAATAAAAACACGAAAGAAAAAGACGAATCTGAAAATCAAAACAAATTTCTTTCTAATGAAATAATTCATTCTAATAATATGATCAATAATGATGAAATGATTAATGATCAAGATAATTTAATAACTCCTTCAAATTCAACTACTTTTAATAATTTAAATTCAACTTATTCAAATAATTCTCCTTCAAAATCAATAATGAAAAATTCAAAAAATTCATTATCTCCAAGGAAAAATGTTGCATTTACTAATTCAAACCCAGAAATTCATCGTTATAAATCAATACAAGATTCTTCAGAAAATACTTCAACGAATCAAAATTCTTCAATTGAAGAAGATTTAAATAACCTTAATCATAATTGGAATGAGTTAGATAATGATTCAAATTCTTCGGAAAATGAAAGTAATTCAACTCCCCCAGCTCCTCCTCCTCATAAATCAGATTCAATTCATACGTTCCATAATATTTTACAAAATAATCCTTTAAATAATAAAGATATTGATAAAGAAACTTTATCAAAATTAAAATTAATGAATAAATTTAATGATATGTCTTTAAATGAAAAATTGGAAATTTTTTTAACTTCAAATTCAAATAAAGATAAAAATCATGAATTGGATGATCATTTAAATAAATTAAATAATGCTACAAAATTTCAAACTGATTCGAATATTCATTATTTATCTTTAAATTTACAAAATCATCAAATTAATGAAATTGAAAATCCTCTTAATTCCTTAACTACCAAATCTGATCATAGAATAGATTCCAATGGTTCTTCTCAATCTTCTTTACAATCTTTAAGTATTGATAATAGAACTTTACAATCAAAAAATTCTCAACTTTCAAATAAAGGTATTGAATTAAATGATGGTATAAAAGGTTTCCCTGATCATTTGGTTCAATCATTAATTCCTTCCACTACCGACAGACTCAATCATGAAGATGAAGACGATGATGATGATGAATTTCATGATAGTTTTGATAATTCTTATAACACTGCAGAAAAATCGATTTTGAAATTATTAAATAATCCAAATGGTGATAGTAAATTGAAAAATGAAATCTCAGAGAATCCTTTAGAGAATCCGTTTATTTCAAAGGAGTCACAGGAAAATCAAAATTTGAAAATAAAGTCCGAACATGATGAATCAAATCTCGAACAAGATGAGGTATTTAAATCAAAATTGAACGACATCATCAAATCTAATCCAAAAAATTTCCCTTCCTCTTCATCAGAAGTTAAAGAGGAACCAATACCAATAATAAAGTCTGAATTCCCAAGAGCTCCTTTATATTCTGAAAAATATCAAGATGAAAAAAAATCGGCTTTACCAAAAGAAGAGCCTGAATCTGATTCTAAAAACCTAACGGAAGAAGCACTCAAAGAGAAACATTCAGTGGAACCAAGTCTTGCACCACCTCAAGTCAAACCAGAACCAAAACCTTTAACTAATGAATCTTTTAAACCAGAACCAAAGCCTTTAACCAATGAATCTTTTATGAAACCAGAACCACAACCTATATCCGAAAAACCTCTTGTCAAACCAGAACCAGAATCTAATAAATCTCTTCTCAAATCGGAACCGGAACCTTTAACCGAAGAGAAATCTGTAAAGCCAGAACTTCAACCTTTAACAAACGAAGAACCTATCATGGAACCTGAACAGAAGCTCCCGATAAAGGAAGAACCATCTGTAAAACCTGAGCCACAATCCTTATTAAATGAAGAATTGACTACCAAAGAAGAATCAATGGAAGCAATTGATAAGAAACCAACTGTTAAAAAGGAACCGGTTGCTAAAGAGGAATTTAAATATGAAGAACCATTGGTGAAGAATGAACCTTCGTTAAAAAGTGAGACAGCTAACTTTATTAAACAAGAACCATTTATCAAAGCAGAACCTCAGACTGTTATCAAACCAGAACTCAATGAAACACATCTCACCATCAAACATAAACCTTCTGAAGTTATACTGGTTAACTCACTACAAGATCCAGTGGTGATTAAATCAGACCCTGAAACGGTTCTGATTAAATCAGAAACTTTTGACCCTGTTTCGGTCAAATCTGAAGGGTTTGATGACATTTGGGATGATGAAATTGACGATAAGAAGATTGATTATGATATGAATAATGGTATAGGTAAGTCATTTAAAACTGACATTCAATCTGATCAAGATGATGATGAGAATCTTGATCATGTCGCTAATACTCAAATTGAATCAGTTTCCTACGGAGTTTCTTTGGACCCAAATGATTTGAAATACATCCAAACCAAAAGTCTCAATAAAAATGTTCCTAGTAATCAAGATATAAACATTGAGAATGGTCAAAGCGATAGAGCAAGTATCAATAATTCCAATAATTCTTACAGTCATGACGGCGATAATGAAGACAACGATGAAGAAATAACTGATAATGAATTACATACCATTCATCATCAATTGGAACAACCTAAAATACCGTCAAGTCTTCCTGAAGATTCTCCATATTCATTTAATGACTACCAGGATGCTTCTGAAGAAATCATTCCAACTTTGGCACCTCCAAGAATTGATGAAGCTGTTGACGCGACTATCCCACCAACACCAGTTAAGCGTGCTCTTTTAAAGAAACAAGAACAAGAAAAGGCACAACAAGAATTAGAAAAGCTGTCAGAAACCAATGAAGAGGATGACGCGTTGGCAAATTCTTCCAATATTGCTCCCCCTGATGGAATAGCATTACCGCCTATTGAACCATCTAACTATTCATCTTTCGAAGATCTCGCTAAACATTTAGATCCTAAACGCGATGTTTCAAATAACTTCAAATACATTAGTCCTAGAGAAGCTTTGAAAAATGAACTAGATGCTGATTCTTTCGAAGAATCATTATCTGCTGAACATGAGGCTGATCCAAACCCAACTGATTTCATCTCGATTTGGCATAAACAAAAAATAAAGGCACCCATGAGATCAGACATCAAAGAAAGATTCAGAACTCCTGAAGTTCCCGCTTATAAAGCACCAGTTTTGCAAACTGATAACCAAATTAAACTTCCAACATCCTTGCAACAGAAGAAGTTTAAAGAGGTTAATGTTATGTCTAGGAGAGTTGTTAGTCCTGACTTTGAAGACCTACAAGTTTCTGGATTTTTACCCGAAATTTCGGAAGACTCTGGTTTCAGCAATCATTTTAAGAACTTGGTTAAGAATGGTGAAACTTCTATGAATATTAGTGACTTATCCCAAGTTTCTGGTGATAAAAAAAGCATGACTCCTTTAAGTACAAGAAATGTCTTATCTAATATGGATAATGACCCTACTTTACTTGAACCACCTCACCCAAAACAAAGTCAAGCAATGAATAAGTATAATAATGGTTCTCGATTCTCATTTACCGTCCGTAATCCTGTTGAAATGAAAGGCTTAGGAATTACAAATGATCCCAAAGCGAGAACAATCAAATCTAAAACATCAAGATTCAGTGTTCCATCTTTTGAAATTAAAAGATCAAACTCGATATTGTCACCAAAGAATCAATACGATGACATCTTTGATGACACTTTGAAACGTGCACCTACTATCAAATCTCAAGGTATGAAAACTTTACCAAGTATGGATCGTGATGATGTCAAGAAGATTTTGGATGCTAAACGTGCTATTAGCCAAGAAGAATATTCTAGAGTTAAATACTTGGGTCAAAGCAAGAAGGGTTCAATTGTTGATGAACCAAGCGATAAATATGATTCTCTACAACAGCATGCCTCGATATATGATGTTTCACAAGATTCCAGTCCTCAATTACCTGAACAACATGCTTTGCCTCATATCACGAGCGAGTTAATGAAGAATCCAACTGCAATTTTAGCTAAAAATCATGTCTTCAATACTACTCAAACCCAAGTACATGATTCTGTTCTTGAATACAACAACTCCCAGGATAACTCTGCCATCAACAACTCAATTATTAACAACACAATGGCTTCCCAAAAAGACAAGAACATGGAATTCGTTGCATTCCCTGATCCAGACCCTGACTTGGTGAAGTCTCCAGGTGTAACAGGTGAAAACAATATTTTCAAAACACCTCCAAAAAATGTTGAAGAAAGAGCTCATGATGATTTAGATGATGTTGAAAAACATGCAGCTCTTGATGATGATATTGAGAGACGTGCTGCTATTGATAATGAGTTGGAAATGAAATACAAAATTATCAACAAGTCACCTAAAAAACCTATCACTCCTAAGAAATCTGGTGCAATTAAAATTGGTTCACCAATGAGATTGGTCAAAACTGGGTCCTCCATCACTGGTGTTGCATTGGATTCACCTACTAAAAAAGCTAGGGTTCATAAAAAGAATAATCCTTTCAGATCGGATGACACTTTGAAATACAAACAAAGTGATGGTTCTTTATTAAATGAAGCATTATTGCCATCAACCCTTTCTGTCCCATCAACTAGTAAATCCTCGAATGCCTCATCAACAACATTAGGTAATAATACTTCGCATCAATACCGTAATGTTCTTGGATCTTCGGGACCCGTTGCAGTACATTCACCAATTGCCGAGGAAAATGCAGCTTCTCCATCATCACAACCTCCACAGCTTCCACAAGAGAGAGGCCGCTTATTCCTTAGAGTAGTTGGTATTAAAGGTATTGAGTTACCAGAAATTAGAGACCACCAAGCCGATTTTTCTATTTATTTAGACAACGGTGTTCATTGTATTAAAACTCCAAGCTATAAATTAGACTCTAACAATATTAGTATCAACAAGGAGTTTGAACTTACGGTTGGTGAAAGCTTGGAGTTCATTATGACCATGAAAACTAATTACGAAAAGCCAAGAGGAAAATTAGTAGAAGTGAGAGAACGAAAAGTTGTCAAGTCAAAACATAGACTCAGCAGAATGTTTGGATCTAAAAATGTTGTTACAACCACCAAATTTGTTCCCCAGGAAAGTAATGATTCTTGGGCACATAAATTTGCACAAGACGGATCATTTGCTAGATGTTATGTTGACTTAGATCAGTATGAGAATCAAATAACTGGTCGTGCTTCTAGCTTTAACATCACATGTTTCAATGAATGGGAGACTTATATGGACTATAATACCAAACAAAGAATTAAATCTCAACCATATAGAATAGCACAACTTGAAGTTAAGATGTTGTTTATTCCAAGAACAGATGAACAAGAAGTCTTACCAACCAGCATTAAATCTGCTTACGAAGGTATCAATGAATTGCGCCAAGAGCTTGCCTTCTCCCATGAAGGTTACATGCATCAAGAAGGAGGTGATTGTGAGATTTGGAAAAAGAGGTTTTTCAAGTTGGAAGGTACTTCTTTAATTGCTCATAGTGAATATTCACATAAAACAAGAGCCAAAATCAATTTGGCCAAAGTTGTTGAAGTTATTTATGTTGACAAAGAGAACTTTGATAAGACCAAGAACAACTATAGAAACTTCAGTGATATCTTATTAGTCGAACATGCTTTCAAGATAAAGTTTGCTAATGGTGAAATAATTGATTTTGGTGCTCCAAATAAACTTGAAAAGGATACCTGGATTTCAATAATTGAAAAGATCGTTTACAGAAATAAATTCCGCCGTCAACCTTGGGTAAAATTGATGCTAGAAGATGAGTTCAATGCTTCAGTCAACCATAGATCATCTATTATGCTTTAGATGATGATTTTTTCCCACTTGTATACATACTTTTAAATTATGTCAAAGAGTTTACTCTTTCTTTCATTCTGTACGTTTGTTTTATTAAAATTGTCATTCACTTCCTATTTTTAATTTATATATATATAGATACATTTTACTAATCTAATCTAATCTAACTACTATTTTTGGGGCCATTTTGTAGATACACCCGCACCTCCAATTGATAATGAAAAAAATCAAAAAAAAAAAAAAAAAAAAAAAATCAAAAAAAAAAAGTGAAATGAAAACACTTCAGATTTTTAATCACTTGATATAATCAATCATCATCTTGTCTAGCAATTATGTCAAATAGCAGTGACGAAGAGGAGAATCTTTACAGCTCTGACGAAGAGTCTCAGCCAGTGACCAAGAAACAAAAGGTGAGTGTTGGAGGTGGCTCCAAAAGTACATCAAAAGAAGCAGGAGACAAAGAAGGTTCAGATGAGCTAGCGAAGTTCGAAAAGAACAAGAAGGAAGAAGATGAAAAAGAGGCTGGTGAAGAAGAAGAAGAAGATGATGATGAAGATGACGAAGATGACGAAGAGGAAGATTCCGACGAAGATATAGAGTTTGTCATAGGAGATAGTGGCCCTAAGCCTTCCACAACAACCACTACTAGCACAGGACCAATAAATGAAACAATAGCATCTGTTAATGATGACGAAGGCGAAGCTGATACAGAAAACAAGGTTACATCAGGTACTCCAACCATAACAAATAAGGAATCAACCATTGATATAAATTCAGTTGCTGAATTTGAAGGCAAACCATTGACACAAGTTGACTTAGCAAAACTAAAAGATAAGCCATGGAGATTTCCAGGGGCTGATATATCAGATTATTTCAATTACGGGTTTGACGAATTTACATGGACGGCTTACTGTTGCAAACAAGATAAGTTACGAGGTGAATTCAATCCTCAAAAAGTTATGGCTTCAATAATGAGTGGACCTTCGCCTGCGGGTCCACCAGGTGGTAGCGCATCCAATACACCTCTGAATAAAACATCAAACTTACAGTCACCACCGGTTGGTATGCCACCAATGGGTATGATGCCAGGGGGTATGCCAATGGGTATGATGCCAAATATGCCAGGTATGCCTAATATGCCCAATATGCCAGGAATGCCTAATATGCCAGGTATGCCAGGTATGCCAGGTATGCCGGGTATGCCACCTCAACTTCCTAATTTCCCAAACATGGCTGGATTACCAAATTTACCTAATTTCAACAGTAATAAGACTGGTCAAATTGGCTTTGGAGGAGCACCTAACCAACAAAACAGACGATAAGGTCAAGACTTTATCAGATTGTAATATAGTCCAATTAATTATATAGGTTCAAAATATAGTTTTCAAATGAAACTTTTTGTAGGACCTTAAAATAGAATAATACTGTAAAACGTTCAATACAAAGTAAATTAAACATGCTATTAACGATATAAAGAAAATATTTATAAAAAAACGAATGGTATGAAGAACAAACCAAAGCAATTATCTCATTAGATAATATAATATATATAAAGAAAGAAAATGAATAACATAAACGGACGTGTCATGATGAAAAATCTATTCATCATCACTTTCTTCGTCAGCCTCTTTCAACCAGTTAATGAAAGGTTTAGCGGCTCTACGAACTTTTTTAGAAACATCTTTTGGGACGTATTTCTTTGAAACTTTTGAACCCCAAGCTAAAGCAACTTCTTCGCTAATTAAATCTTTATCGTAAGAGACTGCTAAAATTTTTGGGAGAGTTGGAATTAAATCTGGTTTTTCTAAACCTAAGAATCTTTCTAAACCACCCAAATAAGATTTTTCAAATTCTGCTTGACCATTAATTAATTTAGCTAACAAACCAACGTGTTCATCAATTTGTTCAATGATATCTTCATCGAATAAAACTTGAGATAAGACTTGAACAGTCTCTGGATTTTCGATAATATCTAATTCGACAATTTTTTTATAGATATCGATATCACTTGGTAAATCATCTTTTGAATCTTTTGATTCATTTAATAACCATTCACCAAAATCATTAAATTTAGTTTGATCATCGGATAAGTTGAGACCTTCTAATTCTCTTGCTCTAGCTTCGATAGCTTCCTTGGACATATCAACAGCCCAATCATCATCAGCAACTTCAACAGTTTGTTTTGATAAAGCAGCAGCTTCAGCATTAATTTTTTTAGTTAAGATATCATCATCATCATCGGCAGCTTCACCATTTTGACCATCAGCAGATTTATGACCAGAAGCAATATCAGAAATAGATTTACCACCACCAACAACATTAGCAGTAGCAGTAGCAGCTTTTTTACCTTTTTTAGAAGAACTATCAGGAGGATTTTTCAAGATATAAGAAGATAATTTATGTCTTGGATCAATAATAGTAACACGACCACAAGCTTTACAGTCTCTTTGTAAATCATCTTTACCTTTAATTTGAATTTCAGTTTCAGGGTTTTTACAAGCTGCACATAAGACAAATTTATTAATGAAACCATCTAAACAATCTTGTAATTCATTGTTATCGTGTGTACCATTAATTAAGAATCTATCCATTGAAGTTTGAGCACCTAATTCAGAACCAAAATATTTTAAGACGTATGAAGGAGGTCTACCTAAAGCTCTTGAAACTTCAGCTAAATTAACAATGGATGTTTTAATACCATTACCTCTACCTTCAACTTTAGCTTGAAGAGTAGGCATTTTATAACGATAAAATGGATCGGTATTATCACGACAAATATTAACAAATGACATTTTTTATCAATTTTCTTATTTTATAGATATATTATTCGGACTTGTTAGAAAATTCTTCAAGTCTTTTATGAAAAAATGTTGTTGAGTCAAAATGTTGAATGAAAGTATCTTGGATAATTTGAAAAACTGGATACTATATCTTCTAACTAGCAGAGTAAGTAGAAGTAGAGAAAATATAAGTGTTTCTGGTACAGATTGAAAGATTAGTGATGATTTTTCGTTCGATTTGATTTTTGTGGGTAAAAATTTTCATTACTTTGTGATTTTTTCCAAGAGGCAAACTGGTGTACGGGTCTATTTATTATATATATACTATTTTGCATCTATATCTTTAACTACTTGATCGGGGAAAGGTTGGACTTTCGAGAGGACAATGCACCTGTTGGCATGAGAGAGGTAACCTTTTATTTTATTTTTATGGATGAGGTTCGCCAAAATGCATTCGATTGAGTCGAGAGAATAGGGAACGGTATCGGAGAGATTGAAAGTGATTTGAAAAGCTGATAATGGAACGATATGATTTGGATTGGGTAGAAGTGCCACTGTTTTTTTAACTAGCTTTAAATAGCATAAAGATTTCAAGTTTTCAACTAAAAGATAAAGGTTTTTCTTTAAGAAGATGATTTGATATTTTTGTAGACAGTGGTTAAATTCAGCCAAATTCCCCAGTTTAATGGCTTCGAAAAGGTGATCTCTATAAATGAGAGATAAATTTGGGAACTGGCCCCATAAAGAGGATGAAGGAGCCAATCTTTTATTGTAAAGACGAAGGGGAAGGAGAATAATTAATAATTTTTCAATTTGACGATTTAGAAAAATTGAATTTTTAGATTCACAATAGGATAAAATTTTCAAACAATCGATTAGTTTCGCTTCACTTGATAAAAAGTCGGCATCATCCAAAGATAGCAAAGAGCTATAATAGAGATACGTCACCATTGATTTCTTCGACATTTGATTTGAAGAAGATAGAATGGTATTAACATTAGGTAAGTTTAAATTTATACCTTTCAAAGCTTTTTCCACTGATTTGGCCAAGTCCAAATTACCCAATTTGAAATAGATTTTGATAAGAGCACCAAGGAAGAAGAAAATATCTCTTCTTTTACTTTGAGAAAGGTCTAAATTCTTATCATTAAGTGATAATTTGAAAGATTTATTAATGGTGGAAGCCAATTTTTCCAAAGAGTTTGGACCGGTTGTGTTCAACTCGTCCAAGCTCATTGCAGCGGCTGCTTCTAATTGTAATTCTTCTTCCGGGTAGTTTTTCAGTCTAACCTGATAGATTCCAATTAACTCATTACAACAATTGATTAGAGACAAATTTATCCAATTACTTTGGGACTCCGCCGCTCTATTCAAATGATTAACCAATTCCAAGCTGTCATTGAAACTCAAATCAATATCGCCTTGTACATACACGGATTGAATCAACTTAAGATACTGTTTAATCACCGGTTTAAATTTTTCTGGTAATGGATATAAATCAAAATCATTGGGTACTGGATACTGTGATCTTGCTTGTCCCTCTTTCAATCCTGGATTTATCGAAATGTAATTCTTGAAGTGCGCCGAATCCTGGTTCACTATCGCCAAACATACTTTCTGTAGGTAGTCTTGTAACATTATACTGGCTTGTATGACTAGTACTTCATTTGTGTATAAAGATTGATCGATATTTCTTCACCCGTACATCCAAACCTGGTAAGTACGCGTCTTTGCCATTACCACCATACCATTACCACCATACCATTACCACCATACCATCATATTGTAGCTATACCTTCTCATCATCTTCTAATTGCCCTGTGCTACCACTCTTCATCTTGATCATGCCTATATCTTCTTTCCTATCTTCTGTACCTTTGATATGCCTATGTCTTCCTTGATCTGTAGCTTGTGATCCTGATCCTTTGGGGTCGGGTCCAACTGTTAGTCTTACAACACCCTACAGTGTCCTACATCGTCTTGCCTCCTAGCTGCTTACCCACTTGCCTTAGCTTAAGTACTATTCAGTCAATGGACTTACACCTTACTCACTGGAAGCACTGTGTGTACGGAGGTGATTGGGGCTATACAATAACGTCATTGATCCGTAGTGTTTATTTATGGATTAGTGAGTATTAGTATTAGTGTATTAGTATTAGTATTAGTATTAGTATTAGTATTAGTGTATTAGTGTATTAGTGTATTAGTATTAGTATTAGTGTATTAGTATTAGTGTATTAGTAATAGTGTATTAGTATTAGTGTATTAGTGTATTGTATTAGTGTATTAGTGAGTATTATTGTAGTATTAGTGTTAGGAGTATTATTGTAGTATTAGTGTTAGGAGTATTATTGTAGTATTAGTGTTAGGAGTAACAGAGTGCTAAGTTCTAACAAGTGCTAACAGTTCTAGCAAGTTATGGCACAAGTATGCAGACTATGAGTATGGGTAGGTGCTCGACAGTACAATTTACTGTCTTACATTATTCTAGTACCTATAGTATAGGATTAGCGCTACAGTAGTCCAGTATAGTTAGTCTAGTTAATATAATGTATGGCGAGTTATAGTATAGTTAGTATTAAAGTAAGTATTGAAAATTTTGTCTCCTGTTCGCTTTTTGAAAATCCCACATACCCCCAACAATTCCAAAAATTAGTTACTTGTTTTTCCTACCAACCCATTCTAATTCATCAATCACCAATAGATCAAGTAGGTCTATTCTTCATTGAACTGCACTTACATCCATTGCTACCAATTGCCTATTAGTTATCCAATTGCTGTCCAATCGTTCTCACTTGCTGGGCGCTTAGTTTGCACACGTATCCAATTCTTCCAGATAGAAAGAAAATCATTCCTCTTTATTCCAAAGTTTCCTTTGACCCAATCACTGTCTGATTTGTCTTGACAACTGGTACTGGGACAATTTCAATTGATTACCTGTACTCTTGTGCTTAGCGCTTTTCAACGGTGTAAAAAAGTTGTTTTTTTGCCTTAACAAATCAAGAGTAGAACGCAAAACTAAAACCAGCGCGATTCAGATCTAGTGGTTTAATGGTGTGTTGATTCAAAGCAACCCCGTCCCCTATTCATTTTTCATCTTTTGGTTTTTGTTGTTTTTTTGTCTTTTCTTTTTTCATATTTGATTTTTTTTTTTTTTTTTTTTTCACTTTGAAAAAGTCTACTCGTTGTATTGTCATTTCTCCATATAAAAGATGAACAATTACTCAAATCCAAGCTTGAACAATCCTTCACCTCCCTCAATATCTTTAACCCCTTCTAATTTCCTACAAAATAATCAAAATAATCCTCCTCCTCCTCAAAGAAATCGAGCTGGTACTTTACCTTCCTCCTTTTTAAATTCAAATTCGCATTCTCAACAAAATAAAACTACAACCACTTCATTATCAACTTCAACTTCTCCTTTAATCACTGGTCATAGTTATAATTCAGAATCTTTGAATTTACCGGCCATGGATTCTTTTTCAATTGGGGTTAGTCCTTCTCCCCAATCAAATGCAATTGATATACCCAATGCAAATTCTCATAATAAACCTTTCAATTATAATAATGTTGCTTCTTCTACTTCGTCAAGTAATATAGGAGCAAATGGTCCAAGACGTATGAGATCTGGTTCTTTATTTTCAACTAATTCAATTTGGAATGATGATGCTTTACTGTCCCATTCTCCAAATCAAGTTAATGGTGGTATTTTGGAATCAACTTTTGAAAACGATTCAAATCAAAATAATAATGCAAACGGCTCAAATTCTTTTTTAAGCCCAATTCTTTCAACTCAAAACAATTTATCACCCACAAATTCAACAAATGATTCAAATTTACCAAATACCCCTACTCCAGTATCAAATACTCCTTCAGTCACTCAAAGAAATAGATCTTATACCACCACTGCAGCAATTCCAAATCCAATCTATAATGGTTCTTATGGTTTCATGGATTCAAATCAAAATAATCGTATTTCGGGTTCTCCATTTTTAGCCGCTTCTAATAAATCTAATGACATGAATTCATTACTAGATAATTTAATTGTTAATATGAATACTCCTACTAATAATAATAATACTAATAATACTAATACTTCTAATAATAATAATTCTAATGCATCAATTACTCCAGAAAGTAATAAAAATTCTAATTCAAATACTCCAATTATACCTCAAGCATCTATAATTCCCAAAAATTTAAATACTCCAATTACTTCAAGAAACAGATCACAAACTTATTCTGGTTCTACTCCTCTTTTGAATGAGAATAATTTGAATCCTTCTAATTTATTAAATTCAAACTATTTACAACATCAACAACAACATCATCATCAACATCAACAACATCAACCCCAATCTAATCAATATTTAATTAATAATCAAAATTTTAATAATCTGTCCAATTATCAATCTCAACAACCAATTTTACATGATGATTTTGATTACAATCAATTTATTATTACTACTAATTTTGAAAATCCTAATTTGGGCCCAACAAAATGCTTATTATTTGATAATTTGCCTCAATTTATTGATTCAATTAAATTATGGTCAATCTTGAACAATACTTTGGGTCATCATCGTTCAATGGGGAGTATACTTAGTGTTCGTGTAACTCGTACTAATACTTCTAAATTATCATTAGTTGAATGTCTTAATATTGATGTTGCAATGAGTTTAAAAGCAAGTTTTAATCATTTAGAATTAGTTCCTGGTGTTATCTTATATGTTGCTTTTGCTAAAATTAGTGATTTACCAAAATCAAATTCAACATCCTCTGCTAAATCAATTGAAAATAAATCAGCAAATAATGGTCATCATCATACTGGCTCAACAAATATTAATAATCTTCATATTAATGGATCATCTCCAATTGATACTAAACCTTTACCTACCGATTTATTATCGATTCAAGAAAGTTTAATCAATTCAATTTCTTGTTTAAGTAATTCTAACAGAAGATCAAATGATCAATTTATTGATATCAATAAAATTATATCAATCATTAATAAATCAATTGGTTATTCGAATGATAATTATCAAGATAATTTTGGTCCATTACCTGATCCAATTCCTTTAAGACAATTTGATTCTCCAAAATTAAGAGAATTAAGAAAACTTTTGGAAAATAATGAATTACTCTTAAATGGAGAAAGTTTATCAACAAAACGGGAAAGGGAATCCGATGAAGAATATTCAAATTCTGATAACGAAGAAAATGATTTGTCAAATAAAGTTTTAACTCAATTAGAACTTGAAGAATTATGTTTAGCAATGTTGGATGAATTGCCAGAATTATGTTATGACTATTTGGGTAATACAATTGTTCAAAAATTATTTACTGTTTTAGATTCAAAGTTAATTAAATTAATGATGGTTAAAGAAATTGCTCCATTCTTAACTCAACTAAGCATTCATAAAAATGGTACTTGGGCAATTCAGAAGATTATTAATTTATCAAATGATTTAAGTAAAAACGATGAAGAAAACTTTCAACAAAAATATTTGATTGGAGCTAGTTTAAAACCTTATGCTGTTAAATTATTTAATGATCAATTTGGTAATTATGTATTACAAGGTTGTATTAAATTTGGTTCTCCTTTCAATGATTTTATTTTTGAAACTATGTTAGATAATTTTGCTGAAATTAGTTTTGGTAGATTTGGTGCTAGGTGTATTCGTACAATTTTAGAAAGTTCTAATGATAATAATGCAATTTCTAATGAACAAGTTTTATTGGTTGCTGGATTGATTGTTGAATTTGCTAATGATTTGGTTATTAATAATAATGGTTCATTATTGATTACTTGGTTTTTAGATACTTTTAATGGTTGTGGAGCAACAATTGATGATCGTTTTGAATTATTAACTAATAAGTTTTTACCAAATTTGACTAAATTATGTACTCATAAATTGGCTAATTTAACAATTTTAAAAATTATTAATAATCGATCTGATTTAAGACCAAAACAATTAATAATGGATTCAATTTTTGGTAAATTTGAAGATTTTGAAAATGATGAAAATTATAGCTTTAAACCTCCAACTAAATTGTTAGAAAACATTTTAATGGAAAATATTGAAAATACTGCGGGACCATTGTTTATTTATAAGATCATTTCAAATCCATTATTATTAACCTTACAAGATGATAATGATGATCCAAACAAGAACGCTAAATATCAACAGTTTATTATTCTGCAAGTTAAGAGAATTTTATTGGAAATTAGTGTTAACAATTTCCAACCATATAAAAAATTAATGGATGAAGTTGGATTATCCAGTAATCGTTTAAATCGTTCTACATCAATGAATAATCGTAAAAATAAGAGAAATAATTCAAAATTGAAGAATCAACACCAAAATATGATGCCTCAAAATTTATACAATCAAATCAATTATATGAATTTACAACAAGCCCCAATGAACAATGGTATATTACAACCTAATATTTACGGATTACCTCCAAATCAACAATACCAAACTCAATTACCTGCAAATGGTACAAATGGATTCGTTGGTGGATATCCGGTGATGCCTCAAGTGCAAGCCCAAGCTCAAGTGCAAGCCCAGGCTCACGCCCAGGCCCAGGCCCAAGCTCAAACCGCATCCCCCCAAGGAATCACTGGCGGATACGATGCTCAAGTGCTTGCTTCTCAAAGAGGAATGATTGTTCCACCACCACCCCAGTTCCAACAGGCAACCTCGCCTCGCAGAGAACCCCAACAACCACACCCAAATGCATACCCTGGTGTCCTTTCAATGGGACCAGTGGGAATGGCTCCAGTGCAACAGGGTGATTTCCAACAACACCAGCAAGACTTGGCAGTTATGCAACAATTGGAACAACTTTCTCTAAGCTCAGCTGCTTTGGGCTATAACTCAAATCCTGGTACCCCTGCAGTGGCCTCAAGCCAAAGAAACCTGTTTTTCTGATTAAACTCCTTCTGCATTTATACGTTGAACGAATTCACTGATTATTTATATATATATATATTTGCTTCTTTCTTTCTTTCTATTATTTTGTTCTTGTTCTTTTTGTTATTTTTGTCCTTTTTGTTTCTTCATTTCTTTAATTGGGGGATCTCTGTATTTAAAATCTTTAGCCTTTCTTCTAATTCATTTTCATTAACGTTACATATCTACTTTGACTTTCATTGCGGTTCATAAAAATAAACATATATAAGTTTAATCTTTCACTGTAGAACAAGTTCCTGCATTTGAACAAAGAAACCAAAGTTTGCCGCCTAATTTTTTTTAACAGCTTTTTTGATCAATTTACAACTACTTCTTTTTCTTCAGTTTCCGCCAACTTTTGATGAATTGATTGGGAATTTCAATTCTATCAGACCAGAATCCGCTTGCTCCATCTGAGAATTCATCTACGGTTTCTTCTGGAGTCTCGTGTTCTCACTGTTTGTTTATTTGGTGCTAGCGCTAGCCGTCAATTGTACTGATAGCGCTGAGTGAGAAAAGGTACAATCGGTGGTCTGCCTTTTCGACCGTGTTGTTATTTCTGCTGCTGTTGTTCTTGATTTTACTACTACTGCTGCTGCTGCTATTACTTCTGCTACTACCGTTGTTGCTGGTGCTTAACGATTCCTCCTGTAGCTCCATACAAAACAAAAAAAAAAAACTAAAAAAAAAAGGTGAGACTGTATTTGTGTTTACTTTTGATTGAGAGATTTCTCAGGCTTTCAGTTTTGGTTGATTTAATTTGGAATTTACTTCGTTTCTCTTGAGCGAATCTAACCTTAACAGCTGGTACTTATTCATTGATCATCATTGTACACTAGTCACTAATCAAGGTCCATCCAAACCCCTATCCCATCTTATCCCTGTTGATCAATCCTATACTTGAGTCTTTTTTTTTTTGCCCTGGTTTTGCCTCTCGACTTAATCTTACCTTTACCCCCACTTATCTTACTTTACTAAGCAAGTTATCATTGGTTATTGCCTGCGAGTTAAAACATATTGCAAATCAACGGCTAGTGATTGTTTTCGATTGATTTTGATTGATTTTGATCTCAACTTTTTTTGTCCAGGCATTTTATTGTTAAGTTTTATTCTTTGAAAAAGGTCCGCAACACTAATTACAATTGATTGAGTGCTTTCCTTCTTTTTCGGTTTCCTATCTGTTTTTCTTTTTTTTTTTTTTTTCTTCGTCTTACCGTTTTCCTTTAGTCGTTTGTTTTTGGTTTTATTTCTCTTTTCTCGATAATGGCGTTTACGAATTCATCATCTTCATCGCAGGATAATCTTCCAAACAGAAGAAATATGATTCCTCGTTCAACTGCTGCTGATGCAACTCGTGCTTCTTCAAATAGCAGTCATAATAGTAATGATAATGATATTGACAATGATAACGATAATGATTATAACAATCAAGAATTCAATTTTAATATGGATGGTGATGATTTTAATGAGGATTATAAAGAGCTACGTCAAAGCCTTATAGCTAGACGAGAATCTTTTAGAGAAACTCAAGATCAAATTCAACAATTCAATTATTCTAATTCCCCAGTTTTAAAATTACCGTCAGAAGTTTTATTACAAATATTTCATTATTTGGAAAGGAAGGATTTATTCGCGTTATTAACCGTTTGCAGAGAATTCGCTAATTTAATTATCGAAATTCTATGGTTCAGACCAAATATGCAAAATGACGTGGCTTTCAAAAAAATCAGATCAATTATGGAATTACCCAAACATTCTACTCATTGGGATTATAGAAGTTTTATCAAACGTTTAAATTTATCCTTTATGACAAAACTTGTTGATGATTCTTTGTTACTTTTATTTATTGGATGTCCAAAACTAGAAAGACTTACTTTGGTTAATTGTACTAAATTAAGTCATGTTCCAATAACGTCAGTACTTGAAAATTGTGAAAAACTACAATCAATTGATTTGACTGGAGTTCAAGATATTCATGATGATATAATATATGCATTATCTAGGAATTGTACTCGATTACAAGGTCTATATGCTCCAGGTTGTGGATCTGTTTCTGAAGATGCAATTTTAACTCTACTCAGATCTTGTCCAATGTTGAAAAGAGTAAAATTTAATAATAGTGATCATATAACAGATGAAAGCATAATAGCAATGTATACAAATTGTAAATCTTTGGTTGAAATTGATTTACATAATTGTCCTAATGTTAGTGATAAATATTTAAAACAAATTTTTGCAGATTTGTCTCAATTAAGAGAATTTAGAATAAGTAATGCTGCTGGAATAACAGACAAATTATTCGAATTAATCCCAGAAGATCATTATCTTGAAAAATTAAGAATTATTGATATCACTGGTTGTAATGCAATTACTGATCGTTTAGTTGAAAAATTGGTCAAATGTGCTCCAAGATTAAGAAATGTGGTTTTATCTAAATGTATGCAAATTACTGATGCTTCATTAAGAGCATTGGCTTTGTTAGGTAGAAGTTTACATTATGTTCATCTTGGACATTGTGGTTTAATTACAGATTTTGGTGTTCAATCTTTAGTTCGTTCATGCCATCGAATTCAATATATTGATTTGGCTTGTTGCTCCCAATTAACTGATTGGACTTTAATAGAATTAGCAACTTTGCCAAAATTAAGAAGAATTGGTTTAGTTAAATGTAACTTAATTACTGATGGTGGTATATTAGAATTGGTCAGACGTCGTGGTGAACAAGACTGTTTGGAAAGAGTTCATTTATCATATTGTACTAACTTGACTATTGGTCCTATATATTTATTATTAAAAAATTGTCCAAAATTAACACATTTATCATTAACGGGTATTGCATCCTTTTTAAGAAGAGAAATCACTCAGTATTGCCGTGAACCACCTCCAGATTTTAATGAATATCAAAGAACATCATTTTGTGTCTTTTCTGGTCAAGGTGTTAACAGATTAAGAGATCATTTAAATAGAGTTATGGAAGATCGGGCTTATCTTATAGAACATGGTGATTTCAATAACGCAATTGATAGAAGAAGGAGAGCTAATAATACAACCAATCAATTCACTGATGCGGTTAGACCCCCAGCTAATAATCTTATAGAACCTGATGTATTAAATGTTAATAACCTTGATGCAGATATGAATAATGAAAATGATAGAGTTGACGAAAGAGTTCGTATGGTAATGATTGAAGAAATGAATGCATGGGCAGCTAGGAGAGGTTTAGGATTATTGCAAAGTACAGATGCTTCAGCAAGTAATGAAGATATGGAACAAGTTCATCGAGAAATATTTAGAGAATTAGCAGAAGGGAATATGCCACCTGATCAAATGAGAGAACACTTTCAAAGTCTTATAAGGAATTATTATCGAAATAGACGATGGGTCGAAGAAGCTAATCAACAAGCCGATGATGGCCTTGAAAATACTGATAATGAAGCCAATCAATCAATTCATATTAATAGAGCCCAAACCACAAATGCACCACAAATTGTGCAACCTGCTGTTTTCCCTGGAGGAGCTGGTGTTAATAATAATGACGAGGATGTTGATATGGAGCCAGTTGATTTATTTCCAAGAAATCAAAACTCCACTAATTGATATTTATTTCACGCCTATGTTTAACTTAATTTAATTCTTGTTGCTTTTTTTTTTTTACTTACAAAAAAAATTTACATCCATTAATAGCTTTCAAACTAACTTTTGAACAACTATGGATATAGTTGATGTAGTTTATATTTTACTTTCCCATTTTTCCGACTTCTTCTGTTCAATAGCCTTTTATTCATTCGATCATATGAAAATAATAAGCATTTATAATACACTCTCACAAATATATATTACTATGTAGATCGCTAAAGATTCAACTATTTTCTTTTGACTTTTATTTGAGATTTTTGGTTTTTTTCTGTAGATTTGCTGCAAAATTATTAAGCAAATCGATACATCTTTCATCAACAGAGACATTTTGAAGTGGTTTTAACTTAAGATGAAGAAAAGCAACAACGGTAGCAGACTTTTCGTTTGAGCTTTGAGCCAAATTTTTAGTGAAATCTTTCATTTTATCCCCTTTAATTTGCTTCGGTGGCTCACTAAGCGTTCCTTTATTTGGTAATAGCCTATATTGCTCAGAAGAAGCTTCCGGTAGTTGGGTTCGGCTAGGGATTGGGGTTGAGGTCTTGGTTATTGAAGGAGCAATACTTGTGTTCAAGGACGAGCTGATCCATTTCTTCACATAAGGATGATGATGAGGATCCTCCTTTGGTGACTCTACTTTAAAAGCAATATACTTTTCTTTCAAACTAAAATACTTTTTCATTTGAACTCTTCTTAATCTAGTCTCCTTCGAATTTTTTTCATCTTCAATAAGTAGTGTTGATAAAGGTTTGCTTCTCAAAATTTTCGATTTAGTTTCGAACGAATGGGCTTTGCACCCAATGTTTCTCCTACATTCTTTACGTCTTGCAGTTGGTACTCCACATATGAAATCGTATCTCGTTCTTTCGAATTCTTGGGCTTGCCTTTCACTATAGTGTTCAAACTCTCTTGGATCAAGTTGAGCTTTCAGTTTTTTCTTTTGGTTCCCGTTAATATCTGCATCTTCATTTGATCTCTGTCTTTTGGGCAGTCTTTTTTCAAATGAGTCCAACAACTTCTTTGGTGTGATGTATTGAAGTGTCGGACTATCCGCAACTGGTAATTGTTTCTTCTGTAGTATTGAAAGTGGTGATAAGGGAACAAAATTATTATAAAAGGATTCATTGGGGGAAGAAGAATTTATGGGCGGGAATTCATTGGTTGTAAAGTTGTTAGGTAAAAAGTCCACCCCAGTATAAGTTTCAGAATTAATCGAGGCAAACTTCAAGCCTTGGGCATGATCCCGTATCTGGATACCATCCTGGAAACTTGATTCGTTACTACTAAGTATGATAAACTCATTCAAGTGAAGGTTCTGATTGCTCATGTTATTAGAGCCGCCAGCACTACTTCTTGAATGTGCCATTGAGCTGCACAGGATCTGGAACTGCTGCCCCCGAGACAGATGTTTATCGGGGACCTTTGTATCGTCTACAAATCCTAGATCAAACCCGGGGACATTCAACCTATTATCCTCGAAGAGGACACTAGCTAATTATCAATTGTTAGCGTGACTTCAATCACTGTTCGTTGGTAACTACTTGCGATTACTTCCCAGTCTTTGAGACTGACTGGCCCCTAGACCTGTGTCCTTGAACTCCATCGTCGGGTAAAGAAGCAGGAAAGTTAAAGGTGATTGGATTCGATGTATCGTATTTGGCTGTGAAAACCTAGCCGCCAGCCCAAATTTTACCTCCGTACATTTTCATGAAAATAGGGTTGATGCCCTAACTATGCACGTGATGAAGAAAAAAGCAATTCTGGATGAGTAGTGGGCTAACCAAACATCTTGCAGCAAGAGAATTTTCCTCTTTTTTTTTTTTGTTTTGTTAGTGGAAACTCGCACAGAAAAATCTTTTACTCGCTCAAACAACCGTAGGAAATTTTCATTGAAATATATTAACAAATTTTTCTTTCTTCTCTTCCTTTAGGTTTGTTATTACCAGATAATTATATTGAAAAATGTATGTTCAAATGAATCATGAAACAGTCCTTTGAAGTGTCATGCTCGTTGATGTGATGGAAGAGTGGATGAAGCCATTGTACAGTGTTGAGAGAATGTGGAAATTGCATTCAACGAAGAGCTTGAGTTTTATCATTAAAGAATTATTTGAAAAGTAAAAGAGATGAATATTTCAACCGGAGAATGAATCAAGTAACACTAAGGAAGAGTGGAATTATTGATGATGGGAACAATAGCAATTTCAAAGCAGATACTGAAGGACTCAAATCGAAACTAATATACTAACAATGTTTATAGGACTAAAAGAACTAAGAAGGTTGGTATCACCGGTAAATTTGGTGTCAGATATGGTTCTTCTTTAAGAAGACAAACCAAAAAATTAGAAGTTCAACAACATGCCAAATATGATTGTTCTTTCTGTGGTAAGAGAACCGTTCAAAGAGGTGCTGCTGGTATCTGGAACTGTAAATCATGTAAGAAAACCGTTGCTGGTGGTGCTTACACTGTCTCTACTGCTGCTGCTGCTACCGTTAGATCAACCATTCGTCGTTTAAGAGATATGGCTGAAGCTTAAGTTAGTTTAGTTCCTTCATTACATATTAATATATAACAAAAAATATTTATACAAAACATGTATACGGCTCTAAACTAATTTGATGTTGATGAAATTAATTCTTGTATTTTATGGTTCAATATATATCTTATTTTAATAAAGTTGTAAAGTAACAATTGTAGTTATTATAGTAATAAGGCTGGTCGTGCCATTTGGTCACCACCGCATATCAGATAAAGTTAATTGAATAAGCTAATACCTTTTAACCAACAATCATGTCAGATATAACGTTCAGCTTCCCGAAGATCCATTCATTCCCTCCGTTGTTCACTTTACAGCCCAATGCCACCATTCAACTGAACCAACTAAACTCCTGGTGTGATATCATCTTATCGTATTGTCAGCATTATAAGATAACCTCGTTATCAATCAACGGATCAATATTGTATTCACAAGATGAACTGTTGGATACCAATACCGTTCCTCCCATATTCGAAAACCCTACTATACACCGAGTTGTCAACGATGACTTCAAACAGCATATTTTCAAGCACTTGATTCATAAATTGAACAAAGCAGAGTACATCGATACCAAAAGACCAGAATTAGGAATCCTAATATACTGGAGATCGCTAACCGAATGGTCTAAGATCATTTACGATTTCGTAGAAGGCTCAGGACAATTGGGTACCATACTAACCGTTTACGAATTAACAAAACTGGAAGACAGTGGAATACCTCTGGATTTGAAAAATTTGGATTACGTTTTACTAGTTAAAATATTGAAAAATGTCCTTATCAAACAGGGCAAAGCTCAAATCATAATGAATGACGATGGGTCGGATCAAATTGGTGGGGTCAAAATTGTTTAGTTATATATCAAAATAGACTTTTGCATTCATTCATCTTTGTATCTTTATTTTGCCATACTGATAACCCAGCTCATTCTTATCGAATTGGTTTGCAATGATGGGTTATTTCTTCCTCGAAGAGGCATACATCACTACTTCTTGCCAAACAGAAGGTACCTTTACTCAACCATTTCTCACTTAGTGAAAGGTGTATACTTTGGCAGACATCGGTAGACTTCCTGATTAGGCAGTCTACGTCCAAACGCGTTGGGCATCGCTTTTTTTTTTTTTTTTTCTTCTTCTGAAGTTTTTTCCCAATGAGCAGAGCTTCATTAAAAAAAAAAAGATATTTTGAAATTAGCTACTCTTTTCTACCTTTCTTTTCTTTCTTCCCGCTTAAATCATTCATTTAAGAGGGCATATCTATAGGTTGTGTTTTTTTTCTCTGGGTAATTTGTTTTTTTTTGACACTTTTTTTTTGTTTAAATTCAATATATAAGTAGAATTTTTGCAAAAAAAAAAAAAATTAAAAGTTTTATTTAAAACCTTGTAAGCCTTCTTATATAGTATAAAAATGAAATACGTTGTCGTTTCTGGTGGTGTTATCTCGGGTATTGGTAAAGGGGTTTTAGCTTCTTCTACCGGGTTGTTATTCAAAACCTTGGGTTTCAGAGTCACTTCAATTAAGATTGATCCATATATGAATATTGATGCTGGGACCATGTCGCCATTAGAACATGGAGAGTGTTTTGTTCTTAATGATGGGGGTGAGGTTGATTTAGATTTAGGTAATTATGAAAGATACTTAAACATCACTTTAACTAGGGACCATAATATTACTACTGGTAAAATTTATTCTCATGTTATTGAAAAGGAAAGAAAAGGAGATTATTTGGGTAAAACTGTTCAAGTAGTACCACATATTACTAATGCAATTCAAGAATGGATTGAAAGAGTTGCCAGAATCCCAGTTGATGAGAGTGGATTAGAACCAGAAATCTGTATTATTGAATTAGGTGGTACTGTTGGGGATATTGAAAGTGCACCATTTGTTGAAGCATTAAGACAATTTCAATTTAGAGTTGGTGTCGAAAATTTCTCATTAATTCATGTTTCATTAGTTTTAGTTATTCATGGTGAACAAAAAACCAAACCAACTCAAGCCGCAATTAAAGATTTAAGATCATTAGGATTAACTCCAGATTTAATTGCTTGTAGATGTCAAGAAGAATTAGAGGCATCTACCGTTGAAAAAATTGGTATGTTTTGTCATGTTGGACCAAATCAAGTTGTTGCAATTCACGATGTTAGTTCAACTTATCACGTTCCATTATTATTGAAAGAACAAAAAATGATGAAATATTTATGCAAAAAATTAGAATTAGATGGTAATAAGTTGAGCCAATCAGCTTTAGATAAAGGTGAAAACTTATTATCAAGATGGAGATCATTAACTGCTAATCATGATAAATCTTATGAAACAGTTACAATTGCATTAGTTGGTAAATATACTAATTTAAAAGATTCATATTTATCAGTTATTAAATCTTTAGAACATTCATCAATGAGATGTAATAGAAAATTAAATATTGAATGGGTTGAATCAACTAATTTAGAAGAATCAATTAAAGATACTAATTTAGCTGAATATCATAAAGCATGGCATCATATTTGTCAAGCTGATGGTATTTTAGTTCCTGGTGGATTTGGTACTAGAGGTATTGAAGGTATGATCGCTGCTGCTAAATACGCAAGAGAAAATGATGTTCCTTATTTGGGTGTTTGTTTAGGTTTACAAATTGCCGTTATTGAATTTGTTAGAAATGTTTTAGGTTATACTAATTCAACTTCAATGGAATTTGATTCCAATGCCGATGAAGAAATTGCTTCAGTTGTTTATATGCCAGACGTTGACCAAATTAAGTTAGGTGGTACCATGAGATTAGGGTGTCATTCAACTAAATTTGTTGAAAATTCTCAATGGTCAAAATTAAGAAAACTCTACGGTAATCCATCTTCTGTTTTGGAAAGACATAGACATAGATACGAAGTCAATCCAAAATTAATCGATCAAATCGAATCAAAAGGTTTGAAATTCATCGGTAAAGATGACTCTGAAAAAAGAATGGAAGTCTTGGAATTAGAAAACCATAAATTTTTCTGTGGTACTCAATACCATCCGGAATACATTTCTAAAGTTTTGGATCCTTCTAGACCTTTCTTGGGTTTAGTCGCTGCTTCTGCTGGTATCTTAGATGATGTTTTAGCTAGAGATGACCTTGATGTTAAAGGTGATTTCTAATGTTTCTCTTAATGTATTGTTTTGTATTATTTGTTTATTGCATTTGTATATAATATCTGTCCCTAATGTAAATATAACCCCAGTCCCCAACTCATAGCTAATCGCAGCTAAACCTCATAGCTAAACCTGCTCGCAGCTAAACCTCATAGCTAAATCCACTCACAGCTAAACCTCATAGCTAAATCCACTCACAGCTAAACCTCATAGCTAAATCCACTCACAGCTGAACCTCATAGCTAAATCTGCTCATTTTACAGCCAATTAGAGCTTCGCTGCTTTTTGCAGCTGACCTTTTTTGCTGCCGATTTTGTCTGAGCCGCTAACAAAACAAAAAAAAAAAGAATAAAAAAGAAAATTAGCGTCATTTTTGCGGTAAAACTGGTAGCGGACACTACGCCTTCTGGACGTATATAAAGCCAATGAACTCCACAAGGAGTCGGGTTCATTTGTTCATTATACAAACAATTACAAAATGGCTGCTTATACTAGAAACTTAATTATTAACCACGACCCAGAAGAATCATGTTCATGCGGGAGTGAATGCAAGTGTGGACCAAATGCTTGTTCTTGTGGTGCAGAAAAGAAGTAAACGAAATATTTGATTGATTTGTGAATGGTGGAGTTGTTATATATTTAATATACAATGTTTATATTACTTTTTGGTGTAGTTATCGATTAAATTAGCTTTTCCATGTAGTGACGGAAGTCAGACTCTTTGATTTGTTCGATTTGAGTTATCCTTGCCTGGCTCAACTTGGACAATTTGGGGGAATCTTGTATGAAAGTTTTCACTTGTTTCAAGCCATTGACGTTTTTGTTGGATGAAAGCTTGCCAATGAAGTCTAGGGTGGACACAGTATATATACCTACCCAGCTCTTGGTATAGTTACCTCCGATTTCTACCGATCTTAAAAACAGATTCCGGGAATTGGTTAATAGCTCTAACCATTCTAACAATTTATCCTTTTTATCGATTTTATCGTTGTAAACTTGTAAGAAACTATAGTAATAGTACAATCCGACTTTATAGAAGATGTTATAAGCATATTGCTCTTGTAGCAAGACTTCCTTATATGCAAATATGGCTTTATCGTAATGTCCAATCTTTGCGTACTCTTCTGCTAATTCACACCAGGTAACTAAATCTGAAGGTTGTAAATTTAAATAGTAGTTCAAGCTCTCGATATACTCGCCGTTACTTTTATCTTCATGCCTGCTGAAGGTAGTCAATCTTCTAGATAATCTTAACTCATCTTGTTGTTGTCCTAATAATTTCACCAGTGCGTCTATATCCCCAATGGCTTCGAGATATATTGACTTCAATAACTTGATCCTTTCTGATTTGGAGGAGTTGAACTGGTCCAAGATTCGATCCAAGTACGCCTTGGCTTCAATATCATGATTGGTTAATATACTCAAATAGAATTGTAGTTCGTATAAACTAAATAGTTCGTTAATATTAAGGGTTTCGGAATTTATCACTAAGAATTGCTCCAATTCTTGATGCGTTTTGCTTAATTGCTCGGGTGTATAAGTGCTGAACAACCCTTTGGCCGCTATAGTAAGATACTTGTTCTTCACCAATCCAATAGCAGACATACTCTCTGTGATTCTTCAATGCTGTTGGTAATCATTGAACAACATCAACAAAAATCTCAACTTCTTGTAATGAAAAAAAAAAAAAGCTCCAAACATCACTGAAAAAACCAACTAGTAAACAAGCTTGACCCGGGTTTAACAGCTCCACATCGAAATGTCCTCGTCATTGAATAAAGCCTGTGATGTCTTTTTGGCTTCCACCTCGATATTGTCCCATGAATACGGAGTGCCTTCTATAGACCACCGAGGAAGCCAAACCAAACCCACGGCTGCAACATATCCAAAGGACCAAGAGCTTTTATTTCTAGAATCAACTTATCAGGAAAAGTATCAAGTACTTACTGCTAAACTCAATGAATTAGTATACTTGAATTCGTTGAATGAGTTGAAAAAAAAATCGGCTGAAGAAATTGAACGCCTTTATAAAGATAAAATAGAAGATAATTTTGACTTATTACCAAATCACAACCTTGATGGTATTGAATCTTTTTATCAAAATCAGATTAATGAGTTCCAAAATAAGTCATTAATTAATGGATACTTACAAAGAGTTGCCCCGATACTAAGATCAATTCATCATAACAACACAAACTTGACTGACACTGAGATTAATATCATGAAAAACTTACAAATTGCTTTTTCGTCAAATAATAAAGAGGAAGATGCAAATATTAATAAATTGATTGAAAACTATCAAAACAATGAAGTTTCTGAAGAAACGTATCTAGCATTGAGATCTAAATTGGCAGATTTATTGGAATTCGAGTTAAGGCCAAAATTAAAGGAATTTAAAGAAACAAACGAAATATTGAAAACAAAACAGAATGAATTGGTAAGCTTGAAACAAAGTAAGGTCAACCAATATACAAAGGGCTTAGAAACTGATGACCCAAGTAATCAGTTGCTGGAAGATTTGAAAAAATTACGACATAAGTTTAAACAGTTGATTGAAGAATGGACTAAGATTTCGATTTTTTGTGATTTATTACCTAGTCTAATAATTGCCAGTCCTAAGAGTTGGTTCAATGATAAAACTCTATTCAATATCATAAAGTACTGTGAAGATACTTCCGAAAAATTCTCAAAATATCAACAAGTTATTAATATTCATAATTTGAAAGAATTTTCAATTGAAAACTTACTCATGGTAAACTTTGATGAGTTAACACTTTCAGATTACGAAGAAGATGACTTGGAAGACGATTAATATTGTATTATATATATATATATATTTATATTTTTTTTATACACTATATACATGAATGAATGAAATGAATTTTGATTAAATTTGGAATAATCTCTTATTAACAACATTCCAGTTAATAGATTTCCAGGCATTTTCCAAATACTCGGCTTTACCTGTAGCCCCATAGTCTTCAATGAAAGCAGTATCCCATAAGTTAATACCTAAAATTGGCAATGAGAAATCTTTTTGATCTTGGGCTGCAAGTTCTTTTAATCCATTCAAATATTCATAACTTGCTTCATCGGCACTACCATTGAAATCTAATGATTGGTTCTTACCATAGTAATATGGAGTACCATCGTTATTACATTTAACAATTCTCAAACTTTTATCAGCAGATTCAACTAAAAATACCCATCCTTGTCCAAAAGACGAATCTGCAATCAATAAAAATTCATCACGGAATGCCTCTATAGTTGGGAAATCAATATCCGCTAATTTTTCTAATAATAATTTAGATGGTTGAGTCTTAGAAGCCTCGGATTTATCAGCAAATTGTTCAAATACAAAATGATTATTATGAGCTTGAGAAGCATAATGAAAGATATGTTGTTCAGTGGTCATTTTAGCAGTATATAACAAGATTTGATATGGGGTTTTCAACTCACTTTCAGTACCGCTTGTATGTAACGATAAGTTTAAAGTTAAATATTTTTGATAATCTAACCATGCTGATTTAAAACCTTTTGGAGTATATAATCCTTCGATACCTCTTTGCAAATAAAGATCTTGATTCTTCAATTTAGGAACCTCGTGGAATCCTCTTTGGGCTCCCTTGAAAAGAGTGTTGCTGGACCTCTTGGATATACTTCTAAACATTACACTGGGTCTATATTCTCGATATTTGAATCCTTTCTAATACTCTTCAACTTAAATTTTTCAATTGTTCAATACTTTTCACTCATTGTACAAAAAAAAAAAAAAAAAGTATTGAAAAACGATTGGTGTACACACGCACGCAATACAACACCCGTACATACACTAATACAAACGGGTATAACTTAGAACGTAATATTGGGGTTGTATAAATGAATCTATAGCCTATACAATTATTAGTTATTCTTCTGTGGAGATTTGGGAAGACACAGGAGGAACATTTGATTCTGTTTCAACTTTTAAAACTGGTATGTTTTGAGCGACCCAATTAGTATCTCTAAGTAGGCTTTTTGGATCATTGGAATTTTTGGATCCAACTTTACGTAATAACTCGTCGTAGGGACATTCTTGTTCTTTATATTCTCGTAAGACTGAGTTGGTTTCTAAATCGATGAAAATCCTGGTATCACGTACTCTAAATATAACATTATCGATTCTTAAGAAAAAACGACATAATAATAAAAGACATAAGGGCATTACTCGTATTTTAGTTGATAATATAGAGATACCGTTATCGCCCAATTCATCCTCAAAAAGAATTGATTCGTCAAAGAATAGAATTGGATCAGGTCTGAGTAATCTATCAATTGGGATCTTTTCATTAGTTGGGTAAAACTTAATATTTTCCAACGTACCTTTATAGTTAGTGGAATATGTCCAGTCGTAAGGCTTTACTGATTCCAAATCCGTGAGTTTTTTCAAATCTCTATTTGAGTTATCTTTTAATGCCTTTTCCGATTTATCAAGAGCATCACTATTTGGCGAAGATGTTGATCTTCTTGAACTCAACCATTCTTTATGGTAGCTGACTTTCAAGCTAGATTGAGCCTCCAAAGAATCTAATGCATCAAGAGCATTGAATTCAATTACTTCATGCAATTTTTCATTAACTAATTTAACATGATTATTCCCAAATATCATTTCTGGTAATGGAAAATCAAATCTGTTATCATTCAAATAATCTAATTCAGGAGAATTCAAAATAGGCTTTTTGATCGTGAAAATACTCCAATCATTAACCGAAATCGACGGCTTGTCTTGTATTGGAAATGACGATTTAGGTGAGGGTATTATGACTTGCCCACAATGTGCACATTGTGGATTAGTACATTCACCCTCATGGCTCTTTGCGGGTATAGAAACATTCTTTGGAAATGAAGATGATGAACTGTTAGCATGTATAACATTTGATGATGCCAATCCCCTTTTAGGGCTCAAGGGACCAGTCTCTAAACTATTAGTCGACCTCGAAGGGACCGGAAATTGCAGTTTTTTATGAACTTGTGATTGTGACAACGATGCCAATTGCTGACCAGGCGGGGCCCTGCCCCTCGTATGTAGCTGAACCATTTCTCTAGCAGCTGAAACATGAACTGCATTTATACCTGACCCGGATCCAGTTCCTGGTTGCACGGGCTTCGCTTGTCTTCTAATATTGTTTGTGGAAGGAATAGGAAATTTAGAAGCATTCAGTGATATTGAACTACCTGAAGGTCTCGTAGTTAGTGGAACTGATCCTGTTTTTGAGGAATCCTCCACGGTTTGGTTATTAACCGTAGTGGTTTTTTTTGAAGCCTGTTCATTTGAGCTGCCGTCATCACTGCCCAGAGACATTCTTAACTACTCTGCTTGGATCCAGTAATCTGTTCTAAAGAAGCAATCTCAAAGAGAGAAAATGCAAAAGGAATATAAGTCAATTGAAATAAAAAACTTATGGTTCAATGTCTAAAAAGCCTGATAAACTGGTCTATTTTTTTGGTTTCACTACGACACTACGCTTTCGTACGTGAAAATGCAAAAAAAGGTCCGGGTGTTTTCTCCCGAATCGGACTTTTAGTTTTACATCAAGACGAATACATGGACTTAAATACCGATAGAATTGAAAGACTAGCTATTGTATTTGAATGGGGCATATAAAGAGAAATAGGAGCAACAAGAAGACTTTCGGGAAGTAAGGATGAAAAGCGAAGAATTCAGCTTAAATATTAAAATTTTCAATTTCTTTGGCAGAAGGTTGGTCTTTTCTTAAACCTTCTCTAACGGCCAAAACAGAATCAGCAATGACAGCATCAACACCAGCTTTCATTTGAATTTTGGCTAGTTCAGGAGAGTTATTTTCAACCCCGTAGGTGACACAAACTAAACCAGACGATTTAACAACTTGAGCTAGTCTTGGACAAATAACTAAAGTTTTTGCAGCACTGACAATACCCAACAAGTTCCATTTCTTAGCAAACCTGATTGCGTTTTGTAAAGAGGATGCTCTAATATCGGCCATTTTTTCAGAACCAGCTTCAGATAAGAATAAAATTGGAATGGTTGGCTGTTTCAAAGAAAGTAATAAACAAATATCTGGATGGAAACTCGAAAAAATGATATCACGACCAGTAATGTTTTCATCATAAACAACTTTCAAAATGGTATCGACGTAGAAATTAAGATCAATAGCAATCTCTCCCATACTCTCCATTTCAGCTTCGTCTAACATTGGATATTTTAATTCGATGTTAAACCCAACATTCTTAGGTAATTTTTTGAATAATTCTTTCAACGTTACGAAATTCGAAGCGATTGATAACCCACGAGCATTACCTTTAAAACCTTTATCTTTCCAAGTTTTAGTTAATTTCATTCTACTTGAAATTTGATCTTTAAATTCACGATCTAAATCATCTTCAATTTGGTTTTTAGTTCCATCGTTTGGCTTAAAATCGGGTGCTGATGGGTATGAGGACATTGATCTTGGTCTATTGATTTTGCCTAGCATTTCGTCATCTAAAGAATAGTTGGTTTTAAAAGTCTTATTCAAACTTTTTTGCTTCTCAAATCGAATCTTATCTTTATTACTATTATGTTCTTGATCACTCAAACCTAAAAATTGTTCAGCAGTTAAGGCATGCATAGGAATATCAACCCCTGATTCAGCAACGGTAAAATCATGATAAACAACTGGTATAAAATCTTTTGTTAATTGAACATCGAATTCAACGTATGAGGCACCCAATGAAGCAGCTGCAATAAACGATTCAACTGTATTTTCACCAATTTGTAATGATTTTCGATTACTAACATTTTTACCTAAACCACGATGACCGATAACTCTTGTTGAAACTAGTTGTCTCCAGTAGGTATCACTACGGCCAATATTCATTGATTCGTGACTGAAAGGTTTAACACACAAGACTTCAAAACGAATTGATCCTAAAATATCCAAAGAATCAGATTCAATTATTGGAATAGTCACAGTATTATTCAAAGATCTTAAATTTGGACCAACCGAAGTATAAGCGCTATTCAAAAGTGCAACACCTCTACCTAAAATTTTAGGATTCAATTTTGATTTATTGGAGTTATTATTCATTGATTTCAAATCATTCGAATATTGGTAAGTTGGAACTATATCAAAAGTTATAATTATATCTTCCAGCTTCATATATTGAGTCAATTTAAAGGTAATTGGATCAGTAGCACTTCCATGCTGATCTTCTAAAGGTAAATCAATAATGACTGGAGTTTCAATGATTTGATTATTCACTTTATTACGGCAAGTTATGATCAAGGATAAAGCAGTATCTAATTCAGTGAAAAATGTTTTAGACATTGAGATTTTATTCAAATTAATTGGTTTATTATTATCTCTTAAATCAGTTGTACCTAAAGTAACTAAGACTAAAGATTCATCTTTATTCAAGAAACGATGACCAAAAGACTTAATTGGCTTCATTCTTCTTCTTCTATTAGCACTTGGAGATCTTGATCTTGATTGGTTGTTTAATTTATTTCTCGACCGATCAAAATCATTCATATCATTAATTGACGAATTGGAACCATTTTCAAATTGTTTGAATTGTTTATAAACTTCATTGACTGCTTTTTTATTTGATTCCGGTAATCTATCGATTGACGAGTTTGATAATATGAGATTATCATCTTTATTCAAGTTTAAGTTTGAGATTGAATTTGTACCTGAGCTAACCAAAATAGGACTTGCATTCAAGGAATTATTTGAGGATGAGCTTTTATTTGGAATTCTTACTTGATTGTTCGAAGGATTATCTATATCGTATAATAAGAGTGATTCATCTTTAGGCTTAAGTAAGTTAGCCACATCCAAATGACCTCTTAAACAAGCATGTTCCATTGGTAACCAACCAGAATCATCGACCAAATGATAGAAACTACCATTTTTAATTAAGATATCAACAATATTGGTAAAACCTTCTGAAGCAGCAATGAATATTGGAGTCCATCCAAAAACGTTTTCACCTAATTCGGTGTTAGCTTTCTTTGATAATAAAAATTTAGTCAATTCAAAATAATTCAGTTTTGAAGCGATATAAAGAGAGGTCTCGTTATTATTTTCCAAATCGGTATAATTGATATCGATATTACCGTACTCGATTAATTTAGTAACTATTTCTATTTCATTTAATCTGGAAGCTAATAAGATAAGATTTGAACACTTCAAAGATTTATAATTTGAATGAAGCAATAAATTTTCAGTAGTCTTTGGGTGTTTACCAATAATAGCCAAATGTAAAGGAGATAAACCTTCTTGATCACCCCAAAAGGAAATATCATCAATTGAGGTTTGATTTGGAATTAAATTCCAATCATTGTAATAGTTGAGTAATATTTTAGTAATTTCTTTCAACCCATGTTGACAAGAGTAATGTAAAGGAGTTCTTAAGTAATTATCTTTTGAAATGATTAATTTTTTCAAATCAAAGTTATAATTATTTAATTTTTTCAAAATATTAATAAACCCATCAAAATGAATTTTTGATAATTGAGAACCATCAGGACCTAATTTATTACCGTATAAACGGTTAATATCATGAGATTCACCAGGATTAACATTTTTTGGGTCTTTAACCAATTGTTTTTTACCTAAACTAACGATATGTTGATGAAAGAAGTTACGACCACTGATATCAAATTTATCAAATAAGATATTTTCTAAAGACAACTCTTTGTTTGAAGAAGTGTAGTCAATTAAATAATCAAACAAGGCATCAATACAACTAAATGAATTGGCTAAAGTTGATTTATTCAATAAAGAAATTAAAAATTTCAAATTCTTCTTTGAATTTGGAATTTTATTAATTTCTAAAATTAATTTTGAAGAATCATCTTTTAAGATTAAATCGTAAAAGACTTCTAAAAACTCTTGATCAAAAGAGTATTTTCTGTTATGGCCAATTTTCAACGAGCTAACTTCAATTAGGTCATCGTCATCATTACTGACCGAAGTATTGATTTGGTGATCACCTAATTTATTCAAGATATCGTTAATGATGTCCAAACCTTTAATCAATTCAATTTCATTAGCAAAGGGCAATGCATCAACTCTTGTTGACAAGTAAATTTCCTGGTTGTTATTTGGTAAATTGATTTTATTGGTTGAATCCAATTGATTATTAATTGAATTGGTTAAGTAAGTTAATTTTTTATCTAATTTTTTCAATATCTTGATGAAACCTTTATGGTTTAATTCACCAAACCATTTCAAATTTCTATAAATTGTTCTTAATTCAAGTAATATTGAAATAATTTCATCTAACTCATCAGTGGTATCAATTTCATGTAATATAATATTTTTAGCTGAATCGTAACTTAAAATTTGAATAATTTTATTCAATCTTCTATTGTATTCATTAAATTTATTATCATAAAATTGATTAACTTTTTCAATATCACGATCTAATTCGAAAAAGAATTGCGATAATATTGAACTTATCAATTCCGAAAATTCATCTTGATTAACTTGTTCAATATTGATCGATTGATCAATATTCTTGATAATCTTTTTAAGATGCTTATAATTCATATAATAAATGGCCCATTCTGGTATTTGATGAGATATAAAGGTCTTACCAAACTTCATTTTGTTATAGTTTGATAAAGAAGTAGTTGTTGTGAGTTGTCAGTATCAAAATTTCACCACGTTGATAAGAGTGCACTTACCCCGAATCTACACCATAAATACATTATACTTTATGATAATCGTATTACGTATCAGCATATTATCATACTACAGATCAACAGATCATCATATCAAAATATTATCATATCAACATATTATTATATCATTATGAATATACTTTTATATTACACCGGTGATTGCAAAAACAAAAACACCCGTGCACATTTTGCAACTGAATATATTATACAACTATAAAAGAGTTTGACCCAAAGCACATCTACCAATGGCACAAGCAGCACCCACGGTATCCAAGACATGAGCGTCGGTTTCACCCAACATGGGGTTGGTTTCCACGATATCCAAGGATCCCAATAACCCGGTTTCAGCCACGGCTTCTGCAACAAATAACCCTTCTCTCATGGATAATCCTCCTTCCACTCTGGTACCGGTGGCTGGGACAAAAGAAGGATCAATGGCATCAACGTCGTAGGATAAGTGGATTGGGTATTCACGATTTGGATTAACCTTATCCAAAGCCATTTCAATAACTTTGCCAATCCCGTATTTATCTATATGAAACATTGAAAAAGCCGGGATATTATATTGTTTTAAAATCTTCTTTTCGGCATCATCAACGTCTCTTAACCCAATGTAAGCGATTTTCCCGGGTTTCAAATTTTGAGGTATCCATTGCATTATTGGAGGATAAGACTCCGAGTCAATTCCCATCACAAACGATAAGGGACATCCATGCAAGTTACCCGATTCTGTGATTTTAGGACTGTTAATATCAGCATGGGCATCAATCCATAATACACAAGTATCTGGATTGTGTTCCAACATGGCACTCACGGTAGCGGTACCAATTGAATGATCGCCACCAATAGTCACCGGTAAGTTACCCAGATTAGCATTGGTCAACACTCTATCAAACAAAAGCTTATTGCATTCATTCACTATAACGGTATTTTTAATCCCGTATTCATCCTTTTCATTTGATTTCTTCAGTTCGAAATTAGTTCCTTCCAAAGGATGTTCAACAGTGGTGGTCCAGCCCAAATTCTTAATTTGTTTTTCAAACCCGGCTTTCAAAATGTATTCTGGACCCAATTCCACTCCTCCCTTGGGTTGTCCACCAGAAAATGGTGCAGTGATGATGGTGGCTCTTTTATTTGGATGAAATTTATATTGTACTAGAAAAGTTAGTATACGCTGGAATAGTAGCAAAACTGGCCAAACTAGGCGTAGCCAAACTGGCCAAACTAGTCGTGGGCCAAACTGGACAAACCAGACTAGTCGTAGCCAAATCACATACCGTCAGACATGATTATAGTGTACCCAACTGCCTCCACTTACCTGGCACATGTCTACTTATTTATACCAGGCCTCATCGGTATACCTTGTAATTTATAGTCTTGATCGGACTTCGTTGATGGCATTTACCAACGGTAAGTGACCGCGACGCAGTGGGGAGTTTGTTAACAGCAGCCACGACCGAGCGTGTGTTCAGCAAGAGATAGAGAGATAAGAGAATACTATCCCATATTACCCTATAACACTACGTTAATCCCTATGTATTACCCTACGGATTACCCTACGGATTACCCTACGGATTACCTTATAATACTAGGGATATCCCTTCATACTATGCAAAATTACCTTACAAAACTCGACAACACAATACCTTATAAAACTCGACAACACAATACCTTACATAATACTATGCAATGTTAATACTTCTAATGCTGATTCTGATACTGTACTACTGTGAAACTGAATACTAACATTAACTAGTACTAGGACACTCGTGGGGATGCTCCAGGGAGTATTCTGCTAAAGTATACTATATTAATAGTATGCTATATTAATAGTATGCTATATTAATAGTATGCTGATACACTGATTCTAGTAATCACTGATACTATGGTGGGGGTACGGATTTATACTGCGACTACTAATACTTATAATAATTCTTATACCAATACTAATTCTATACTAGAATACTTCACTGTAGTAATACTATACTAATACAGTATACTAATACTACAGTATAATATTAACTATTTACTAGCACTACTGACTGTATAGACTACTGCCATTGAACATTAGTCGAATACTAGTTCATATTACATCTAGTACATCTATATCTAGTCTAGGACATCTATATCTAGTCTAGTACATCTATGTCTAGTCTAGCACTTCATCTAGTCTAGCACTTCATCTAGTCTAGCACTTCATCTAGTCTAGCACATCTAACTAGTCTAGTACCACGTCTAGTATTCTATTACGTAGCCATTACATAAGCGTTTCATATGTCTCACTGCCTCTTAATGACCATGTCGCGATGTCGTTTGCTATTCTTTATATAAGTGATCCTTATACAATTACTATATAAGAGATCCGGAAGATATACTTTAGAAACTTAGTATAGGCGATATTTAGTCAATTGAACCCTTAAAGTTATCTGTCTGAACATGTCCTCGATTATTGCTTCTCATATCCCCACCACCATTTCCAATGAAAAACTCCAGGAGTTTTTCGGATTTTGTGGGAAAATCAAGTCAATCAACTTGTTAGATAAGGATGATAAATTCCAAAAATACCAAATTACTTTTGAATCACCCAAAGCCTTGAGTACTGCAGTTTTATTGAACGATGCTGAATTGGACGGAGTTCCAATTATAGTGGAGGAAGAACCAAAGGGAATAGTGGAACAACCCCAAGCATTACACGAAGACCCACCAAGTTATGAAGCCACCGAAAAAAGTTCCATTGAAGACCACAAGATTCAATCCAATGCTACATTAACGGGTGACGATAACTACGATGATATTACCCAAGAAGAAAAACCCAAATCGGCTATATTGGCCCAATTATTATCGCAAGGATATAATTTAAGTGATCAATTGATTGAAAAATCAATTAAATTCGATAATGAAAAGGGATACACCACTAAATTTAAATCTTTCTTGAATAATTTGGATTCAAAATACTTGCATTTACAAGAACCAGAATCTTCTGCAAGTAAGAATCTTAATTCGATTTCAAATAAATTCAATTCATTGGCCAGCTCATTCCAAGGATCTAAATACCAACAGAAGTTGAGTCATTATTACGAAAAGGCCTCAAGTCATCCTTATGGAGTTAAAGTCCATGATTTTTATAAAAACTTACATAAAGATGTCATTGACGTTCATAATGAAGCTAAAAGATTGAATGAATTGAAGAAAAATAACTTGGAATCAGAACAAGCTACTGCTAACGCTGCTGCTGCAATCAATACCGCCAATTAAATGTATTTGTGTCATGAATAAATATATATATATATATATCCACCATTTGTGTAATGAATATATATACCTCTGTACAGAAGGTTGTTTTATTGTAAGAACCCAAACTCCGTGATGCTAATCAACCCAGCTAATTCTTTCCACCCAATAGAAATCAACAATATCTATATTGACATTATCATTGATATCTCGATTCTACTCCCACTTTTCGATACTAATTGGAAAACAAAACTAGTTAACCTAATTAAATATATGAAACTGCTTATCCAGGAACAAACTTATAACTACGATCACGATATTAATACCAGAGTAGTGCTAGATTTTTTGAGATTAATCAAGTATCAAAATGACTACTCGGTTATCCAAATTCTGGCAATCAACAGAATTGTATTCAACTTGGAAATAATCCTCGACCATTTCATAAATTTATATACTTTATATAATTCTTCTATTAATCAATATATTACAACGTTAGTTTATCGGATCCGAGACCCATCGGACTAATGGCCATGAAATCTGGGGTACTCCCGCGGATACGCTTGCTTTCGGTGACAAAGTATGGGGGTCCGGGTTTTTCTCTGCTGGGGCTGCAATTGTTCCCATCCTCCGGGGCAATGGAACTGCCTTCGTTCCTATGATTTTGTCATTATATAAACAGTGAAAAATCCTTTCTTGTTCTTTCTCCATCACTGGTTTTCCTTTAAATCAATTTATTTATTTATTATGACCTCTACCCCTGCAAATAAAAAACAAACCAAAGGTAAAAGTATCACTGACTTGGTTGCCGGTGGTACTGCTGGATTATTCGAAGCATTATGTTGTCATCCTTTAGATACCGTTAAGGTAAGAATGCAATTATATAAAAAATCTGGTAAAAAACCTCCTGGTTTTATCAGTACTGGGATTAACATTGTTCAAAAGGAAACTTTCTTATCTCTTTATAAAGGTTTGGGTGCAGTTGTAATTGGGATTGTTCCAAAGATGGCTTTACGTTTTTCTTCCTATGAATTTTATCGTTCTTTATTATATAAACCAGATGGTTCAATTACTACTTCTTCTACTTTTCTTGCTGGGGTTGGTGCTGGTATAACTGAAGCAGTCATGGTTGTGAATCCTATGGAAGTTGTTAAAATTCGTTTACAAGCTCAACATCATTCAATGGCCGATCCTTTAGATGTTCCTAAATATCGTAATGCTCCTCATGCTGCCTATGTGATTTGTAAAGAAGAAGGTTTTAAAACATTGTACCGTGGTGTTTCTTTAACTGCTGCTAGACAAGCTACTAATCAAGGGGTTAATTTCACCGTTTATTCTAAAATTAAAGAATATTTACAAGGTTATCATAATACCGAAGTCTTACCTAGTTGGGAAACCTCTTTAATCGGTTTGGTTAGTGGTGCTTTGGGTCCCTTATCAAACGCTCCTTTGGACACTATTAAAACTAGATTACAAAAAACTACTTATGCTTCAAATGAATCAGGTTTAGTTCGTATTGTTAAAATCGGTAATCAATTAATTAAAGAAGAAGGTATGGCTGCCTTATACAAAGGTATAACTCCAAGAATTATGAGAGTGGCTCCTGGTCAAGCCGTTACTTTCACTGTTTATGAATTCATGAAGAGAGTCTTAAGTGGTGAAACTGAAATTCCAGTAGTGACCCAAACTGCTAAAAAATTAAAGGAATAATTAATTTTCTAAATAAAGTTAAAAATAAAATCATTGATTTATTTTCATCCACGTAGCTTGCCACGTACTCTAGTCTGTTAATTAATGCATAGTTGATTGTCTATTGACTAATCGCATAGTTGATATTGGCTACAAATATTCATTTAGACTGACCTCTTGGCTCCCTCAGAAAAACTTTATCAAAATCTGGGGAAATTTAAATACGTCAACATTTTGTGCTCGGAGTTTGAAATGACTCCTGCAGTAGTGTCCGCATCAGCATGTCTCGGCAATTGCCTACTGTGCTTACTCTACTGTACATACTCTACTTACTATACTACTCTACTTACTATACTACTCTACTTACTATATTTACTATACTTAGACTATGTACTGAGAGTTTACTGTACTGATCCTTTATTCTATTGATATTCTACTCTACTGTATTCTCTACTGTATTCTCTACTGTATTCTCTACTGTATTCTCTACTGTTTTCTCTACTGTATTTACTCTCTATCGGCTGTACTTGTATTGATTCTTTACCGATTCTTCTGCCTGGTACTCGGGTAAATGAGTTTGTATGAACAGGAATACTAATGAGGTATCCTTTCATCTAGTCGCATTGGCTTGAATTCTACAGGGGGAATATGCCTAATTGATCATCGTATTCAAGGACAGTGACCCAGTTGCTCGTAATATGATGATTTGAAAATTTGCAAGTTGGCTTCTTAAGAACGCAATGGCAATTACTTAAGAACGCAATGGCAATTTCTTAAGAACGCAATGGCAATTTCTTAAGAACGCAATGGCAATTTCTTAAGAACGCAATGGCAATTTCTTGAAAAAACAACTTGTTGAAAATGGCAATTTGTTTAATATATGTAATATTGTTTGGTATAATCAGTAATACAAGATGGTACTTGTAGATGGAAATTGGATAAATGCTTTTCGCGAAATAAAAATTACCGTTCATAATTGCCATTGCATCTTCACCATATACCATGCTATCTCGTACCATTTTCCATTCTAGACTACTAACAAGCTCAAGGCTTAGTTCTTTCCAATTGAGGTACCTCAGCTCCTCGTTGCAAAAATCATTCCCCAGAGGTAATAGGACTAGAATAACAAGAGAAATTTCGGAAGAAGAAGTAAAAGCATTTCAAAGACAACAAAGAGAATCTGCATCTCAACAAGAATTCTACTATAAAGAATCGCCTTCATCAGATTATGCTCGCTTTAATGATGAGCCTGCTTTGAACCATCAAGTTTTCCAAATTCCGCCTAATAATAATGGGTTGATTACTCCAGAAGATGGAATTTATGAATTATTAAAAGAACCAACATTGGTTATCGAAAGACAAGTTGAGTTTATGAACTTAATTGTGGGGTTTGAACAAGCAAATAAATATAAAATCATGAATTCTTTGGGTCAACAAATTGGTTATATGGAAGAAAAAGATTATGGTTTATTAAAAGCCATTGGTAGACAATTTTTCAAACTTCAACGTCCTTTTGAAATTGATATCTTTAATAATTATGGTGATTTATTATTAACTGTGAAAAGAAATTTTGCAATTATCAATTCTCATATTAAATGTTACTTACCGGGAGTTGATGAATATGGTAATATGATGAGAGAAGAAATTGGTGAATCTCGCCAAAAATGGCATTTATGGAAACGTCGTTATGACTTATTCAAATTAGAAGATGAAGAAAAAGAAGAATATGAACAATTTGGTATGATTGATGCTCCCTTTCTTTCATTTGAGTTCCCGGTTAATAACGAATCTGGTGAAGTAATTGGTTCGGTTGATAGAAATTGGGTGGGTTTAGGAAGAGAGTTATTCACTGATACCGGGGTCTACATCATTAGAATGGATCCAGGCTCTTTTGCTGGTTTAGGTGATCAATACCCTGCGGTTGCTGGTCCTTTAACTTTGGATCAAAGAGCCATCTTATTGGGTAATGCAATAAGTGTTGATTTTGATTATTTCTCTCGTCACAGTCGTGGCTTTGGCGGTGGGCTCTTTAGCTTACATGATTTTGATTAGATTTACTATACTTTATATATATATGTATTATTTTTTTAAATTATTAAACTGTTGTAATAGTTTAACTTGACTCTTCTTACGAGATTCATTTAATAACTTTTCATACTCTTCGTCGCTTAGCCCTTTATTAATATTCTTCAATAATGCAACTAATAGTCCCATATTATCATTTCTTCGTAATTCATTTTCACGATGCCAAGTTTCCCTTTTCAATGATTCGCTACTTAATAAAGAATCATCTCCAATACTTTGAGCATACTTTAATTTATCATTAGTTACCCCAAGTAATGAAAATCTTAATTCATCTCCGTATTTACCAATTCTTCTCATTAAGATTTCTGGTAATTTCTCAGTAAATTCTTGTGGTGTTTGCAATTTATCATGTTTAATTGGATACTTTTTTAAACCATCTAATTCATAGATTTGATTATCTATATTAACGTATCCAATAAAATGAAATAATCCATCATTCTTATCATCGTAATCTGGTGGTGGGGCCGGTTTATCTTCATCAACAATTAAATTTGGTGCAGAAAAGGAATTATGAACTGTTCGGATGATTTCACTGTTTGATATAGCTTCAGCAATTATCTCTCCATCTAACCCTTCCACAAAAGATTTAAATCCCCCAATATCTTTACCCAATTCAAGCGATTTAACATTTAACAATATATTTAGAACAGCTTGGGTTGCACAAGCATTTTGTATAATTTGATTAGCGAAAAAAATCCCCTTGGATTGATATTCTGTATCGTATTCTCCATCTAATGGCTTATTACCGTCCTTAGCATAGCTTCTATCGACGTTCCCATATTTAAATAAGAAAACTACCCCATAAAGTGGCGACATTGAATTCAAGGAATCAGAATCAATCGAGTATAAATCATCGAATTGCACGTCTTGTATGCCCAATTTTTCAACCAACTCGGTGAAAACACCTGCATCCGAGTCTATAGTATTCCAACCACTATCTGACATTATCTATAGCTAGAATCTTACCAACTGTTAGCAGTATCTATGGTGCTTATAATTTTTCAATCATACCGGCGTGTTTGCACCAATCCTTCATTTTTTTTCCCTTGTAGTTGACTTTTTGGTTCGTGTCAAATAGTTTAATATTAGTTAGTTTAACATTAGTTTAACATTAGTTTAACATTAAACAGAGAAGCTCAATTAATAGTACAGATGTCTTACGGTGCAAGCTACGACGAGTATTCTCGTTTATTTCTTTCGGGCTCAACTCCAGTTGTTCCAAACTCATTAAATGAGTATCAAACAATAATCACTATTCTTTTGGCATTGGCTACTTTTGGTTCACTTTCCTTGGGGTTTTTGGTAGATAACAAATCTCGTTCCCCAGTCTTACAGTTGCTTTATATCTTAATTGCCTCCTTTTCAATTGGTTTAGGTTCAATCTATGCCTCCAATTTCTTTGGTGTCTATATTTGAGTGACTGTTTCTAGAGTGGGTTCCCTCTCGAAAACAATACAGCAGTTACAGCTCAACTTTTACTTCTCCTATGTATATTAGTTAACAAAAGTATCTTTTTCAGTCATTATGTTGATTTGTAGTTGGGTTTGCGATGTACGGGCCTTGCTGGACGGAAAAATTGTGCTGTTCGATCTTTTTTCCATATTTTTCAGTAATTCCAACTAATCTATTTGATCTATCAACACCTATTGAAGATGAAGATCTTGTATCAGCTATTGGCATTATTCCAAGTGGTTGTTCTTGCCACTGCGCGTGCCCAAGGAGACGAGTATTCCAAGGATGCCAATGTTTATGAGTTAACACCATCGAATTTTGATAAAGTTATATTGAATACCAATTATACTTCAATTGTTAAGTTTTATGCTCCATGGTGTGGTTATTGTCAAAAATTGAAACCAGTGTACAAGAAATTGGGTAAACTCATTCATGAAGATGGTAAGCTTGCCATAAATGTTGCTGCTGTCAATTGTGATCAAGAATATAATAAGCCATTGTGTTCCAAGTATAAAATTAGTGGATTCCCAACGTTAACTGTTTTCAGACCACCAAAATACGATCCAAATAGTAAAAGCAAAGTTTATAAACACGCTACTGATACTTACAATGGTGAAAGAAGCTTGAAATCTATGTATTCCCACCTTACGTCTCATATTAAGAATTATGTTAAAAAATTTCAAAGTCTTAAAAGTGATACAACTAAAAACTGGTTTGATCAAAATGAAAGTTTGAATAAAGTTTTATTGATTAGTTCCAACTCTCAGATCAGTCCTTTATATAAATCATTAGCTATTGATTTCATTGACACCCATAAATTTAGCATGTTAACTCTTAAAAAAATTGAAGAAGAAAATCCAATAATTACATTATCTTCAGGAGATGAAATAACTATTCCTTTATCAAAACAAGATGAACTACCAGTTTTACTTAGTTATGATGATGAAAATAAGGTTTTTAATAAATATGAACCAAAATTGAAATCAAATGATAAAGTGAAAATTGGTGAATGGTTAATTGATCAAAATGGCGTTAAACCTTTAGAAGGTGAATTATCAAAGAAAGAAAAGAAAATGTATAAATACAGGACTGGTAAAAAGGCCAAACCGGCCCACGATGAATTATAAGTATTATATAAAATTCTATATCTAATAAATTTTTTTAAGCTTTACCTAAATTATCCATCATATCCATTAAATCATCCAAACTGTCTTCTTCTTTTGGCTTTTCGGGCTGTTGCTCGATTTCAGTGTGTAGTATCCAATTAGTTACTTGGTCAATTAATAATTTTGAATTAGGTACAAAATGACCACCAGGATGTTTTAAAATATCCGAATTGGTTTTTGAATGATTATATAACGAAACTGATCGTTCTTCAGATACAACCGTATCCAACTCTCCGTAAACATGGAGAAGCTTAAAGTTATCCGATTGCCCTCCATCCTGGGTATAGTATTTATCGTACTGTGAGCTAGCAGATTCTTTTGAGGTATCTATTTTAAACCCAGAATATAATACTGCAAATTTTAATTCAATGCCAAAAATATCTTTGAAGTCATGTGCTAAAAGACCACCCAACGCAGCCCCTTGAGAAAATCCAATGATCCCAACGATGGGAATATTCGAATCGTCATCGTCGTTGGCTTTTTCATCTTCGGTTGAATCGTCATCAGGGATGATCTTGCCATTATTGATGTAATCTTTGATGGTATCGACTGCGAGAGAAATTTCAACCGCATCCTTATAGTAGTCCTTTTTAATCCACCAGGCTCTGAGGTTGGTGTCTTCTTCATCTTCAGGAACCACCGAATTGAATTTAGATAGAGCATCATTCGAAGGTAATTGAGCAGGAGTTAACTTATAAGGTCCATTAAGATAAACCGACTTGTACTTGAGTTTTTGGAGCTTTTTACGTAATGCAGAGGTTTTGGCATAGAATATCGAAGACGTTTGGGTGTACCCGTGCAAGAAGATGATTCTTCCCTTATAATCTATTTGTTTCTTAGGCGGCATGGTCTTATCTTAGCGAATCGTTATTATATATATCGATAAACGAAGTTGATTAGTTTTCATTTTTTTTCCAGTTCATGCCTCACTAGTCGGATTTTGGCGGCAAAAAAAAAATTACGCTACTGTACCATAGTAATATACTGAGAATCTAGATAAAATCTATAAATGACTATACGAGTCTATAAGAATGGAGGTTAAATCTTGTTTAGCTCTATGATGGATCTGATGATTTGGATTTTGGATTTGTCTGAGTTGTCACCGTCGCCATAATATTCTTTAAAGTCTGATTTTGATTTGATTTTCTCGTAATCGGAATCAATTTCAATATAATGAATCACCAAGCCAAACCCCAATCTATGAGCAGCTTTAACGTTGATTTCACTATCGTCAACAAAGGATTGTCTCCGCATGACTTGCTTATCGTCATAATCAATGTTAACATTCTTTAAAGTATTGAAAAAAAATTGATCCATTGGTTTACATATAATGGGAGATTGAGCATAATCGCAATAAGTCAACCCGTCAAATAAGTCTCCGAGTCCTAAAAAGGAAACCACTCTCAATGCGTGGGTCTTATAGGCATTGGTTATCAACCAGAATAAGTCGTAGTCTTGATTCTGTTTGATATCTAATAAAGTTTGGCGTAATTTTGGGTTGTAGCTTAAAACCGATTTGAGATCGAGTGAGTCATCAACTTGAGAATTGTATTCCAAAGCGTCCACCTGGTGATTTCTCACCAACCCTTCTAATGCCAATCCATACGTGGTATAATAGCTGATGTGTAATTTGTGGGCGTCTTCGTCGCTCAACTTGAGATTGGCCTTGAAGTATTCGTGGATTTTGACTTGCATCATATCATGAATCTTGGTCGATCTCTCGTAGAGACAGTTATCAATATCGAAAAAGAATATTTTTTTATTCTGTAGTCCTTCTGGTAACGGACCAATTCCATACTTCAAATTCACTTGTCCATTATAAACTGGATTCTGTGGATCGGGAGTTATTTCTGGATTGGTGTAGTGTAAACTGGACCCTACGCCGTTGCTCATACTGGAAGTAGTCATTTTGAAAATTCTATTGCTCAAGAATCTAATTGGAAAGTATCTTGTATTCAAAAGAAGCATTAGTTGATAAAAACGTCAAAAGTATTCGTTCAATGTCTTCCAGAACCGTGATTTTTTTCCGTTTCCGTTGTCTTTTTTTTTTTTTTTTATAGTGCGATTGCTTTATATCTCCACGTTTATTAGTCATAGAAGACGTCGTTTTGCACTAGTTGGGTGTCTTTCTTTAGGATGGTGTGGAGGTAGTTGAGAAGATAGTAGATGTCGGTGACCATGTTTGAGATTGTATCTTTATCGTAGAACTCATTGATTTCGTTTGGTAATCCTAGAATACCGGCCGATTGGTTATGGAAGTTATCTCTCATTTGATGGAGGATTTTGCAGATGTTTGATAAGTTTGTATAGTTCTGTTTTTTAATCTGGGTGTAGTTTTGCTGGTTTTGTAGGTTGTTGTGGTTGTTGGTGAATGTTTTGGCAAACACTAGGTTGACGGCTAGTAATCTGAAGTAGACCTGGTAGAAACAATTTGATGATTGGAAGCTTGGAGTTCTCATCAATTTGGGGACGTCTATTTTATTTAGTTCTTTTAAAACAGATATTACTGTTGGGATGTCCGGGGTGAAATCAATCGAGGTATCTAGTTGCATCATATTAACAAAAATATCGGTATTGGGTATCTCGATTGGTGGTATTCCAATAAATGCTCTTTTCAAGTTTTCTATAGTCAAGTGGATTAGCATGGGTTCGTTACGATCGAAACTTAAGTCAAGTAGCCTTAATAAGTTATAATGCAATTGGTACTTGATTAGTTGACTTATTGGTTTCCCGTTGTATAGAACTGGGTTGATTTTATCAATGTTTTGTAACCATCGATTAACTTTGGGTCCTTTCAATACCAATTGACGGAAAACTGGTTTAATGAAAACGTTTACTAAGTCAATCGGATATTGGTTGGCGTTGAAATCAGAAACAATCATTATAAAACACGAAACCATCGAGTCATATAATGATTCGTCAATTGCCCCGCTGGCATAGTATAAAAACACTAACGATAATCGATAAAGACTTAGTTGCGTATGACCATTGTACTGCACTAGCTTAATTGTATGGTGGTCTTGCAAAGGCGTGTTACATCCTAGGACTTCGACATATTTTGAAAAGTCACCAAATCTCCTGGCATTCTGTTTGACGAAAAACTCTTGAACAACTTTCAACGTGTTTAAGTCGTCGATCTTGCAAAGGGCTATATCGAGAATATTTTTCAAATCGGTCATATTAAGTAAATTGGATAAACTTTGTTCGTCTTTGAACAAAAACGGGATTGAGGCTTTCGACACTTTGAAATCAGATTCAATATCAACTTCATAAACATCTTTCATGAAAAAGAAGTGTCTGTTCAACTGAAATTCAGCATTCTTCTTTAAACTTTTTTTAACCAACGATTCAATTAATGATTTATGTCCATTATTACTTAATGAATACCGGTACCTCGAACCATTATCATTCAATTCATCTATCAATGCGGTTTTCCTTTGCAATATATCCTGATATTCTCGCTTAACTTTTTCATTTGATCGATCAATCTGTTCTTGTAATTTATCATGGTTGTTTAGTAATCTTTCGTTATCCCGGGCATGGGTCTTAAAGATGGCAGGAATATCAAGTTCAAACTCATCGTCACTCGAGCTCCGAAACGGGGACGTTTCAGACCGGGTTAGTCTTTTGGCTTGATTTCGAATAACCAACGGAGGTAGAGAACTCGATCTGGTAAGGTGGGTCTCTGCTTTGGACACCGGCGTCGGCGATTTCGTTTTGGCCTTGCTCGCTTTGGGATTTATCAATTGCAATACATCAACCTCATCTTCACTCGAGCTATCGGACATGGCCATGGGGACTTTCAGTTCCATATTGAAAAAGAAAGAAAAAAAATCCGTTATATCAAATTGAAAAATCGATATCTCGGTGTGCGGGTGTACTGTTCTTCGGTTACAGTCGGTTACAGTCAGTGTGAACGATTGAATAACCATACAATTTACTTAAAATGCTAGTCTGGAGAGAATGCCTCGCAAATGCCTTGAGTCTGGCACCATATCATAATACGGCTTTACTTTTAAAACATCACAATAATAGAGCTAACTGAACGGAGACGGAAAAAAAAAAAATTATATATATAAAAGGGAAATCTCACGCATTTTGAAGGATTTTTCAATTAATATAACTAAGCTATCCACAATTTGTAATAGTATAATATCATGTCATTTAACAAGCTTCCATTAGAACCACTTTACGAGAAGATTGAAGAATTGAAACCAAAGTTCATTGAACGTCTTTCCAAAGCGGTTTCAATTAAATCGGTATCAGGAGATGAAAGTTTAAGACCAAATGTTGTAGAAATGTCAGCATTTTTAGTTAATGAATTAACTAACTTGGGATTTGAAGATATTCAGTTAAAAGACTTAGGGATTCAACCACCACCAGTTAATGATCCAGAATTAAGATTACCACCAATTGTATTAGGACGTTATGGGAATGATTCCAAGAAAAAAACTGTTTTAGTTTATGGACATTACGATGTTCAACCAGCATCTAAAGAAGATGGATGGTCTACCGAACCATTTGAATTGGTCCAAGTGGAAGATATCTTATACGGTAGAGGATCCACTGATGATAAAGGGCCAGTGATGGGATGGTTAAACGTTATTCAAGCCCATCGTGAATTAGGATGGGAATTACCAGTTAATTTACTTGTTTGTTTCGAAGGTATGGAAGAAAGTGGATCATTAGGTTTAGATGATTTAATTGCCAAAGAAGCAAAAAATTATTTCAAAAATGTTGATACTGTTTGTATTAGTGATAATTATTGGTTAGGTACCACTAAACCAGTTTTAACTTATGGATTAAGAGGATGTAATTATTATCAAATTGCAATCAATGGACCAGGAGCAGATTTACATAGTGGTGTTTTCGGTGGATGTGTTGCCGAACCAATGACTGATTTAATTAAAATCATGAGTCAATTAGTTGATGGTAAGGGTAAAATTTTAATTCCTGGTGTTTATGATATGGTTGCACCAGTGACTGAAGAAGAAAATTCTCTTTATGATGATATCGATTTCTCAGTTGAAGAACTAAACGCAGCCAGTGGTTCAAATACCGCTTTACACCAAACAAAACAAGATATTTTAAAACATAGATGGAGATTTCCTTCTTTATCTCTTCATGGTATTGAAGGGGCCTTTTCTGGTGGTGGTGCTAAAACCGTCATTCCAGCCAAAGTCATTGGTAAATTCAGTATTAGAACCGTCCCCGATATCGATAGCGGTAAATTAGATGAATTGGTTATTAATTACATTAATAAATTATTCAAAGATTTATCAAGCCCAAATACCATCAAAGCCGAATTAATTCACGATGGTAACTATTGGGTTTCCAATCCTTTCAACGACTCCTTCACTGCTGCTCTGTATGCTACCCAGCACGTCTGGAACATGAAACCTGACTTCACCAGAGAAGGTGGTTCCATTCCAATCACCCTCACTTTCGAACAACAATTGGGTACCGATGTCTTATTATTACCAATGGGTAGAGGTGACGATGGTGCTCACTCAATCAACGAAAAACTTAACATCCCTAACTACATCAACGGTTGTAAGACCTTGGGTAGTTACTTACATTACTACGGGAAATTCGAGTCAAATAAGTAATCGTATAACTATATATTTATTGAGTTCAGGTGCAAAAACTCTTGTAATTGCAAACCCAGCCGTCCCGTTGGTTAGCCATTCGGTCTCCCCTGCTTCTCCCATCTACGTAGCCTTCACCCCTAGATCTTCCCTTCATTTGTCTGATTCTCTCGCAAATTTCGTCCGCAAAGTAAACGAGAAGAGAAGGAAAAATTTTCGTACTCCAAAAACGAAAAACTCATACAAAACAAAAAAAAAAAAAAAAAAATAAAAGACAAAATCTCACCCTCCAAATAGGCATAAGTAGACATCGGATTTTTCTCTCAATCACTTTCTTCAACTAGATATACACCATTTACTGTTCATAGAAGCACATCCTAGTCGTTTTGATACAAGACTGTATTGTACGATACTGCCAACATAATCCGTCAAAAGAGAAACTGATTGTCATTTGTATATATCCTGGACGAAAAATTTTTTCCACCGAATTTTTTTTTGAAAAACCCAATATCCATTCATCTGTTATAGAATAAAACAAGTTGAGTCGATCATGTCTGAGAATTTGAAGAGAGCCGAGTCGTTATTCAATAGAATAATGAATCAGAGTTCTGGGAAGAATGAGACGATTGGTTCATCCAAGACAAGTTCTTATGCCAATGCAGCTGCTGCTGCCGGGAGTATGAATAGTAATCGTCGAACTAGTCTGAATGGACATCATAGATATAATAGTGGGGGGAGTCATAATGGGACGAGTGAAGGAAAGTATAATAAATCAAGATCATCATCAGGATCAGGACCCAGTGGAATAACAAGTCCGCTGATTGGATCAACGTCTTCAACGTTTAGTGACAATGGCGGACGTCATCATCATAATCGTCATCACAATAATCATTCAAAGAATGAAGTACCATCGGTTGAATTACCGAAAAGAGACCCGATCAAAGTTTCTAAAGAAACTTTATTAAAAATCCCCAATGAACATCATATATTACCGTATTGTTGGACAATATGGCATCATTCACGGAATAAATCCAAACAAGTAATGGAAGAACCAATTAGTGAAACTAACAATGCTGTTGCGGTTGATTCTTATTTACAAACAACTAACGAAATCAATTTCAAATCAATAATTGACTCAAATGAATTAATAAATAGTATTGGTTCTTTAGAACAATTATGGTTAAGTTTATCTACAATTAAACAATCTCATAATTTACCAATTGGTACCGAATTATTATTTTTCAAAAGTGGCATAAATCCAGTTTGGGAAGATCCAATCAACTCTAAAGGTGGTAGATGGGTTTTCCGTTTTAGTCGTCGTAGTCATCATCAAGATAACTTAGATTCAATTGCTAAAGTTAGATACAGAACTAATTTAATTTGGGAAAGATTATTAATTAAAACTATAACTGGTTCAATCATTCCAAAACAAAATTATTCTCAAGAAATTCAAGATTTATTATTAAATGATATTAGTGGATTGGTTCTTTCGGTTAGAAAAGATGAAGATATCATCAGTATATGGAATTCAAATATAAATTTTAATAAGAAAAAATTCGAAGAAAATGGTGAAAAATCAAAAAAAATCTTAACCAGTTTCCAAGCAAGAAGAATCATCTGTGATTCAATCCTCAGAATCATTAGAGAATGTGACTTAATCAATCAGGGCTCCGACTGTATCGATACCTTGGACAGTGGCTCCAACGAAAGAGTCTTTGGCGTCTCCTTCGAATACAGATTGCATGCCGACAACAACAACCCTTCTTTACACGATAAAGAAAAGTCCAGATCCAAGTTCAATTGGTGATTTTGTATAATTATATAAATTATCTATATATACGTATATAATCTTATACACTACCCGATTAGGCAGTCTACGGCTGACCGTGTCGTGCAGAATATCGTGCAAAATGTCGTGCAAAATGTCGTGCTGCCCTACAAAATAAAAAAAGAAGAAACTTTAAAAAAATTTTTGAGTCAAAAAGTAACGTAAATATGAAACTTTAGAAGAGAAGAAGAAAAAAAAAAAAAAAAAAAAAAAGAGAGAAAGAACAGTTATTAACGAGAAAAAAATTAAGTAGTCTTCTTTCTTTAATATAATCTTGAAAGAGGTTTACTGTGTATTATACTAACTGCCAGGTCTGCTTTACGTCAGAGAGTGTTCTAGTGCTTTCATTTACATCTGACATATCTTTCATTTATATTCGTCTCGGTTAGTTTTGAACAAAGAAGAGAGCAAAAAAAATATAATAACAGGATTAACTCCATCGCATAAGTTGGGAATTCAAAAATGAGTCTTCCATCAGATACTCCGGATCAGAACGGTAAGTTTGATGCAGGTCCATCAATCGTTGAGCTATTCCATTCGGCCAAGAAACTACTTTCGTTACAAAGCAGGGTTGAAAATCGTCAGTTGAGAAAGGATAACTCTAAATGTCAAAAAAATCATTTAGAAAGTTCAAATCCACATAAGGTGTTCGATGGGTCTAGCAATAAGGTTCTTGAATTACTTTCGCCTTTGTCTGTTGATGATATTAAGAATGAGAATTCTCCTTATTCTAAGACCAGCCAATTTTCTAATTTTAATCCGAAGCAACCAAGAGGAGGCTCGACTAATAATATAACTCCTTCGAGTATGAATGATTCTCCTCCTTTGTCCAGTCAATCAAGAAGCTTCGACTATGATAAAGATGGCTCTTTAAGTCCATCAAATAAAATTAAAAAAGAACCTTCCACTACTCTATATCCAGTGCAAATCTCAGCATCTAAACCTAGTGAAAAGACTGCTCTGCAAAATGGTCCAAATCACAGACTGGTGCAGCAACATCCAAAATCAAATCTTACTTCATCTTTATCCCAACAAAAACATCTTTTACAATCTGGTTCCAGTAATAGCGATGAAAGTGATAATAATAACAATAATAATGGTAATAATAATGGTCATAGCACTTCTTTCAATGATAAACCTACCGAATGTCATAATTGTCACACTTTGAAAACTCCTCTTTGGCGTAAAGATCCTCAAGGAAATACTCTATGTAATGCGTGTGGATTATTTTTGAAATTACATGGTACTACTCGTCCATTAAGTTTGAAAACTGACGTTATTAAAAAGAGAAGTTCTAAAAGAGGTTCAACCGGTGGGATGGTGAGAACAAATTCAGTAACTGAAAACTATCTGACCTCAATAGGACGTCAAAATAATTTAACTAATCCAAAACCTAATAGTATACCTATAAAATCAAACAATTTATATGGATCCTCATCAACTCCAGGATCTTTCAATAGTGAAGGACCTTTATCGATAAGTACAAATACTTCACGTTATAAAAATGTATTAATTTTACCAAAACCACCCGTGACTAGTTCTCCAGCTCCAACATCAAGTTTTTCAGCATCATCAACACCAGGAACCACGGTAAGTAGCTCATTCAATCCAAATTCAAAGTCAATACCAATCCCAAATGGAGGATCACCATTCACTAATAATAATCAACCTTTCAAAAGGAAAAAAAGTGATGTTAATATCCCAGTAAGTTATAATGAATATGCAAATAGTATAAGTGGAGAATCAATTAAAAGAATACCATCACAATTATCGATATCGTCTAAAAGAAATTCATTTCAATCATCATCATTTAATAGAAGAACTTCCATGACAAATCTATCATCTCAAAATCGGAAAAATTCCTTTGTTGGTTTAAGTAATTCATTAAATGGTAACACTACCCCAACTAATTCCTTGACTCCAACCAATATAAGTTTATTAAATTCAAAATTTTCTTCAAGTAATAGTTATTTTGAAAATCCGAATAGTCAATCTTTTTATAAAATGAATTCTAATATCAATAATCAAAATATTCAAAACAATCATGATTTTCCTGGTTCGGATACTTCTTCCTCAAGTCATCGTCAATCTTTTAATCATTCTTTTAATCAACCTCCAATACGAAATGATCAATTAAATGTTGCCGACCTACTTCCTTCCAATAATAAACAATCAAAATCAATTAATGAAGAAGATATCGCAGCTGGCCTTCAACTGCCAGAAGTCGAGTTCTTCAAAGCTTATACTTCTTTAAATGAAGATCATGATAATGATAAAATGGATATTGATGACAATGTTTTAACTAATAAATATACTATAAAACCTACTAAATCAAGTTTAACGGATGGCTTAAAAAATCAAAATCAAAGATCTTCAAATGACGACGAAAAAGACCTTGATTGGTTGAAGTTTGAAATCTAATCTTTGTCCGTGTATAATTTTAATGATATTAATGAATCTTGATGATGAATCCTCATGTAAAAAGATGAATGTAACGTTGTATTTGGTGTATGGGTGCATTGGCTGGATGTACTGGCGTGCGTTTACCAGTATAGCATGTGAAAAGGTTTAACGCCCGTACATATGCTGTATAAGGGGCGTCGTTTAGTCGTAAACCCAAAAAAAATTAGTGTGCCAGATCAAAACACGATGCTCAATAGAAAAGTTTTTTTGTTATATAAAAGTACTCGATGCCCAATAGGGTGGAAATTTTTCAAAATTTTCAAAGTTCTTTCTTCTTTATTCTATTAGTTTATAACTTTAGTCTTATTCAATTACAATGTCTGCTCCAGCCCACAACTATAAAGTCGCTGATATCTCTTTAGCTGCCTTTGGTAGAAAAGATATTGAATTATCTGAAAATGAAATGCCAGGTTTAATGTACATCAGAAAGAAGTACGGTCCATCTCAACCATTGAAAGGTGCTAGAGTTGCTGGTTGTTTACATATGACCATTCAAACTGCTGTTTTGATTGAAACTTTGGTTGCTTTAGGTGCTGAAGTTACCTGGTCTTCTTGTAACATTTTCTCAACTCAAGATCACGCTGCTGCTGCCATTGCTGCTGCTGGTGTTCCAGTTTTCGCTTGGAAAGGTGAAACTGATGAAGAATATGAATGGTGTATTGAACAACAATTATTTGCTTTCAAGGATAACAAAAAATTAAACTTGATTTTAGATGATGGTGGTGATTTAACTACTTTAGTTCATGAAAAATACCCAGAAATGTTAGATGACTGTTTCGGTTTATCTGAAGAAACTACCACTGGTGTTCACCATTTATATAAAATGTTAAGAGATGGTAAATTGAAAGTTCCAGCTATTAATGTTAACGATTCTGTTACCAAATCTAAATTCGATAACTTATACGGTTGTCGTGAATCTTTAATCGATGGTATTAAAAGAGCCACTGATGTTATGATTGCTGGTAAAGTTGCCATTGTTGCTGGTTTCGGTGATGTTGGTAAAGGTTGTGCCATGGCCTTAAGAGGTATGGGTGCTAGAGTCATTGTTACCGAAATTGATCCAATCAATGCTTTACAAGCCGCTGTTTCTGGTTACCAAGTTGCTCCATTGGATGAAGTTGCTTCTATTGGTCAAATCTTTGTTACCACTACTGGTTGTCGTGATATCATCACTGGTACTCATTTCGAACAAATGCCAGAAGATGCTATTGTTTGTAACATTGGTCACTTTGATATCGAAATTGATGTTGCTTGGTTAAAAGCTAATGCTGAATCTGTTGTTAACATCAAACCTCAAGTTGACAGATACTTAATGAAAAATGGTCGTCATATTATCTTATTAGCTGAAGGTAGATTAGTCAACTTGGGTTGTGCCACCGGTCACTCTTCTTTCGTTATGTCTTGTTCTTTCTCTAATCAAGTTTTAGCTCAAATTGCTTTATTCAAAGCTGATGATGAACAATTCAGAACTCAATTCCCAGAATTCGGTAAGAACTCTAAATTTGAATTAGGTGTTCACTTATTACCAAAAATCTTGGATGAAACCGTTGCTAAATGTCACTTAGACCACTTGGGTGCTAGATTAACCACCTTAACTGACGTTCAAGCTGAATACTTGGGTATTCCTCAAGAAGGTCCATTCAAAGCTGAAATTTACAAATATTAGACTTGTTTATCTCAGCGATTCAATTCTTTCTTAAAAAGTCTGCCGATGATTATCATTTCTAATATTTTTTTTTGCTCATTGGTATTTTACTGTATTTTATTTTTTATCTGCATCAACTGCATTTAATGACTTACTTTTTATGAATCAAGTTATGTTTAAATGATTATTCTACTTTTTTTTGTTTGAACATGTTTTTATTTTACTTTTAAACTTTTTATACTGGGTTATCATTACTTCTTTTTCTTTCTTCATTTTTTTTTTTATCATATTCAATTTGAACTGATAACGGTAGATTTTTATACACATCTATATAATTTTAATAAAGGTATCCTCAACGGATTTAAAAAAATGTTACAATATCGTAGGAAGGCATTTATTACATCATGTTTTAATTTTTACCCCTTAATCATTTTATTGCAGTTGAGTACTCGACAAGCTCAAAATTCAGATCTATATATTAGGATAGTTTCCTTCAAGCTTTTCCTATAATCCATATCTTCGTTATAGCTACAAGATGGTATTAAAATAAATATAATATAATATTAAATATTAAGTATTAATTGGGTAAGATTGTCATATAAAATCTTAAGTCAAATTATTAAATGATTAAACCAAGTATTTGGGTTGCAAAAAAATGTGAAGAGAGAAGAAAAAAAAAAGCTAAACAGCTATAATGGATCTAAAATAACCAATCAAAAAATCTCAGAAGCCAAGAACGGCCTTTTGGCTTACCTTCAATTTCTAGTTTACTGAAGTATTCGTATTCGTGTTGTTCGACTAATTCCAAACCAGTGATTAAGTCAGCCTCCTGAGGCTTATTAAATTTAAATTCAGTTTTTTTGAAAACTTTCCAACAAATTGCAATAAAAATAGAAGTGAATAACATGATGTATGAGAATAAAAATTCATCAATTGACCAATTACCTGGTAAGAAAACAGTATAACCTAAAACACCAACCATTGCAATTAAGAAAAACAAAGTGAAATAAACCGAATAAGGCTGAAACCAAGATTTATAAACAAATTCGTCCCTATTAATATTTTGAACTTTAACAGCCCTATAAAACCCGATATAGGCAATGGCCATATAAACATAGTTTAATACTTGGGATCCAGTACATAAACTAACAATGTATCCTAATGCATTGGAAGCTCCTGTTCCTAATTGCATTAAAGATAATAATGAAAATCCAACTGACACACCAATACAGTATATTGGAACACCATTTTTAGTTACTGCACTGAAAATTCTTGGGGCTACTCCTTGAGTTGACATGGCATATAAGATTCTTGAAGAACAGTACATGAACGAATTTCCTGCTGAAAAAGCTGCGGTTATGATGACTGCATTAATTAAGTCAGGTAATCCTTTAATACCCAAATTGACCATTGCAATAACATAAGGAGAAGAAGAAGCATTTGAACCAGAACCAGAATTATTAATTAGAGATTTATCATTATAAGCAACCAAGATTCCAACTGAAAGAGCACCCAAAACGTAAAAAATGACAAGACGATAAATTACAGTATGGAAAGCAATTGCCATTGAACCAGGGTATTTTTTGGTACCTCTTGGATTTTGAGCTTCACCAGCAACTACTGATAATAGTTCCGGACCAATAATAGTGAAAGAAGCGTTAATAGTAGCACCTAAAATAGCTTGAAAATTTCCAGAAGCACCAGTACTAATATATTCATTTAAAGGAGCACCATCAATTCTCCAATTACGGAAACCAAAAGCATCATGCTTTGGATTACCACCAACCATTGCAATAAAAGTGAAAAAAATTAAACCCGAAGTTAAAAGTAATTTTGAAATAGCTAACCAAAATTCAGCTTCACCATAAATTCTTACCACAAAGATATTGATGATTAAATATAAAAGAATTTGAATAACTAGAGGAATAATTGGAGAATAATCATCTCTCCAATAATGGATCATACTATTAACTGCAGTAATTTCAAAAGGAATATAAATACTATACATGAAATAAAAATTATAACCAGCGGCGATTTCGAGAGCTTCATCAACCGTTCTTCCTAAGAAATTGATATAAGGTAAATGAACTGGTAAATAACAAGTCATTTCACCAGCACAACTTGATAATAAATAAATAACAAAAGTCCAAAAACTATAACCGATTAATAAACCTAAAGGCCCGCCTTTAAGTAATCCACTACCGATGGAAATGTATAAACTAGTACTAATAGCAGCTGAAAAACTAATAAAATTAACCATTCTACCAGTTAAAGATCTACTAACATTATTTGAAGTTGATAATAGATTTGTTCTTGAATCTGCTGAACTATTTGAACTTTTACTACTAGTTGAATGCATATTTGAATGTTGAGATAAACTATAATTCTCATCATCATCATTGACCACCAAGGGTCGTTTGTTTCTGGTTTGAGACATTTAAGCGAATGAATGGAATAGGAAAGAAAGACAAATATAAATCAAAAGAATATCAAAAGAGGAAAAGTTATAATGATCCAGAGGGAAATTTTCATCATTTTATAAAGTGCCGTAACTAAATGATGGTTAAAGGAAAGAATTTTAGCTTGAAAATAGGCCAAGGCAACAGATGTCAACTAGAATGCAAAAAGTTAAAGAATAAAGGAAAAAGGAAGGAAAGAAGTTGAAATAACAAAGACATGGAAAATGCAAGGCAAACGGCATTAATACCATGATACATATTCACGAATTAATTACAAATAAAAACTTATTCATAGAAAACATCATTGGTTCAAAAAATTATATGAGATCAATAACAAAGTTAAATAGATAAGGCACTAATGTAAGGAGTAAAAAGTTAAAAATCAAGTACATTAAGTTACAAAGAAATGATCAAATCTTGTACTATTATTATTTGCCTTTTTCAATTTTTCTTTTTTTTTTTCGTTTTATTCATTTTAACCTTGTACAATGATTCGTTTTTTGTTAACAAATTAATTATATTTGTTGTAATTTAAGGTTGTTGGATTACGATTTAGTTCAAAATCATTGATGCAAGATTGGTTATTAATTAGCAAATCAATCAATTTTTTTCGTCAAAAATATAACTTTTCCTCTTTGTTAAACTTAATTATCTTCTTTGTTCATAATAAGTCCTTTGTTGATCAATGTCTTGTTGCAATGGTGATTCGGACTGGCACTGCTCCATCTCACAGGAAAAATTTTGATAATCCTTTTTGATTTTTCATTCCTAAGTTGTTGGTCCTAGGTCTTGTCTTATTAAGACCATCGTTCTAAGTACAATATTTGATGGGCACCAGTGATTTAATTGTTTGCGAAAACCGTTTCTCATTGGGCATTGTCGACTGTTGTACTCCCATCGCTAAAATTGTAATGCATCTGATGCTATATATGCCTTTCAACTTTTTGGTTTGATTTCTTTGCGGTTTATTAATACATGAATTTTTCTTTTTCACTTTTTCTACTTTCACCTTAAGTTTTGAACTTTGATTTTGTCTTTGCCTGGGTTTATTGCCAGATCTTGCCGATACAGTCTGAAGTAATCGCTAGCGGGAGTGCTTCAAATATAGCCTGAGTCGCACCAGGCATACATTTACTTTCAGAGGGCTCTGCCCCCTCCTCGTATCTTGTACGAGGCGGTTCAGTTGGAGAAAAAGGTAAATCTTTGGTCGACAAAGTTTCCCTTAACAACGTAATGAGTAGGTTAGTGTTGCTAAGTGAGGGTGGATATACTTGGGCTATGACTCTCACGGGACCTTTAACTTATAGATATCTACAGGATATTGTATTGTAGGTGTCTGTATATTTAGTAGTATACTTCTGGTATACTTCTGTTATACTTATAGTATACTTTACGTGTTTCGTTTTTGCACTAACCACGAAATTGCAAAAAGAGTTTTTTTTAGGATTGCAACCTCCGCCAGCTGCAAAAACCGCCCAAACAAGTCTCTCCACTCAACAAACAGCAAGCGAAATGACTGCTCAAATGATTTTTTCAAAAGTGTATTGAGTTGTCTCGTGATGCCTTATTGTTTTACGAGGTTTCTAGTCACAATGTCCTGCTCCGATACATGACAAAACATTCGTCAAAAGTTTTTAGAAGATAGACATCCGTACATCAATAAAACCTCCGTACATCTGATAATGGTACATAGCTTTTTTGAAAGATACATTCTACGAATGCAGTTAATTCACTAGCAACAGAACTGTTATTAACCAACATCTGACGTTTTGATCCTCATTTAAGTTACCATTTAAATAAATCAGATAAGCTGTAATCTGTCTTCTATCTTCTTGTAGCATGTGAAGCATCAACATAAGCATCAAAAAATAGATTATGTAGATCAGTAAACGTACAGGTCAACTTTATCCTTCAGCTGTTCTGTATATATGTGTTATGCAATATATTAACTCTCCATATTCTGACTCATTTGGATTATTATTCTTCGAACTCGTCAGATTCATAGCATGGCTTATATCCGGTCTGGTTCCTTGAGTGAGCCATATTAATCTTTCAACACCAGAATGATATACTTTCTTTTCATCGTCAGTGAGGAGCTTAGTTTCTTAGAGTTCTAATTCCCGGAAACGATCGTTTAATGCCGATGAATTTGATTTTTTGTAAGGTTTTTTTTTAGTTATATCTTCAGTATAGTGTTTTTAATTAATTTTGAATCCTTCTTTATTTCTACTAAATTCAATACCGATATATCTCTGAATTTGACCTGGGTAATTAAGATCAAAATGATAATTCTATCTTAAAGTTTTCTAAATTCGTATTATTGGACGAAGTTAAGAATGAATCATCCACATGTAAGACTATGTAAAGCACCAGGCCATCGTCATAAGTTTTATGAAAGACCCCACGGCCACCTTTTTCTTCACCTAAACTTAAATTCAATAATACGCTTGTAGTACATTTATACCAATTCGTATCCTGGTTGTTTCATATTATAAAACCACCAGATTGTCTTATATATCATATATAATTTCCATACTTTTGTAGAACACAAAGGATGTTTCTTATAATTAGAACTATTTTGTTTTGAATAGGACTTTTATAATTTGGCAAAATATATATCACAAGCTCTTTGATTTTGATCTGTTCAACTTCTAAAGTATACTTTATCTATTGCCATGATCGACGGATGAAAATTAGTTGATCCCACTTCCCAATATGATGATTTAAATCCCGATCTAAATTCGTAGTCTTTGAATTCTTCGACCTTACTATGGAAATCTTTAAGATAAACATGCGTAACGTAAAACAAAGTTTCTTTACAACGTCACCTCAAATGTTTCTCAAAAACACAGATATCATCGAAACCAGTACTATTCCTAAATTCCCCTAGCTAAAGATTTCATTGAGTAGACTCGCTTCACTGGTTCCGGGTGTGCTTCACAAATCTTAGCAAAAGTTCGACATTATTTGAAACATTTTCAGTTTGTTGATTTTCAAATGATTTTTCATTGGTTGATAATTTTTCGGTGGATTTATTAATGGAAAAGCTTTTGATTATCAAAGGACATTATTTTTTAAGCAAGTTTTGACTTCCAATCTGTTGAATTTGAGTTGGTTTGAGTCGTATGTACGGCTGTGAATCCAATTGATAATAAGCTGTAAAGTAACAGCCTGAAGATATAATATATTGTTTTTATATGATAAAAAAATGCAAGCAATATAATTTTTTTGTTATAGAGAGAAGAATTACTTATGACTAAAGTAACCAAGTGAAGAGTAAGAAAGAAATTTATTTAATCGAGAAGCATCTATATACTACTGAGATAGTTTCGTCACTGCCCCCATCCCTTACTGCCATTTTGTCTTCGCTTGCAACATAAATCTATAAGAGAATAACTTTCAACTCCTTCAGTGACATTGTTCTTATTTGTTTTGCAATTTGCAACATGTTCACAATAGCAGATGTACGGATTTTGTGAACCAACAACGGGGTCCGAGTCGTGTGGAGGTCGCGGCAGAACGCGGAGCTTATCGCTGGACCAGCACGGTCTATCTTCGACTCTTCAGTCAATTCAGCCCATTCAGTCATTAGTCATTAGTTCAGTTTATTAGTTCAATTTATCATGATTTTAAGCTTGGGTTTGATGGCCATTTGCACTGGCTTTGCTAAAGGAGCATACTTTGAAAACCAGCAAGTATTGAACTATGAACTAGACCAATTTCAAACATGTCCAATTGATATTCCGTTAACCTGTACCAATACGACTCCGGTCCAGAATAGTTGTTGTTTTGAAAGTCCAGGAGGTATAATGTTGCAGACCCAGTTTTGGGATTACTATCCACCAATTGGGGATAATGAGACGTTTACCTTGCATGGGTTATGGCCAGATAATTGTGATGGTAGTTATGAACAATTTTGTGATGATAGCTTGAATTTAAAACAGAATGAAGTAGTTGATATTATCAAAAATCAATATAAAGATGAAGAGTTGGTTGAATTTATGAAGTTAAATTGGAAGAATTTCAACGGGAACGATGAATCTTTATGGACTCATGAGTTTAATAAACACGGAACGTGTATTAAGACCATTAGATCCAAGTGTTTTGCTGATTATAAAGAAAATGAAAATGTTTATAAATTTTTCAATATCTCGGTTAATTTATTTAAAAAGTACCCTACCTTTAAATTTTTAAATGAAGAAGGAATCATCCCATCAAATGATAAAACTTATACCAAGGAAGAAATCTCTAATGCCTTGAAGAAGAATTTTGATGGGAAACAAGTTTATTTCAAATGTAATAAGTATAATGCATTACAAGAGATTTGGTATTATCATCATTTAAAAGGATCACTTTTAAATGAAGATTTTGTACCAATTGATAGTTTAATTAACTCAAACTGTCCAAATCAAGGTATTAAATTCATACCTAAAAATCAAGGTTTCAAACCACCACCAAATCAACCCCCAAAATCTCCTAATAGAGGATACCTTAAATTATCCAATAATCCCGGTTGTCTCATAAGTAATGGACAATGGTATCAATATGGAACTTGTGCCACATATCAAATCAATCAACTGGCCTTTGGTGGTTACAATATTAAATCGTCAAAGGGATATTGTGGAATTGACTCAAATGACCGATTAAATTGTAATAGTCAAAATCAACCCCTGAGATACCAATTTCATTTCGATAAAGAACTGAAAGAAATCAGTTATGGTTCAGTTAATCAATGGTGTTTTGACGATAAAGGTAAACACGGTCATGGCAAATACGTTCAAGTTCCAATTAAATTAAACAAAGATAATTGCGAATCCCCATTCACAATTAAACTTGTTTGAACTAAAAGTACAGTTTGTAGTTTACGAAAAAACGATTATTATTTATGTATTAATTATGTATTATTTATGTAAAACATGAATCACAAGAAAAGAAAAGAAAATAAGAGATAATAAACTAAGACTGGGCAGCCTGGGAGTCACTTTCTTTAGTCACTGGGGCCTCAGCAGGTGCCCCAGCAAGTGCCTCAGCAGGTGGTGCCTCAGCCGGTGCCTCAGTCGGTACTTCAGCTTGGTCAGTTTGCTCCAATGGGGCAGATTCAGTGCTAGCCGCTTTGGACTCACTAACCGCATCAGTTTTTTGATTTTCGGTATCACTTCTAAGATTAGTTGAGAATTTGGGGTAAATTCCTCCTAATTGCAAAATATTAAATTCAGTTAAATAGCTAATTCCTCCTGAGGTATTTAAAGGTATAATTGAGTAAATTACCAGTAACGCTAATGAAACTATAAAACTTAACCATCCAAATAAGGTAAATGCAATTAATGCATGGCTGATTTTACAATCTGTAGTATCATAATAAAACCCATAATAATATCCAGAACATGATATTGATCCAGTGTCATCAGTAATAAGTGCAAATGAAATAAGCCAAAATATGAAAAATACACCTTCACAAATTATAAGCACAATTGGTTGGAGGTACTGTATCACATAAGGAGTCAATACAACCAAAAGATAAACTAAACTAAATACTGATATAATAAGTATATATATGCCTCTGCCATACAGATAATCATTAATCAACCCACCACTTAATCCAAGTACAATAACACTAATGATCAATTGAATTGATCTAATTAAAACTGCAGTAGTAAACTTTGTTAAAAACATCATCCTTGACCTATATTCTACAGCCGCTGAAGCAAAGTGGCATCCCCTGGTTTATATACTTTTTAGAATGTGATGTATCACATTGGTAACCAATACAAAAACAAAATTACAGGTTTTTTTATGACAAAGTTACAGGTATTTTTATATGAGCGGCTAAAACAAATCGTATATTTTACAGCGGCTAACGATTTTCTCTTTTCTTTTATTTACTTATTTTCTTCTTCTGTTCCTCTTCTTTTCTTTTTCTTTACTTCTTTACTTTCTTTTGAAGTTCCTCGTATAGGTAGTCACTTAGTTTGACTAGACCAGCACCATTACAGATTCTATACAAGTTGTTGCTTTCGTAGCTTCCCGGTACAATCTTACCCGATTCATTTACCATCACGTAACCATAGATATTGTCGACCTCGGGGATTCTGCCGTACCTGGGGATTTCTCGAAAATCATAGATAGGCATGAACAGGTTAGCGTTGGCTCCGGCCTCTACTATAAATGCAAAATCATTCTGGATCGAATCTCCAATAAACTTATGTAATAGCGATACGAATTCATCGTTAACGTGGAAGTTCCCGGGCGTCACGTTGCGTTTGGAGTCACACCATCCCACAGCGAGAGTTGTAGGCTCTGGGGTGAGATTGAAACTGAAAAGTCCCTTTTCGTTATCGTGAATGTATATTTGGTCATTGAGGTGGTACTTGCTATAGAAACGATATGCGTTGAAAGGATTTCGGATACCGTTTCGAGGGAAAGAACGGGTTATGCTTCTTATTGGGTGGATCATGCTTGCAAAGTGTGGAGTATCGATGTAATTTGATTGCTTTCAAGACTCGTTTTCTTCTTGAGTTTTTTCACTTTTCTCTTCACTACCTCAACTTTTTGGTCCCGCACTATCTGAAAATGCTGCAAAAAAAGACAAAACATTACAAAAATTTGTAGAGCACTTGAAATATTATTAAAAAGTCCATATATATATATTAGTTACAGAAAAAGTTTCCAATTTTTAGAATTGATTAAGAGAGTAAGAAAGAATAAAAGTATTAAAATTCCTCATATTGCTGGTTGCCTCAACAAATATGTCTTTTGAGAAAAAAAAAAAAAAATCGAATAACAACTAATTAAAGCCTTCGAAAATAGGTATCAAAATTCGATGTTAGAAATTATAAAGCCCCGGTAAAAATATTAAGCTAACCAAAATTTAAGCCACAGAAATTTTGAAAAACTAACTTGCTTACAAGTTAAGGGCAGCAATAGCAGCAGCTAATAAAGCACCACCAACTGGGGTGATCATGTTAGCACCAGCTTCGTAAGCAGAAGAAATGGTTGGAACACCACTACCAGAAGAAGAAGCAATGGCGGATTCAGAAGCTGGAGTAGTAGATTCAGCAGCTAAAGTGGTTGGAGCAGAAGATTCAGCTAAAGTGGTTGGAGCAGTAGATTCACCAGCAGCAGTGGTTGGAGCAGCAGGAGCAGTAGATTCTTCAGCAGCAGTGGTTGGAGCAGTAGATTCTTCAGCGGCAGTGGTTGGAGCAGTAGATTCTTCAGCGGCAGTGGTTGGAGCAGTGGATTGTTTAAGAGTGGAAACAACTTCAACGGTAGAAGTGGTATCAGCACCAGTAGAAGTAGATTTGATGGTAGTTTCGGCTGGTTTGGTAGTTTCAGCAGTAGTTTCTTTTGGAGCAGTCTTAGTTGGTTTAGTGGTTTCAGCAGTGGTAGTTTCCTTGGTAATTGGACAGTAAGTGGTGTAAACAGTGTTTTCTTCAGTAACAGTGGTAACACCGGTGGTTACTGGAACTGGAGTACAGTGGTGATCTTCACAAGAGGTGATAGTAACAACGGTGGTTTGGATATCAGAAACAGTGGAAGTAGTACCATTGACTGGAACAGAAGAGGTATCACAAGTGACAGTAACAGTGGAAACACCTGGAACTTCTGGACAACTGGTGGTTGTTTCACCTGGAGTAACGGTAACGGTTGTAACAGAAACTGGGGTAGAAGATGGAACAACTGAAGAAGATGGAACAACTGAAGAAGATGGAACAGCTGAAGAAGATGGAACAACTGAAGAAGATGGAACAGCTGAAGAAGATGGAACAACTGAAGAAGATGGAACAACTGAAGTGGATGGTTCAGCAGAAGTAGATGGGGTAACAGTAGTAGTAGATGGTTCGGCAGAAGAAGATGGAGTTAAGGTGGTGGTTGAAGGTTCAGCGGAAGAAGCTGGGAGAGAAGAAGTGGAAGAAACACAAGCTGGGTCCCAACAGAAGTTTGGTAATTTTGGAGAAGGAATACCAATTTTCAATAAAAGACTCAAATCGAAACCTAAATCGATTAATCTTTTTTCGACTTGAGTTCTTTTTTGGGAATCCATTTGATCTAATGATCTCTTTAAGTCAGTAACTGATTTAAGGTTATCGAAATCATTATCTAAAGTATATTTATAGTTGGTAGCAAAGTATTTTTTCCAAGTATCAAAGATACCAACAGTACCATTTGAAGCAAAATCGAATTCAATGGCAAAATCATCTGGTAAACAGAATAAACCTTTGTGGAAAGAAGCTTCAACTAAAATGGTAGCAGACCATTGGAAAATGTTGCTAATGTCAGCTTCAGCGCCAGCACCAAAGACAATAGCAGTAGATTTTTGAGGAGCTAAACCAGTAATTTTAACTGAATCGGCTTCACCACCAAAAGATCTGGATAAAGTTTGAGGAGCAGCAGTTTCAAAGTTAACGGTAACTTTATATAAGTTATCTTTAACGTAGGTAACATCAGAAACAGATAAAGCGGCTTTTGGAGCGTTATTGTCTCTTTTGTTTAATTGTTTGATAGCTTCTTCAGAAACTTGTCTTTTTAAGACTTCGATATCATTATTGATACCATAGTTACCATCAATACCGTCTTTTTTGAATAAGTCGATACCTAAGTCTAATGATTCATCAATACCAATTTGGAAGATATTTTTAGATCCACCACAATCATCAGAATCTGGTAAACCTAAAGATAAAGAGAAATCAAAGTATTGAGAGAAATCAAAAGAGAAGGCAGCAGCATTGGTCATGCAAGCAGAAGTAGCCAAAGCGAGAGAGGCAAAGGTCGATTTAGTGAAAAGCATCTTTAAAAGAAGATAAGCGAAAGACTAGAATGGGTATTAATTGATGAAGAAGATTTTGAAAATAAGATATTTGAAGTTGGAATTCAATGATATTTATATTCTAATTTCCATTCAGATGTTGAGGAATGGAACTCCTTCGAGGATGAACGAAGGTAATTGCAAATAACTCAAAAAGCTTATGTTTTTCTTACCTAAAAGCTCTAGTCTTTTCATTGTTTTCTCGATTAACAAAGAGTAGTTGAAATAGTTGAAAAAAAAAATTAAAAAAATAAAAAGAAAGGACTTGAAAAGAGAAGGAACAAGAGAAGCAAAAAAAGGGATTTATGTTGCATGAGCTGAATCTAAGATTGAACTGGTTTATTTTTAATCCATTGATGGAAGCGCTAAAATGTTATTTTGGTATTACAAAGACGAAAGCGAAACGAATTAAAAAAAAAAAGAGAAGACTGTATTAATCCCTTATTGTCTATCGTAGAATGCACAAGGGATACTAATTCACATTCACCACCAACAGTCAGAAGGCGCAAAGGGAAGAGAGGTTGAATTGCAAAAAAACAAAAAAACACACTAAAAAAACAAAAAAACACACTAAAAAAAAAAAAACTACGATAATTGGAACAATAAGCTGAGTTCCACGGTTACTTACCTTTCCCAATTATTTTTTATTTCACCTTCCTTCATCTATTCACAAATAGTGCATACGAAGAAAACACCAATTTCTGTCTCGAGTATGGCAAAGGCAAAAAGGAAACAAGCCAAAATGAAGAAAATAGCTAAATGTTTAAAAAAGAAAAAGTGAGTGAGCTTTAAAGTACAATAGACCAACAGAACAATGAAGCATTTCTCTCAACAAAGAACCACTGGGTGTTGGAATATGGAACAAAACTACAAACATCCTGAATTGGTGAGTTAAATAACAAGAAGGGGTTTAGGCGACTTGCTAGAGTTAATATCCATGATGAGAGGGTCTTTGTAGAATGAATTCCTCGAGCCACTACAGCAGGGCTAAAATTAAGTTAGTTTCTAGTGTGTTGAACTGAAAGTTTGAAAAAAGCACGTTCAGTGAGAGCATTAGATTTAAATCTACGTCTGTCAACACCAAACGCACCACCTAATGTCAATGATCATCAAGATCGAGTCCTTGCGTAGATTTAATTTTGGCGTTAAATCACCAAATTGGGCAAAATTTTTTTCTACTCAGCAGAAAATAAAGAGAAGAAAATATACTTGAAAAGAGTTAATACCTGAACTTGTAAATAAACATCCACCTTTGGATTATGAACGAGCGGGAATATTTTAAACCTGTGTTGTTGCTTAAAGATTCGTTTGTTATAACTTTTTCTTTTGGTGTAGCATTGTTTAATTCCCTTTGTAGTTTTTTTGAGCTCGAATTTCTCGCACTACAAAATTATATGGTGCGTTTTTTTATATGGTGCATTTTTTTATCTGGTGCATTTTTTTATCTGGTGCATTTACTTAGTGGCCAACTAATGTAACCGTCCCTTCCTACCGTGGCTGGTACTTCACTTGCTGAGTTGAGTTAAAATGAAGAGCGTTGAGTGATACTTCGATGGCGTTGTGTTACCAGGGTGTACTTTTGTTCGTCTTCGTGTCAACTCAACGACTCGAGTATAGGAACTCTGCTTATTTTTTTTCTTTCTTCCTTGATATTTTTTTTCATTGGCTTTTCTTTATGGTAAGAGATTATCTCTTATTGTCGGTTATAGCAATCTAGTCTATTCATTTTAGGAGGTAAATCTCTCTCATCATGAGCTCAATGTTCTTACTTCTGAATTAAGTGCTCAAATCGGGATTCCCATATTCCTAATATAGATTACAATAAGAGAAATCAACTGTACGATATGTCCTAATTGTTGAGTATGCTTTTTAGATTGATGCCAGTCTGTTTTTACGAATACAGCTTGGTGCCAATAATAGCTGTCATGAAGAAAGCTTATTTCGTTTTTTATAGATGGAGCCACTTACCCCATCGTGGGTTGAATAGCTAACCCGCCTTTCCATTATCCTTAGAATCGTTGACTCCCCATGCTCTATGGAGTCGTCAAAATGGGTTTTTCTACGCTGTACAATGTGAATGGTTCTTTTCAATTACCCTAATTACTTGCATCTTTTCTTCCACTGTTATTTCATTTAGTACAATTTGTAAACACTAATCGTCTGACACTGGGTAATTCTATCCGGGTCAATTTCAAGAACCTATTTCCGGATTTCTCTGGTTTACTCGATAACAATGCTATTTCAAATTGGGACCCTTATTGTATGGAGTGCTTTTTTTGTTTTTTTTTTTTTTTGTTTGGCTTTTCTTTTTCTTTTTTTTTTTTTTTGCGGCCATTACAATAGTTTTGTAACTTGTGCACTTTTTGCAGGCTCAACCTCTGTAGTTGGTCTAAATACTTCTTTTATTACACACTTAAGCCCTTGTAATATTTTGATTCAACTTGAATGGGTCTGAAATGATCTCTCGCAGTCTTTAGCTCTCCCGACATATAATTGAATGTTTCATAATCCTAAAAGAGATTAGTTATTAAATGCTCCCGAAGTAGAATTTACTAGCTCCAACCATTTCAGCTTTGAAATGAATAAAGTCACTTCCCCGACTAATTCGGTTTTCATTTTTGGCTTATGATCTTGTAAGTTCAACCACGTTTTGCTTTGGGCAGTACTCATCCAATTATAGAAGAAATATTGTTGATAAAGCAAGGTTCTAGAAAAGAATCTCCTTAATGGCACCAATATTCTTTCAAAAATGGCAATCCGATCTTAAAAAAGCATAAGAAAATCCTAAAATACAACAAAGTGCATTGTAAACTATAATAATACAAAAGGGAAAAAGAAATATTTCCTTCTCACCTTTGTTTTGTAATGAATTGCTTTCAACCACCTCGTGATCTCAACTAGGTGAGACATTGACTGAAAACTTCATGCAGCTCAAGGCTCCTATTGAGTTCTTAACTTTTCGCAGCTAAAGCCTTTGAATACAAATGAATACATGAAAAAAGTATATTAAAGGGTATATATTAAAAATCACTCATGAGTGAAATAAAAACGAATATAAAAATTATAAACGAAATTTGAATGTAAAATCCAGAAAGTAAAAAATTAAATTACAGAATAATAGTAGACAACTACTAAAGTATGAAAAGAATATTAAAAAGACAAATCCAAAAAGTGAAATTCAAAAAAAATTTTCAAACATCAAGCTTAAAAATAAAAAAAAGAATTCATTCAAAAATTTAAACCATCATCAAGAACATACCGGCTAAAGCAGCACCAAATGAGTAAGTAGCTAAATTGGCTGCATTTTCAACTGGAGCGACAGATGGAGCAGCAGAAGAGGTTGGAGCAGTAGAGGATACTGGGGCAACAGATGGAGCGGTGGATGATTCACCAGCAACAGTGGTTGGGGCTTCTGATGCTGGAGCAGAGGTTGGAGCTTCAGATTCTGGAGCGGTGGTTGATTCACCAGCAACAGTGGTTGGAGCTTCAGATTCTGGAGTGGTGGTTGATTCACCAGCAACAGTGGTTGG